GGGGGCCAATGCGTCACATGAAACATCACCTGGAGATAACGCATTTTTTTTTGGCACAAATTGCTGGAAAACAGTTTGATATTGCGCAGCGACTTGGTGCACAACATTTGTGGACATCCAAAGCTATCCAGTGGCATCTGCTGAAACACCGGAAACGGAATTTGGCATCATGCCCACGACGAAGGCCAAGATGACCCTTCAACTATTGGGACGACAGAATCCAAAAAAATTACATATCCAAGGTCATTTTTGACATTGGCCAAAGTGGCCTGCAGCAACTCAAAATCCAAGCTGGCAGTGGGCGGGCAGCAAAGCAAGTCAGTCGTCCCCTAGTCCTGTTTGGATTGGGCACTGGCTTGAGACTATCGCTGAGCCGACGACGGAGAGTGTTTCTTATTGGTGAATGGAAAAAACATACAGTAACAATATGGGTATGGATCAATACCTATTAATACCATTTTTAGGGGGATGAACATCCATTTACCAGCTATTTTGATGTTCACCAGGGGTACAAGGTTTTGACACACTGCCATATCAAAATGTGGCAAAGAACGGTTTTCGCGATGCCAACCCACACAGGCAAACCATGGCTGCGTCAGGGGTGAAGGCAACGTAGTGATTTGTTCCCTTTATCGATTTTTTTCCCGGAAATTTACCACCAAAATTTTCTATAAAGTTTTCGAAGGAAACCTCCACCGGAACCAAATCGGAACCTAAGACTTTTGCCGGAACCCATGGCCGCTGGGACCAGCATCGGAACACCCCGAACCCACATTGGACCTCCCGGAGCCTGGTGCCCACAGTGGAACCTCCCGGAGCCAGTTTGGCACTCAAACCGGAACCGCGCCGGAAGTTGCAGAACGTTATCTGGGTTGAAACCTTGAAGGTAGACGCTTTTACATCTGTTCGAACTGCCTGCCGGTTTGGCGCTGCAATCTCCCATGCCTCAGCCCGAAAAAAAGAAACAACGATGCCCCGACCCCAAAATCGATGCATTCCCGACGCTTGCCCCTACATAACCAGTGTTGCACTTGCAGGCATGATGCGACGCTGAGGTTCCAACACGCGAGCTTAAGTTGTCATTTTTTGCTGCCTACGCGGCCACGCCCGGGTTCCCATCACAAATATTGTGCAAGTATACGCAACCATACCCGGGTTCCTATCACAAATATCCTGCAAATACATCCAACGAAAACACTTCATCGCGCTTGCAACGGCATGGTAGCTCTCGGAACTCAACGCGTTGATGCAATTTTGTTTTACCAACATGAGCGTTTGAGTTTACCATATGTCAGCATACATGGGAAACGCCATTGAACGCTGTTTGCAGGTGCATGTAAGCTTCAGCCGATGTCAAATTTGTGTCCCCCCACATATATTTATCCAGGCTCAAGTGAACCCCATCATTTGAGCTTGAAATTTTTGTCCCTCCACCAACATGCATGTTGTTTTTCCCACATTTTCACATCACATGGCTCATGTGAGCTTTTTTTTCTGTCCTCATGTGAGAACCTTGCTCATGTGAGCTTGAGCTTTCATGTTGCCAGACAATGCCAATGGCCTCGTTGCCTGAAGATTTTTCGTTTCAGCACATTTTACCTCCAGTCCAAGAGCTCGATCTCTATTTAAGCAAGTTGATGGACACAAAATTCGCGTTGACCTTTGTGGCCGAACCTCTTAAAGCTATCCATCCAGCAATCGTGTCTGTGATTGACCAAAGCGTCCAATCTCTCCAATTAGCCATCCAGTACCTCTCCACCATGAGGTTCTATGCCCTGATGCAAGCTCGAGTTGCCATTGAACGCTACATTCATGAGCACCATCACTTGCCGCCGATCGATCTTGAATGATTCGCGCTCAGCCCAGCCCTAAGCCTGAGTGGCGCGACTCCATCTGCAAAGGCGAAACCTGAGATTTCCCCCCCGTCATGACAGTAAAATAAGGATCAGTTAAATCCCTCAACCGGCGGCACGGTGACACATAACGTCAAAATCGCAAATTACAATGCCGCCATTGCAAGGTACAACTTGCAAACCCACAACGCATCGTAAAACTGATCTTGCACTTCGAAAAATCAATGGTTGGAATGATTTTACCATATCCTATCTCTTCTATCTTAAGCAAGGCGCGCCCCAAATTCTTTGAGAGAAAAACGCAATTTGTTTCCCACGCTACGTGTGGATTTAAACCTAGGAAACTGGCATTAATGTATTGAACAGAACCGTGGCATTGAGCGAAACCCAACGAATTCATGAAGGACAATTGACGGTTTGCATGATGTTGCTGGTTCAAATCAGATGATTACGCATCATCGCATTCCAGCGTGGATTTTTTTTGGGTACGTTATATTTTCTGCGCGTTGCGCAAAGCAGCTGCCCCCACTTGCAAATTTCATAAGGACTGGCTTTTCAACATGGCCTATCACGAATGAAATTCCGTCACGGATTTTTGTAGGAAATATCGTCATGCCGTCATGCAATGACATCTGACATGTTGACTTCTAGTACAAGCACAGGTTGTTTCCATTTTAGCCACACGACTTTTCGCGAAAACTAGCTGTGCTAGCTGAAGTTGTTCTTCCCTTAGCACGGAATAGGCAGGCACCAGGACTATTGGAAACCCTGAAACTTTCCAGTTAAACCCGCCCTCCCCCTCCCCCCCCCTGAGAGGAAATTTCCGGCAAGTAGAGGGTCATCATCCTCATGTTCATCTTCATCCTCACCCTACCCATCCTCATCCTCACCCTACCCATCCTCATCCTCATCCTCATCCTCATCCTCATCTTCATCCTCATCCTCATCCTCATCCTCATCCTCATCGTCATCGCAATCGTCCTCCTCCTCCTCATCATCATCATCATCCCCATCATCCGCGGCATCCACATCAACATCATCATCATCATCATCATAATCATATATCATCATCCTCATCCTCATCCTCATCCGCATCCTCATCCTCATCCTCAATATCCTCATCATCCTCTTCGTCCTTCTCATTGTTGATCAGCATCCTCATCTCCTGGTCCCGCGGGCCATAGGGTTCCTGCCGGTATAAGGTCGTCGTCCTCAGTATTTCATTTCCGGTACTCATGTTCAGTAAACCAACCAACAACTATAAAATCATCATCGGAATTTTGCCGAAATTATCATAATTATCTTCCTCCTCCTCCTCCTCCTCCGCATCGTCGTCATCAGCCTCAGCCTCAGCATCAGCATCATCATTTTTATCCTCATCACACAATATCACGCATATGTTGCATTGTCTCGAACATCTTTATGCAGATTCGGGTTTCCATTTGTTTTTTTAATTAAGTTTTTTTTGCTTACAACACTTGGCGAGAGACGATTGCTGCATTGGGAGGTTTTCGCTTGTTCATCATAATCACCATCCTCATTTTCATCTTCATTCGCATCCTGAGCATCCTCATCATCCTCCATCCCCGTCATTTTCATCATCCTCATCATCCTCTGCGTCTTCATCATCGTCGTCATCAACTCATTCCTGTTACCATCACTCTTGTCATCATCAGCTTTCTTAGTTTCCTTCATCGTTCCGGTCAGCAAATTCATCAACATCAAAAGGTTGGCCCTGTTTGTGACTCGCAGCAACTCCAAAAAACCACGTGAGACCGTTGCCGCATTCCGACTTCACCTTGCTAATCCCCCTTTACGATTACCACCCTGCCCTAGCCCTGCTAGCTTTCGTACCTCCCCCTGGCCTCACGTTTAGGTTTCGGACCTGTGCAGAATTTTTGTGTTTCATAGCGTTTGGGATTGGGGTCTGCCAAACATTTTTCGCACCGATGCACCGATACATCGCGCGCGCATTGATACACGGATACAGCCCAGGCGCATTGATACACCGTCACACCCATACACTGCGCATGCAGATACACCGATACATGGATTGCTGCGTGCCCAGCGGTACCAAAGCGATCGGCGTAACGGCATATCGGCGGAAACACAGCGATAGGCATAGTGACGTATTAGCGATCGGCCTCACGGCGTATCGGCGTAGACACAGCGATCGGAGATATCGCGTATCGGCATATTCACGGCTAGGGACTGCAATCCCCAACGCGCTGGTTTCTTTACGTTTATTATTGTGTGTGTGCGGGCCTTGCGTGAATGCCGTAAATCAAGTACAGGGCGTGCCCACGCGTGCGTGCGTGTCAGTTGTTTCCATTGATGCCCTCTTTTTGGGCGGTTGGTCGATGCTACACTTTTGCGTTTGTTTACGCTCAAGGATTGGGATATTTTTGCGCAGTGCACTGGGACATCCTGGCACGCAAACAACGATATTGGGGCACGGTTGCTCAAATCAAACAACGTTTTGTGTCGCAACGACACTCCACCCTTATAAAGTGTGGTCATGGCACTTGCGCCACCGACCTCCCGTGCTGTTGGCCATCAGGGAACCAAAACGTGATTCAAAACTACAACGGGTAAACCTATTGGTAAGCTTTTCAAGCGCCACGGAACCTAAGGGAACTTTGGGCGAAACAAAAGGTCCAGTCCCACCACGCGACAGTCGTTGCCAAGGACTCCGGTCTTGTATTTTGACTGGAGTATTTATTGTTATTTTTAAACACTGGTGGTCAGGCCGTAAAAATTGCACCGAATGCGGAACATCCAATTCGTTTGCCTAGGCACAAAACAAAGGGGACATATGACATATTGGTTGGCATGTGCTTGAGGGGAAACATGGTATTCGATTGGGACTTGCTCTGCGTTTGGATCATCAGGGTGTTGGTCTAAGAAAATGCAAGGAACTGGTTCAAAATGTCAACCGTGGCGCATCTTTGGAACATTGTATAGTACCAAAAAAAATATGTCAATGCAATGCCAACCGCCCTGAAAAGTAAATTAATTACATCTTTTATGAACAATAACATTGCCATGTGGTGGGTAGCGGTGCAAAATCAAAAATGTTTTCTAGGCAAAAACAAAATATCAGAATTGCAACGCCGAATTCATTGTGCACGGGCGCAGCGATGATCAATGGAGGCGGGAGGAAACATTTTGTGATTGTTTTTTTTCTTTAGGAATCCAGCTGTCAAAGGTGGTGCGACAGCGGCCCCAAGGTTGCAATCTGGCAAAATCAATTTGAACAAATTGAATAAACAAATTGGATCTTGGATTCATTTCGACCCGAACCCTTTTCTCGATGCTCCATGGCAAAACATTGAAGGCCAGTGGCGACATGGATGGCATCTCTGAAGATGAGGATTGGCTGGAGGTGGAGAGTTGCTGAACACACCGGCGGCATGGAGGGAGGTGCAAAAATGCCCCAAAATGGCGCATTAGTGCAGGCCGAATTGGAGCGACAATTGGCCGCAGATGATGCATACGATTCGCAGGCGACGCCTTTCAAAATTGATGGACCATGCTTGATTTCTTTGGACCTCAGGTGATGCCAACTTGGAGTTTTATTTTGACAAACGTTTTGCATGTCCCACTCGGCTGAAAAAATTGCAGAAAATTGGCGTCCAGGATGACGAGGACGAGCCGCGGGAAACTGAAGCTGCGGTCGCAGGTGGCTGGAGACATGGCAGTTCGTTTCGCCCTATGCCGTGGCCGTTTGCAGGTGGGGAGTCACACATGGAACAATTTCGGGAGCCTTAGCCTCAGGACAATTTTTGCAATACCAATAATACCAATGTTTTTTTTTCAACCTCCTTGCGCCAAACGCAACGCAGTGTCTGTGAGGCTCATGGCGCAGATGGAGCAGTCGGGAACTCAAAGGACAATACCTTCCTCGCTGAGTTCTTCCTCGCTGAGTTGACAATTCTCTGTGGCCGAGGTGGGGTGAGGCTGCTGCAAGACACTGAGAAACCAAAAACAACCAAATCCACATGACAAACGGAGCCACTTTCTTCATGATGGTTTGAGGATGTTTCATGATGTTTCAACTTATACATGCGACAGTTTGCAATGGATTGTTGATGAAACAAGTATTTCCGCCAAACATTGCCTGTGGATTGGCTGATTCCGGGGACCATGTCACCAACGAGTTGTGCCGTAGGGATCACCGGATCAACAGATCAAAGGCACGGAGAGTCGAAGAGAGTTTGTTGGAGACAGCTGCAGCAGCGTCGAATGCAGAACGTGAGTTGCAGGAGCACACATCGCAGGTGATTCCATGGGGTGACCGGCTGTTGCAAAGCTAGGAATAACAATACTTATTTAAAATTCAATCATAAAAATTAAACATAAAAATAAAACAATAAACAATAAAAATAACAATAAAAATAAAAATAAAAATAAGAAAGATAACGATAACAATAATAGTAATGATAATAATATAAATGAGAACCAGGGTAGGAGTAACAGTGAGAGTAATAGCAACAAAATTAATAACACGGTCACGGGTCAATCCAATAATAACAATAATATACATACATATATATATATATCATTTTGCCGGAACGGTTGGTATTTTCACATGGTTTGATTTCGGAGTGGGAGGAGAGACCACCACCACCTGAGCTACTGCACGTTAGCTCCTCAGCGGACAGTCCATTTCCTGCTTGGCACCACAATTCGAAGATATCAACAATTCATTTGTGGTCCGGCCTGGGGTGAACTTATGGAGGTGGTTCCAACTAGTGCCCGGTGAAATTCAGACTGTGGATTCTTGAACTATGATTTTTCTGTGTGATTTCAATTTCAATTCCAATTTCATCATCGTCATCATCATCATCATCATTTCCAATTGTTGATGGCTAATCATATCCCAAAGATCCTATAAATGGATTGACCATATTCACCTGCTAGTATCCAGTTACATCATCATCATCATCATCATCATCGTCATCATCACCACCAGTTCTAATCGACACCAGTTTCATGGGGATTTTCCTGGTGACAGGTCGAACCACCTGCACCCGATACAATGCTCTCAGCCTTGGAATTGAACTTTGAGGAGCTGTCAACGGGGCCCGGGTCAGTTTCTAAGTCCTAACAACTGGGGGATCACAAAAGATAAGAAAAGTGAAATGCCATAAATCTTTCTGATGTTATGGATTTAATGCCGTTCTGGCAAACCCTAAAGATCACCCGTAGAGTCTGTATAAGGAAGCGGATTTCCATCCTGTTTTGGCACGGTTTTTATGTACCAACCATTTGATGACCACTGTTGCAGTCCAACTTGTCAGACCTTCCGCTGCTCACAGACTTGGCTTTTTGGCTCATCGCCGGTACATGAGTTCATGACAGAAGCGCAACAGGCTTGGAGGAAGTGCCAAATTTATATCGTGGCAAACACCGTAAGTCTGATGTCAAAGTGGCAGTGGCTCTTGAGGTAAAATCTCCAGCTGCACCAAGTGACATGCCAAGGTGGGTTCTCTAGGGTTAGACCACTACATTGTAGAGACCTGCCATCCCGGCATCGCCATGATGGCTGCGGCTGGGCCTGGGGCTGAGAATGGCAGCAATTGTTAGAACGTTTTGGAACCATCAATCACAGATTCCATGGGACGAGCATGGCGTTGAGTTATTGTTTCCAGTCTTCCCACTAGGAGATCGTAGGAGGCAAGGCAATCATGAACATGGCAGAATTTGATCGCCCTCTCCTAAGGTGGAACTGCGTGGTGGTTGAACACTTCAAGGCCTGAAGATGTGACCAGGGTGCATGGCCTTGATGTCCTAGTCCTTTGTTCACTGAGGTTGGTCAGGGCGCACGACAGCATACCAAATACCGGGCACAGTGGGACACCCAGGACCCACATATCATGAGGTAGGGCAAATTTCGGTCCCCGATCCTCCAGTTGAACCCTGTTCCGGTTTGGAATGAGCAAGTGCAACTTCTGACCAGTGCAGGCGTGCACTCCTGCTCCCATTTTCAGATCAAAAAAAATTGAGATACTTCCAAAGTCCCGTAGAAAAATGGAGGTTCCTAAAATAGGGCTGCCCGAAGTCATCTATTTCACGGGGTCCAAATACAGAGAACGCTCGAATGGTGGAGCTGAGGTCCAGCACCTCCGGTGCTCCGCCACAGGAGCTGATCTTCCGATTTTCTCAGGCTGATTGCTGAAGTCGTCAAAGTTATCAGGAAAAAAACGGAAACGAAGACATCTTCCACCAAAGAAAACCTTCATTTGAATGTCAAATTTTGAAACTTGATGCACTTTTCCATTCGGAGATGTGCACTGTTCCCGACTCTTCGGACTCTTCGGCCCTTTAGTTTTCTTTTTGTCAATGAAAATGGAGCAACATGCTGTGATTTCATCGCAACCTGCGCTGGGAAGAGGTGGATAGTCTACTTGGGCGTTTGGCCCAAATGCCTGAGCTGCGCGCCACCTTCCCAGCACTACTTGTGATGTGCCGCTCTGGGGTAAACTACCATTCTAACTGAAGGGTCACTATAATACCAGAATTTTGATGCATGCCACATCATGTGTTAAGCTCCGGAATTTATTTTGTGTCAATTAGTGGTAATTTAGTCATTGAGTTTACCACATTATAGTGACCACCGAAAACGATACATAGAAACTAAGTAATTTACAATATAGAAATGGGTATGAGTCAATACCTATAGATACCATTTTTAGTGGGATGAACATCCATAAATCCCAGCTATTTTGATGTTCACCAGGGGTACCAGGGTTTTGACCCATCCCCAAATAATTCACCAGGTTCTGAGAAAAAGGATGCCATCCTTTCGACGAAAACATGACGACCCTGCCACGAGTCAGGGCTTTGGAAGACGACTTTCCAACCTAAAAAAGCTGGTGATTCTCAGGGTCAAGGTGTTAGTTGGAGCAGTGTATGTATATCTGCATAGATATACAATGATATACATGCATATTTTGTTGTATATGTAGATAGATAGACATATACATACAGTATATATATATATACTATAGTATTACAAATTTCTAACTTTTAACCTTGTTTGAAAAAATGGAATTTGGGGGATGGCATCAATTCTCACTTTTCCATCTTTGTTTCGCCCTTTCCGCACCAAGGATGTGGCACTGCCGCGTTTGCCGCCCAAGAACACTCTGCGGTCCTTGGTCTCTGGTCGTTTTGACGACGCCTTCCTGGAGGTGTGGGGTTTTCCATCTGGCAGATGGATGCTGGTTCAATGGGGAAAATCCCCTATAAATGGAGGTTTTAATGGGAAAAACATCTATAAATGGTGGTTGAATGGGATATAATTGAGATATAATGGCAGACTGATGAGATATTGATAGCATATCAATGGTTAATGATGGTGAATAGTGGTGAAGAAACATGAATATGTAATGCATTAATAATGGTGATTAATGATTAATCATAAACGTATGCCATACACTTTGTAATGGCGACATGTCCCAGATATAGGCCATGATCAACTGTATGATTTTTAGTGACATCCCATTCTTGGACGAACCCATACCCCAAAATGGGATGGTTCAAAAATGATGGCTGATATAACAGGACATAACCAGCAAAAATAGGTTTTTTTTCTCCACAAAGAATTGAGAGATACTCGAGGTTCAAATATGATGCCCACTCGTGGGTCACTTGTTTAGAAAATTCGGCCCCTGCCCAGATTGCCCAGATGGTGAGTGGTTGCTGATGCCAATCTGCTGTAGGAGCGGCAGGGCTTACTCACCAAGTTCTTTGAGGACCTTTCTGCGGCGTTGAACGGCAAGTATTCTGAGGTGCCACAGTACAACTATCCGTCCTTTAGAGCGGATAGGTGTGCCTACTGTCAGCAGACTGTATCCATTTTATCACATGTTTGGCTGTTTTGGGATACTGTGTTTCCAAGTGGCAGATCTTCATGATATCATTCTGTCCCATCACGGTTCTTGCACTTGAGCAATCGGTCTTGGTTCGTGTTCTTTTCTCCTTGGGTCCTACTGTACCAATCGCTTGATTGAGATGATCAAGGCATGATTTGTTGGGTGAATTCTGCAATAATAACCGAGGAGATAGTAATATATTGGAAGCCACTCGCAAAGGAAGTGAGGTCAGGCAGTGCATTCATATCCCAAGGGGTATCAAGGGGTCAAATCATCACTTTGGTGAATCAAAAAATCACATTTGTCAATGGAACATCCAATTTTTCCATGGGAAAAGCACCCATGTTGATTTCACTTGTTTTTTTTTTGGGAAGATCTACAGAAAGAATTTGTTCGAAGCAGTCAATTCTGGAGGCGTTTTCAATAATTTTTTCCACCTGAGGACCTGGAAAGTCCCAACATTGGAATCATTTTGAGGCCCATTATATATATATAGATATATATATATATAGATATAAATATATACCTGCAGTATGATGGGTTTACCAGCCAATTTCTCCAGTGGATCAACAGGTGGGCAACGTCTTGGAGCTCTGCGAGCCCCTGGGCGAATTCGTGGCGCTGGCGGCGCGGGCCGGAAACGCTGCGGAGGCGGAAGCGGCTCGGAGACCCAGTTGCTGCAGGGGTAAAGCAATAGCTATCCGCGTGGATTGATGGTTTATACCAACAAAATGGTATAAAATAGCAAAATTGGGGGCGGTTTATATTACTATTAGATGATTATTTGATGAGATCACGATAATTATCATCATAGTCAAGGGGTTGATGAACTAATGTTAGTGGATGATATGCCTGATATGGTATAACTACCGCAAATGTATATCATATCAACGTGATTGGATGATATCTTGAAAGAATTTAGAGGAATGCACTTCATCAGTGCGCAAGTCACATGGATTGGCAAAGCGGCTTAGCGTCAAGGTGGCAGCTGTTGAAGCTGCCATCCGAAGAGAAGAAGATCGACAGATCATCGCTTCTCAGAATGCTGAGTACGAGGTGCTGGATATGGGACCAGGGCAGGATGTTGGCAACGCAACTTCTGGAATCTTTTCAGGTTGTGTTGCGGAAGGATTCTCAAGTTTGGTTGATCATGCTTGTCCTGCCATTTGGTCACGCTTTTTTTGTTGAGAGCTTGCCTTGGATATCTTGAACGTGGACAGTATTGAAGCGTGGAAATGTGGCCATTGCAACTTGTCACCTACATTTGCATCCCTGCAAGCGTAGAATCATCACTCCCTAGATCACTAGCACACTTCCCCCCACCAGACTATGGCATCTACCTTTGGTGCTTAGACAGTTGCCGTTACTGGCTCAATATTTGGAGGAGAGCCTGCGGCAAGACGAGCTTCGAAGGATTGAAGAAGCTGAGAAGGCGAAGCTGAGATATTGGGGAAGTGGCTGCGTGGCAGCTGTACGCTTCCTGAATCTAATATGGAAGTATAATGAACTACATGGAACCCCCAAAATGGCTATATTGAATCCGAAAATCATCTTCCTGGGGTTCCATTATAAAATTCGAGGCTGTTGGGAGGGTGCTTTGGACCTCTCAGCTATCTCCCAGGCCGAGCGGGAACAGCAAGCAGCGAGGGAAGAGGCCAAACGGCAAGAGGAAGAGGCAGCCAAGGCACCGGACTGTTCGGTGTCCGACAAACGGCCGCTGAAAAAAAAAGCCGAATGGATAGGTAAATGATAGGTAAATGATAGGGGCAACCTAAGAACCTTCCAACCTTCCTTTTTTGGGGACCTTTCGGTGGGTGGATTTGCATTTGGACATTTTTATCTGTTTTTCCCATTTGTTTCAACATATCCCTGACCATAACTGCCATGGGGTCCTGGCAGGCGCTTGAGTTGGAGGAAGCCTTGAAGATGCGACGAGAGAAGTTTGCGCTGGAGAATCCCGTGCCTTCCGTTTGGGGCGCCCAGATGCTGCCAGCTGTGATCGGCTGATGGCAACAGATGGCAACTGAGGCGGGAGAACCTCAAGCAGCTTGGCTGAGATTGGGACATGGCAGTCGCCACTTTACCTGTCAAATCCCAAACAGGTTTTACCCAAATCAAACAGATGGATGGATGTGGCGGCGAACTGGCAGGCTTTATTAGTTTCTACATCACTTCATCCATATGGCCTTTGTATGCATTTGTCCACTTTCTTTCATGTGGGTTTGTTTGAAAATGGACGGTGTCTCCCTTTACAGCCATTCTATTGTGGAAAATGATGACGACCCAAAGCCCAAAGCCATGAGGCCATGATGCGCTTCCGAGCGCCCAGCGGCGCCACCATCCAGAGGGCCTTCCCTGACAGCGCGACAGCCTCTTGGCCAAGTCCCTACTAGCCTCAGGTCTTGTTGCTTTAGACAATTTGGATTACCCTCTGGTAATTTAACATAGCTATTGAAAATGGCCATTTATAGTGTATTTTCCCATACAAAATGGTGATGTTCCATAGCTATGTTAGTTTACCAGAGGGTAATGATTTAACAAAGATAGACATAGTAACATGACATCGAACACACATATTTGGAAGAGTTTGTCCATTTTTTGGTGGAACCCTTGTCAACCCTGTCATAGTCACACACACACACGGACACAGACACACAAACACATTATAAAAATATAGATATACACATATCACACACATGCGCACACACACACATATACGTATATATATATATTTGTATGTATATATATATATATTTGTATATATATATATATATCTCATATCATATATATATATATCATATATTACATATATGAATATACTATCACCAATAAATAAATGAAGAAATAAATAAATGAATCACACGCACACACACATATATGTATATATATATATACATCTATATCACACACACGCATTGTTATATGTTTATTTACATCACACACACACGCATACACACACACATATATATATATATGTATGAAAGGTCTGATCGCATATATATATATATATGTATCCCAATATAACCTTTTATGTATTATCTATAGTAGGCTCCATAGCTCCCTGGTGTGACTTGGGATCACCCCAGCGTTCGGCCTCCTGCGCCCCCAAACGAGCCTAGGTGTCCACGTTGTTTGAGTTTGCGGCGGTCTCGGAGTGGGATGGCCCCAAGTGGGGTGAGACCTTTGACCTCAGGACCGGCCCGGAGGGCACTGACTGGAGGCCATGGCTGAAGGCATTTGGATGTACCCTCTGGTAAACTAACATAACTATGGAAAATCACCATTTTTAATGGGAAAACTCACTATAAATGGCCATTTTCAATAGCTATGTTAAATTAACAGAGGGTATTGTGTAGGTTTTCAGCTTCAAGAGAATAACTTATGTGGGTTGCAGGTCAGGGGAAAGTGATATGTCGACTATCAGGATAGTGGTTTACTTTTCCGTTGTGCGGATCGCTGCCCAAGGCCCCAGAAGTGCTCAGGTCGGCCGGTTGTTTTACACCAAGTGTCACCTCTCAGGACCTCCTTTCCTGTGAAGAACCTGAAAGGCATGGAGTCACAGACCCTGAGGTGCCAAGATCTGCAAGCTTTTCTCAAGACCTGGGCACGACCAGCATGGCAAAACCACTTGTTTGGTTTTTAAATCAACGCCTCAAAAAAATTGAGATTAATCAAAAGGTCTACCACAATGGGCCTGTAGGGGCTTCAGGCCTCATCCAAAGCTATTTGTAGCACATCACATCGCCAGCAATGCCAGGGAAGCTGGGCTTTGCCCTTCAGCCATGCTGTTGGTGGCACAGGCCACGACTGCCAGTGTTTCCAAGCTTCCTTTCTTGATCATGATCGGCAACATGTTGCTGCCTGGGTACTGGTACTCTTGATTTGGCAAGGTCGAGGTTCTGGACTCGTGTTTTGAAAGCAGGGCTGGCGTGGATCAAGCAGTGAACTCTTCAGTCTATCTATACGACCCTTTTCAGATGACCCTGTTTCCAAGTCCAAAGTGCACATTGATCAGATTTGAGTTTGAGTGCTTGGATCAGGACAGTTGATGACCCATGAAGCCGTTCCCTGAGCACCAATCAAAACATTGGATGCTTGCGCAGTAGCCACTCCCATCACTAAGGAGTGATGGAAACAAATTCTGGAGCCAGTTACCAGAGTTTTTGTGGTTCTTGATTGGTTCCCCCCTCACCTAGTTACAGGATCATTACAGGATCATAGCGCGCCTTCGTTGAAACAAACGCACTTCTTGGCTCCTGAAGAGGCGGAGTTTCACCCTGGTGCCGATGCGGGTCACAACACTCCGAGATGCACCGTCCATTGGGCCGGCAGAAAAAGCTATCCGGCTATCCAGTTGTGACCTTTAGAATGAGCCACTAGAATTGTCAAGAGCTTGATTTAGATCCATTTAGATCCATTGAGATCCATTCTTGCTTTTCTGAATCGACCATTTTTGTGGCGTCAGATTTCCAAGTCTGAAAACATCTCCAGGTCCGGAATGGTATCCCGGACTTGGAGTCTGTGTCCGCGTTGCTCTCGCCCCAGGACTTCGATCCCGGCGAGGCGACAGCGCCCACCAGGGACTCCGCGACGGAAGCTGATGCCCTCTCCTTCCTGGCAGAGTTGGCAGTACAGGTGCCATGGTGACATAATGCTTACCCTCTGGTGAACTAACATAACTACTAACATAACTATGGAAAATCACCATTTTCAATGGGAAAATCCACTATAAATGGCCATTTTCAATAGCTATGTTAAATTACCAGAGGGTATCGGATTTTATGGGATTTGATGGGTCTAAGGCGTCGAAGGTGAAGGGGTGGTCCAAAAACATGTGAAAAAATCGAAGGCCAAGACCATCCCTGGTCATGTTTTGCCAGGCTCGGGCCGCTGCCTTGGAAGAACTGGCAGCTCGCTGGGATGCCAAGCAAATTTGGTGCCGCCAAGGATGGCCGGATAGGCTGTTGGGGGTATTTATGGTTAATTCAACATATTCAACGGGAAAAATGATGATAGACAGTTCATTTCCATGAAATTTTTGGGGTACCCTATCTTCAGACCTGGAAAGTTTTCACCAGCATGATCTCGCTGTAGACCTCTGTCTCAACAAGGCCAAGCGGCGGAAGCCAGCCAACAGCCGGATCAGACGTATGGTGGGCAGGTGGGGTGATGAAGCTTGAACATTGGTTTCTAATGGTTTCTACATTCTTCTTTATTTTCACCATTTTTCACCCGGCAACCTTTGCAATGCTATCACCCTGGTGCCGCTCTCGAGCGATGGCGTCATTCTGGAGGTTTCGGCTGGAGATCTTGTCGAAAGCAGCGACGGAGTGGCAGCCCCAGTGGTTCAGTTGACCAGTTGACCAGCTCTGTCAGCTCTCACTGCACCTGCCAGGTGGAGCTGTCCAGCCATGCGATCTTAGAAGATCAACTAGAGCCAGGCCTAGGGATAGAAGCTGCAGGATTTCTGAGGGATGACCTGGCGAGCTTGATCCTCCAATCAATCTCCGCCAGGCGAAGAAGTCGCCTCCTTCCAGGCACTTGGTGCTGTCATGCCTGAAATCTGTGGATGGGAGTCAAGATTTCATTCAGTTTTCACCCTACTTGCAGCAAGCTGCAAGGCACTTCTATTGAACGGACATGGGTGAAAGGTGATTTGAGCAATACGTGTCCCATCTTTGGAGGTTTCCGCTGGTTTGGAATCTGCAAGTGTCCCATCTTTGAAGCTATTTGCTGATACTTGTGATCACCCCAGACTTCCTGTTCATGTTTTTTTGTTTTCGACTCTTGCCACATGAGGGACCTTGCCCTAGATCACCTAGATCCGTTTACGGAAGCTCCGGAACCTTGTTTTTTTTTGGGGGGATCATCCCAGAATGAAAGAACGAGCACTGCAACGCGCATGGCTCTTTTTCAAGACTCGAAACAGCCCAAACGTTTGTGCGGGCCGAAAAAGGCCCTTGAGCGCCGGCCTAAACCATCTCGAGGCTGCACACAGCAACGTAAATACAAAATGCACCTAGACTATCAGCCTTGGAAAATGAAAGCTTCATTCGTCCCTGGAAAGAAAGGCCATGTGGCCAGAACATGACTGAATTTTGAAACTGAATTAATCATAACCTGCGCCCTTTCAAATCTCTTCGTTCAACGACAGAAAATCCAAACAAGATGCGCACGCTCTGAGCGTTTTTTCCATGTTTTTTCACTTTTAAGCAGGAAGATCATTACAGTCTCAACTGGAAATTTGTCATTGCCGGTTTGCTAATTGGTTTCTTGTATTAGAATGAAATTGTAGATTATGGCAATTCAACATTTGGCCAATGAAATGAAATTTGCCAAGATCCATTTTGGCTGATTATGCTGGCTGTCTCCCCCTTTGATCCCCACGCGTTGCCCAAGAATTCTGGGCCTGATAGGCTGTTGAGCGGCGGATCGAAGAGGAACGTTTAGCCTGTCCCTGTCCCAGCAGGTTGCTGCCATGCATCCCACGCAGTCTCATGCGCACATGGCCCATGGAAGGCCTACGAGCACTGGAAAATCAGCATGAGGCGGGTACCCATTGGGAAGCGAACCATTTGGGGCAGACTTTGCTTTGCCAGCCAGGAACTAATCCGAGACATGCAGAGGGATGAAGAAGAACGACGAGAGGAAGAGGACGGTGAAGTGCTGGGCAGATGAGCCATGGCTTCGTAGTTTCATGATAGGAACTTTGGACCTTTATATAGCCATTTCAGTTCTGGATAGTTTTCTTTCCAGTGGACCATGCATATGCCCCCCCCAACAACCAGCTGCAGGCATGTTTGAGAGAACAGGTCAACATGCACACGCAGGAGCTGAGCAGCTGGGGTTGGACAGATTTCTTGGGGCATGACTGGGAAGATTTGATAGCCACAGATTGGCTTTATGCACCTTATGGTGGTGCGCAAATAGGTATAGCAGGTGGAGAGTGAACATAAAGCCAGGTGCAAATATGTAGTGTGAAAATGTGTGGAATTTCATATCGTTTTCTGTTTGTTTGGGGATAATTATTGGCAATCTGCTGATTCATCCAAGCTGCTGTTTGATTTTTTATATTTTTTTTTGATTTTATCGTCACGCCAAGCCGTGCCCCAACGGCTCAAGCACAGGGGAGGACAGAGAGTCGAAGACTAATCCGTAAATGCACTCCATCCGATTCAGGTGAGCAATGCCTCGGTTTGGAAACACTCAAACTCTACCAAAAAAGCCACACCTCATCTTATCCAACTTCCTCATCTTACCCAGACAACAACCAGCCTGTGCCTTTGTTGGCCCAGCCATGCCTTCAAGGCCTTGACCCCAAGTCATTCCAAGATTTCCAAGTTCCAGGTTTGGGCCGCAGCTTAGGTGGAAACTTCTGTTTCTCCTCCTTTTGGGAGCTGCAGGTGTGGAGCCACATCCATCCATCCACCAGCCAGTCGTCCCCGGTGGTGCCAGGCGCCGACCTGCAGGAAATCAAGGATCGGCATGAGGCGGTCAAGCAGAAAGCCCAGGTGCGGCGGGGATTCTCTGAGATATGTACATTCTGTTATGATAGAACCCTAGAAACCAAAATCAAGTAGATAAAAAATACGAATGTGCTTTTGAAATAGTCCAAAACAAGAAAACACCACGCATGATGTATAGTGATATAGAGACAAAACTGGGTATGGGTCAGTGGGTGCTCAAGCTTGAGCAGTTTTGGCCCAAATGCCAAAACTACCACCGCTTGGGGGCCAAACGATGGCCCATGGTTCACGGAGAGTTCGACGATGGCTGCTGGTGGCTGCTGTGGCGCTTCTTTTGCAGGTCGCATTTCATGACGGGGCTTTCGTGAACCCAGGTCTTGCAATCAAGGGCAACTGGAGAGGTGGCCCCAGAAATGGCAGCAACATGCTACTCCTTCGAGCGGAGGGAAGTACCGACCTGGAAGAACGCAGGGTCAAATGTCCCTTGACAAGGGAGCAGCTGGAAAGTGATCATGGTGAGAAATGGGAAGATGTTCGGGACATCTTGGTCGGCTTGAGGGCACCATCACCCGAAGCCATCATGAGAGCATCCCGGTTGCACCAAAGTTGGCAGTCTTGCCCACCGGCATTACCACGACCTGTCCAGCATTTTCACCTTAAAGATATTAGCATGGTCACTATGATCACTATCATTAACCATCATTAACCACTGCAACCACCACCATTCCGGTCTCATCAACAGCAACAGCTGGGTCAGACTTTAAGGGCTGTGCCAGCCACAGCCCCCCGGCTCCTGCTTGCTTTGCAAGGCCCGCTTTACTGCGTTGAGATTTCAAGATCCGCAGTTCCTGGCAGCGACAGAGAAAGATGACAGTCAGTCCATCAGGGAGCGAAACAAGCAGTGGTCCGTAGTGCTTGGCCTTGAGGAAATGAACACGTGGCTTGTCAAAGGTGAAAATTCCCTCACCATGCAAGCTAAGCGGCCAAGCTGCAGCCTCTATTTGGGTCTGTACCAGGAATAGTTTTTTGACTGGTGGTGCTAGTTGGCATACCTTTCCTGATGCGGCCCTTCTGTTTGGGAACGGTGAGGGGAAGGGGAGGCACTTATTAATTTCTAGGCCAAACCCCTGGCATTCTGCGCTTGAGGTTTGACAAGCTCCTGAACATGAACAATGATGCCTTCAGCCTGCAAAAGCCTGTGGGCTTTGAAGTTGTTTCTGCTGATGGAGAATGGGTGGAGTTCAAAATTAAGTGCCGCTAGTCTAAAGATTCTGCACCTGGTGATCCTTAAACCATCATTTGCATGGTAAATTTGGTGAAAAACAGACTGGACTTGAATTTGGTGAAAAACACCTGCGAATGGCCGAGGTTCTGGGAAGACCCTTTCCGAAAAGAGCCGCTTCATCAAAGACAGGAGAGGGTGTAAGATGTGTAATACCTGCGATTTTGCCCAAGGTTTTTCTTTCTTGATTTTCATATCTTTAATTTGTCATGTCATGGATTTATCATTGGTCATCAAGTTACGTCACAGGAAGTACGGCTGGGTCTATGGAGGTGAAACTGAGTACAGTGAGTGGGCCTGACTGGCAGAGGAATTTTCATGCGCAGAAAAAAGGCCCTCTTTAAAAGTAGGGACTTGTGGCCACTGAGACCTGACAAGGGAACCTAAAAAAACATGACCATGCTACAAGGATCTTCCAAATCGTTTTTTCGAGGTAGTTTCAGTGGTGTAATTCGTTAAACTGTTCGGATAGGCTGGGAACTGAATGTACCGCGGACCAATCTTGGAACTCCAAAAAAGGGTGGGAGACAGTCAGTTGGGGCATTCATGCCCTCGAACAGCACCTTCCTAGCCTTCAGCATCTTCAGCCTAGCAGTCGACTAGCTTTCTCAGAAAGCCCGGCACCACGTTAAAGCTCAGTGCAAACATGACTTTAATAGCTTTAATATTTGGTTTCCTCATTTTTTTCACTATTACCGTATATTGCTCTTTGTTTCCCCATGATGGCATTGGTTTCCCATTAATATCTCCGGCATAAGTATGGTTGGTTTCCCCATTGTATCCGCACTATCCCCTATACATATATAGGTGATTCTAACGTGATAACAACCAAAATTTGACGTAATAATAACAAAATAATTCGCCACCATCTAACGTAACAATAACGTAATCATAACCACCATTTAACGCAATAATACTAACGTAATAGTAACCCCCGTTTTAACCCTTTGACGCGACAATAACGTCATAATAACGTAATGATTTTGGATAAGGTAGGAAAACGTGTTAGAAGACAGTCCAAGACACTTGTCACGCCCTCGGACACATACCGCCTCCAAACATCACGCATGTGGAAATCCAATATCTTTGGAAGCTGCCTTTTGGTCCCTACTAGTCGCCTACCTCGACGCCATCAGCATAAGGGCTTACCAAGTATAAAGAAAATATGGCCTCCTCCCATGTTCAGTTTTAGCTGTGATCAAGCAGCGCTCCTTGGCGGGGAAAAGGCACAGAGAGAGAGAGAGAGAGAGATATATATATATATAATATGTGTTTTTTCATCCCATTTTCCTATTACAATTGCAATTGTTTTCCCCATTATTCAAGGCTTCCCCATTCCCCATGATAATCCCATCTTCCAAACAACAAGTCATCCCAATCGTGCAGGCGGCCAGAGACCGAGCCAAAAAACAAGCTGAAGAGAAGCGTTTGAGACTCAGACCTTCAAAGTGGGATTAAATGGGGGCAAGATGGGGATATAACCCAACAAAATGGGGATTTCATGGGGATTTAGGCTCCAGTATCCAGTAAACATACAAAAGGCTATGGAAACCATCGTTGTTTCACGTTCGGAAATGATCTACATGTTTGGTGAATCATGTCCATGTGAATGTTTACTGGAGAGTATGCATCATTATGCAAGCAATTTACCGTTCATATTTTGGGTAAGGAGTAAGGATGGTTTAGATGCCATTTCTGCTCTACTGAAACTATCTTTGGGGATGGCAGTACCACAGAGGTGAGGACCCCTGGTGAATCTGGTTGGATGCGTCGGCCCAGGTGAGATGAAGAAGGAGAAGGCAAAGGATGCCAGGCGAGTCATTGAACTATGTTCCTCGTGGGTCGTTAGCCCTTGTAACAAGAATGATGATGATGATGATGGTGGTGATGATGATGATGATGATGGTGATGGTGATTTCCGCAGATCATTCTCTGATTGGTGGAACCAGCCACGGTCATTGCATCCCGCGCACAGGGTGCCAAAGGAGGCCCGGTGGCTGTGATTGCAGGGAAAGAGCAGTGGTTGGAAACTTTGGGAGTCATTTTCAGGGGTTGGAATGGGAGCATTGAAGTGGATAATCCATATAATCCGTAATGAGTCAAAGCTGCTGGTGGCTGACAGGTGTCTGAGGTGGCCACATTGTGCGAGGACGGTGTCGCTTGCAGCCAAGGGTGTCCTTTTTTGGGGGTTCTGGCGATGACAGGAGCAGAAAGAGAAGGCCATGCAATCTTGGAGGGACGTCTCTTCTGAGATACTTGGCTCATAGAATTGGATGATGGGAAAATTTACAGGAAAACCCTATATTTGATGGTAAAAACCCATGGGTTTCCGGTTAAGATATTCCCTTAAACCAATCCAATGATTGGCCTTGCCAGCACGGTGCGCTGGTGATGGATGGGCAGCCTTGAGAAAACTTCATGACGACTCAATCCCATCGGCGAATTTGAGGATTAAAAGCATGATTGAGGAGGAATCCAGGAAACAGGAGGCCTCCAGTTGGTCGAGTGGTCCGCTTCCGGGTGCAGATTTTCGACATGTTTCTGTCAACCGAAAAATGGTACGTCTGGTACGTGTTGCTGGATGTTGGTTTATCCGCCTTGATTTGGTTTTTGGTTTTCACGCACACGTTTTGAACATATTATGCTCCGCCCCAACATTTTAAACTAGCCCAAGGATCCCAAGTGACCAGAGTATCTATTCATCTAATCACATCCCCCTTTTTTTAAACACACCCTTTGTATGGGTCTCAATATGTGTAAATTACCTTCTAGTTTTCTGAACCATGGTTTCCGGGGGTGTTTAACGTTATCAATCCAGTTATTTATCAATCAATAATATATTGTTATCATATACCCTCTGGTAAACTAACATAGCTATGGAGAATCACCATCTTTAATATGTAAATCAACTATAAATGGGCCATTTTCAATAGCACACTGTTAAATTACCAGGTTACCAGAGGCTATATTTTATCCATCCATCAATCCCGCCCCTCCAGGTCCTAACGTCGCCTCAAACTGCCGCGGTGCTGCGAAACCTCTTCCGGCCGCCAATGCTAAAAAGCCCAGGCTTTATCAGGTGTCATGGGAGACATGGCTGGAGCCGGTGATGGATAGCTAGGACAATCCTTCTTGTGTTTTTGTGAATATGATATGGGCTTCACATACACATGTATCGATATATAGATAGATGGGTATCTATATTATATATATTTATACATACTGCAAATTTACTGTATATATAATATCATATAATCTCTCTCTCTCTCTCTCTCTTCCTATAATATATATATACTGTATATATATATACATTGTATGCATACTTTTTTGTTTGAGTATATTTTTAAGGTACCTGCACATTTTTTTGGTATTCTTATGAATTACATTACACAATGATATTTGCATCTGCCAGACTTGGATCTAATCACTTTATTTCCAATCACATCCTGTGTGGCAGTGGCCTGCTCCTGCCAGGGCTGGCGTGATGCCCAGTGACGTGAAGCAGCAGTTGAATGGCTACCTCGCAAAACATCGCAGCAGGAACCGGTTGTGACTTGCGGCAGTTACCCTCTGGTAATATGATCTGGCTGGAAAATGACCAAGCTATACCCTCTGGTAAACTAACATAACTATGGAAAATCACCATTTTCAATGGGTAAATCCACTATAAATGGACATTTTCAATAGCTATGTTAAATTACCAGAGGGTAGTTCGACTCTCCCAGATTTATTGACCATTAAAAAGGTTGGGAATTCCCATCGCCATGTGAAATTACCAGAGTGTAACAGGCAGTGTCTTTGAACTTCGGCTCTCCTTGTGGCGATTTCATGATTTCATGTGAGATTGGTTAGATGAATCGAAGTTCCGCTGGCAGCCACTGGACATTTCCCCAGGAGTTTCGCAGAAACCTTTGATCCACTTCTGGGCAACCAGCGGAAGACGTGCATCAGCCCAGCTGGTTTGGAAAGGGCAGAGATTGGACGTCATTTCAGTAAGATGTGGGCTGCAAATGGCTGCAAGACGTTTGAGGTGTCATTTTGACCCATTTCGACCCAATTCATCATGGCTTTGCATCTTCCAACCAGTATAGCCCATCAAATGATGGGTTTGAGATTCAGAAGTTATTCCACTTTCCTGCTAATTCGTTCACCAGTTTCCTGTGGAAAAGTGTGTTGGCTATGCAAGATGTGCCTGGTCGACTGCCCTGTGCTTTTCGCAGGAAGTTCCTGCCGCTTCCACCCGCCTGGATCAAGCAGGCAGCCTGTTCGCTGCAGTCCTATAGTCTCTAAACATGGTTTTCCCCCTTGAAAATGGCTCTGGGGCACCATTTTCCCCTCGATTTTGAGACAAAGCCAGAAAAAAAAAAATAGTTCCTGTCATGTCCCATGATATATCCACCTGAATATTCAAAGCCATCACACACATATATATATATATAGTACATATATTGTATAACCCCATATGGTTGGTTACAATTTCCCTGTTACATCCTCAACACACATCCGTTGCAGGCCGGCTTCATTGACAACAGCATTCGACCGGTGTTGGAGAAACTTTCCGGACAAAAAATGGCCCCTGGGACTAAGCTAAGCTGTCCGGGGTGCCGGGGGTGGGCACATGAAAAACAAACTAGATTGAAATACTCATATTGAAACAGTGATGATGATGATGATGATGATGATGGATGATGATGATGATGATGATGATGATGATGATGATGATGATGATGATGATGTTGACGATGACGATGACGATGACTAGGTTAGGAATGCATTTGTATGTGTATATATATATATATATGCATAATGTTACTGTAGTTTTTTGCCCTTACAGTCGCGAATCGCCTCGCCTGAGGAGTTGGTAAAGATCCATCCTGGCATCCGGATCTATGAAGCCGGCTCCACCTTGATGCAGCACTTGGATGGTGAGGGCCTCATGGGTTTTTACCGTTTTTACCATTTTTACCATTGGACACCCCAAGGAATCCAACGGTTTATCAATTAGACTTCCGAAAATTTAAATTGACACCCCAAGGGGGGGGTATATCAGACATTATCAGACACATCCGCACAACCTCTGCTGTTCAACAGCTGTTCCAAATTCGAAAAGCCGCTGGTATCGACCACTGGAGTGATCACGGTTTCGGGGATGTGAAGAACCCAGATGAACCCAGGAGGGCGGTGACAAGGTCCGCAGGGTGAGCTGCTGGATCCAAGGTCCTACTACACCGCTAGCAGTGACCTTGCTTCTTTCTGCCACGGAAGAAGGTGTCTCAGCTGCAACTGTTGGAGCGGCTGGTGTTGGGTTGCCTTCGAGCACCGGTTGAACCATGGTTTTGGGAGACCAATTAAACATATAAAACATACTGCTGCACCTGCCTTCACCTGCAACATTTCTTTATATACAGTACATCGTATACTGACGTACTGTACCCCCAGTATTGTATACACACATGCATGCATGCATACATACGTACGTACGTACGTACATACATACGTATGTACGTACGTACACACATAATTGCAGCACAATGCACGTACTATCCATGTAAATGTATATCATATATATATAATATTATATATAGATATGTATATTTTTATACGCAAAAAGTCATATCATATGCCGGAATCTTTCAGTTTAACTCATTAAATGTAGACCCAGCTGAAGCTTCCCATTTTGGGCTCGCTACCAAGGTCGCTCCTGGCACCTGGAGATCGGCTTGGGCGATGGCAAAGCGAAGCCCACACCGCTGGCACCAGGCCGCAGCCGGGATCGAGCGATGAGCCCAGGGGCATCCAACGAGCGAAGATTTCCATGGCCAGGAGCTACGAATTGAGTTTCCCGACCATGTTATGACATGTTATGATATGATAGATTCTCTCCGGTAATCAAACGTAGTAATTTTTCATAATTTTTCCACTTTTTGTTTTGGCGGCTAAAGCCTCAAAATCTCCCAAACACCATAAGCAATTGGTTCGCCGACATGGCATTCGGCCAATTTTGCACGGTCTGGATGTGATGGATTTTCAGCCTCAACCTCCTCTAACTTAGCTATCCATTTTCCACTGATATTCACTAACATGGCAAATACGCACCTAAAAATTGGCAGTCTACAAACCCAAATAATGTAAGATGAGGTCACATGCTTGGGATTTCAAGCCGCGATTGGGGTATCAGAATGGGTTTTTAAATCACGAAACTGGGATATTTTATTGGGTAAAACCAGCAAACAATAGGATATGATTTGTAAATCATGGGATATCGAGATATCATGGGGATAAGGAGGGAGATGAAACCAACAATATGATGTGAATGTGGTATTGATTGGGATACATTGAAATAGATAAGGGAATATTATGAGAATGGAGATGAGGTTGGTATTTTGAAGAAACAACATCAACCATGGGGATATTGGGGATATTGGGGGGTCCTACGGTGACACCAATTTATCAGGCAACTTATTGCTCATTTGCGTTCCGAAAACCCAAGGGGCAAAGGGGTCACCTAAGTTTAGGAACACCCAGAGCCACCTGGTCGATGGATGTGACGGTGGCTTGATCTCAGTTGCTGAGAGGCCATATGATGGTGTATGTGTCTTGGATGTATTTTGGCAGCTGAGTTGGGGTGGGCAGGCAGAAGGTAGGACGGTAGGACGAATGTTTGGTCGCACCATCTCATCATTTGTGCTGCAAGTCTCAGACCACGCAAGATTTCTCGGGGTTTCGCAGTCCTAAGCAGAGGATGGTCATCCTGTCAACTTGCCCCCAGGAGGGTGCTCGCCTGCCGCATGGTCGGTGGCATCCTTTGCGCAGATGTGGTACTGTGACCTATTGTGACCTGTTGTGACCTGTTGTGACCTGTTGAATCCTAGCGAAGATCATTTTGACCAGTCAGATTGACTTCAAGATGACCGTCCCAGGTCCGGGTCGTTGAAGAGTGGTGAGTTGGCCTTGGTCTTCGCCTACTACCGTCCTCTCAAGTATGCGGCTGGCCGGCAGACGAAGTCGATTTTCCAAATTCGATTGGAACATCGACAATCCCCAATGAACAGCCCTCATACCCTCTGGTTATGTCAAAATAGCTATTGAAAATGGCCATTTATAGTGAGTTTTCCCATTAAACATGGTGATTTTCCATAGTTATGTTAATTACCGGAGGGTACCCATACCCCAAGAAATCCACAATCGTGAACCAGTAACGGGCACAACTCGTTCACCCTCCATCCATGCACTGCAAGGATGCTGGAGCTGTGCAACGGCGCATCGATCAAGTCCTTTCAGCACAGAAGGTCAACCCACGAGGTCGGCCAGGCGCGGCGTTTGATTTGACGAACCCCGGGCTGTTTCAAACATGGCTGGGAAATCCCCGAAAAAAATGGAGGTTTTATTGGGAGCATCATCTATAAATGTGGGAGTGTCCGTTACCATTTTTGATTACCAGAGGCTAAATCAAAGTTAAGTCAAAATTGAATCTGTGACATCTATGAGTCCAAAATTGAGCGGTTCAGAGTGGGTCTTAAACAAGTCTTACACGTTGCCTTTTTTGTCACGGGCATCCTACGTTGCAAATCTTCGGATCTCAGGGTCTTAGGAGATGATGTCGAGCGTCCCAAGGACCACGGAAGGGCCCCCGCCGATCCAAAGATGAGTTTGGCGCCGGGCTTGGAAGGGGAATAGCTTTGAGAAAATCTTGATTTTGTAGGATTTAAATGGATTTAATGGGGATATGATATCATGGAAAAATCATCTATAAGTGGGAATGTGCACAGGAACATGCTGGGGATTTAATGGGGTTATCAATGGGATTCATGGGGCCTGTAGTGTAGTAGTTGAGGTTTGGAATTGCAGAATCGTTTGGCTCGGTTGAGCCGTGCTGAGGCAGTGCAGAAGAGCTCTAGGGGCTGTGAGCCATTCGGTGCAGTGGGTCCAAGAAACCTTGGCCAACGGCTGTTTCACAGGTGTCACTGCGATCCTTCCGGTTTCGCGCACCTTTTGTGCACATCGATTGCGTGCTGAAAAAGTGTGGCATCCCAATGCCAAGCACAAGTCCAAGTAAATTGGAGTGCACGTTGTGTAGGCGTTTGGCTACCGCGCATGATGGTCAATTGAATTGGTTGCTTGGGGTTTGGGGTGCCACCACCAGGTTTTGACTTGTCACAACGATGTTGCCTGCACAACCGAAGAATCCACCCTGACAGCCTTTCTGCAGGAGTTGCAATGTCGTGAGCCATGGACTTAGTGATGTATTTGAAGATCACAAAGGGGGCCCCCCTTGCGGGAATCGTGAAGTAATTTCGTTGTAGCTGGGTCTTGGCGGAAGTTTTCGTCGCTTCCCAATCTTGGCAGCTGAGTACCCTCTGGTAATTTAACATAGCTATTGAAAATTGCCATTTATAGTGGATTTTCCCATTAAAAATGGTGATTTTCCATAGTTATGGGACAGTTTACCAGAGGGTAAGGTGAATCACTGGTTGGGGTTCCAGCCGCATCGCCAGGTTCTACCAGGAGGAGCGCAGAGCAGAGAGACGTGACCGACGCAGGATGCAACTGGCGGACAGAGAAGGCCGTGGGATCCCCAGCGCTGACCGGGTAGCGGATGGTCCCAGGCTGGGATGCCATGGGAAACATGGGAAACCTAAAAATTCGCGAGAATGCTATGGGAATCCCCTGGAGGAAGACCAGTTTGGTAACATTTTAAGACTTTGAAGAAGCCACCGTATCTCACCAGTCATGGCTGTCATGGTATCTCGGCGTCACTCAAGGCCGCGTCCAAGAGGAACAACGAATGAAGGAGAATGCGGAAAGCTCAGTTGCCAGCTTTCGTCCCGTAAAAGCAGGCCGATGATGGCCGATTGCTGGCATGGCATGAGCGATGAGGCGGAGCGTGCACAAGAAGCCCATGAGAGGCAAAGATTGGAAGTGGAAGATCACATTTCTGCGGCCATCAGAAGGAGAGGGGCATGGGTTATGGGTCCCAGGTCCTCCTTGAGCTCTTGGTCATTGATGATTTCCAGATGCCGACTTGTGGAGTTTGTGGGACCGATGATACCATGAGTCCTAGTGGCCACTGAGGTAAAAATATCCTGAAGTTTACACTGCCACTGGCGGATTCTTCATTTTTTAGATTTTCGTTCATTTTCATGTTTAGTGATCCTCGAATCCTCAATGATGTTTTAGGATCGGTAATTGGATGCAATTGGGTGACTTGAGCATGTGCAATGACTCTGCGCCTTTGGCTTTGCAAGGCCGATTCGGGGCGCAGACATGGTCAGACAAGTTGTGAGCCATAGCACAGACACCCGCACAGCCACACAGCCCCAATGCTCAGTCGTTTTGTTTTTTTTGAGGACAAATTCTTTGATCAAGCAGAACCTGCACATGCATTTCCGGGGGGGGGGCAGGTCGGTCAAATAAAGCTGTCAGCAGAGGGTTCCGTGGGCGACTCCATGCTGTGGCGACGCTGTGTGACACCGTTTGCTGTGGTTCAAAAGCGACGCTTCGCTGCTACGTTTTGCCCTTTGCTGGAGCAACTGGGCGACATCGTTGTCGAGTTGCCGAGTTCTTTAATCACCATTAGTTTGACAACATTTTTCCCATTTTCCCATTTTCCCAACAACAGATTCAAGGGCGGTTCGATTTTGATGAAAATGAACTTATGTTACAAACAGTGACAGAACGAGACATCTCCGCAACATGTGTTCCTGTTTGTGTTTCTGCTGCGGTCTTGTTACAATTTTCCAGTTCCACTGAGGCAAGACATCATCAGAATGCGGCAATCCATAGAAGAGCGCAAACGCGTCTACAAAGAGGGACGCAACTTGCCAAGGCGAATAGCCGACAGTCTCAATGTGAGAGGTTGTCGCAACAGAAGTAGAATTATTTTTTTTTTTCCACAATTTGACTCTACGAAATAAACGCTGTGTTGATCAGTGTTGTTTTTTTGTAAGAGCCAAATCATATTGTATATATTTCACATTATTTCACTCTTATGTAATGTATGTCAATGTATGTCACAAGCGAAGACGACAGGCTTCATGGTGAGGCAACCCACCAGAATTCAAATTAGGCTGGAAACTTTGGGACATCCAAGGCAAACGCTTCATGCGCGGAGGCAATTTCTCTTGTCCCAAAGAGGAAAACCAATGGGCCTATCGACGTTTTGGCCACGAACGAGAGAGCCACTTGCTTCGGAATCTTACTGTCGTGAACTCATCCCTAGTAGACAACTTCGCTTCTGATGTTTTCCCCTAATCATCGAGTTCCCCACTTTGGGAAAAGAACTGTTATTTATATTTATTTATCCTTTTTTTTTTAACCACTGCAAACTTGCTTCAAAATACAGGTATGGATTCCATCCCTGATGTACCAACAGTTTGGGATAGTCCATCGGTTCCTTCACAATTTCACAAGGCAAAAGGATCAGGCTAGACTTGCAATGTATGAACTTTGAACATGCAACCAATGCAACCCATTTATTTGCGCATTCAGCTGTCAAAATCAGTTATGATCAGTTAATTCATCCTGTTCACAGGATTCATCATGTTTGGTTTCGCGCAACATGGAATTTATCGAATGGTAAAACAACAGATGTCGTGGCGCAGCATAATATTCCTGACACGACCTCTGAGGAATGAAGACAGAAGAACGAAAAATTGAGCAACTTAGCTGGAAATCATGCAAGGCTTCGATTGACGTATGCCGTATGCCGTATGCATGTAAAATCTCTCTCTCTCTCTATATATATTATGTTATTAATATATATATATATATATATATTATGTTATTAATATATATATACTGTATATATAATATGTAATATGTAATATGTACACCTCCAAAACCATGTATATTATATATATATGTAATGTCCATACATATTACATATTACATATTACATATTACATATTACATATTACATATTACATAAACCACAATCCACCACCATGAAATGATGTGGCATGGGACAAACGTGATGGACGAAGGCATGGACCATGTTTTCAATTTGTTTTACTGATTTAACCAGGCAATTGGTTTAATTTAGTACCGTTTTTTTTTTTTCTGAGACAGCACACTTCCAATCGTTTTGGAAAACTTAAATTCAATCGATTGATGATGCACCCAGGCAATTGGAAGATCGTTTGGACTATTTGTTGAAGAGATTCCGCCGTCATTGCCGTTGAGGCCCCTTTGTTGGGTTACTCTATCCGGAATGATGGTTGGTTATTGTGAGAAATTGCTTTGGCCTCAAAATAACCAGCGGAAAAAAACTGGGTTTTTTCAGCATCAACTACTGGATCTTTGGGAAATGGGGACCCAATCTTGCGGTTCCAGGCGGTGATGGCCTGGCGGCTGCGGTGAAAAAGTGCGGCGGGTTGAAATGACGACCCTTTAACAAAGGTGCTGGAGGCATCTGGAGGCACCTAGAGGCTAGTGAGTTTCACTGACTTTGAGTTAATTTGACCTAGGGTAACGACTTTTGTTTGCTCTGTAGTGAAGGATTGCCATTTCTTCCTACTACTTTTTTCCTTACTTTAGGAACCCAGGAGCCTCTAGTTTAAGGCGGCTGGTTGTCTTCCAGTGCTCAGGAGGGAACATGAGAAGCGCGAAGGGCGCAGGATGGGCCTCGAGGACAACTTATCTAAGTCCTGGCGTCAGAAACTGCGGATGGACTTTGAGATCCAGTGCTGGGAGACCCAGGATGAGTGGGGCTTGGGCAGCCAGGACTTTGCATCTAGAGGAGGATCTCTCATTTTTCCCATTACATATCTTAGCATATATATATAACACTATATATATATTATTATAACAATGTGCAACAAACATCTAATTATCTATAACTAGGATTAACTAGGTATAGTAACTATAGTATAGTACATACATTAAAACATATAAAAAGAATATAGAAAAATATCCAGATAGTTCTATTGCATACACCAGAAAGTTACAACCGTTATGGAAAGCTCGGGTCATGCCGAGGCCTCCACCGTGCTGACAAAGAGGGCCAGCGATGGCGGGACAAGTCCAAAGAGGCGCATGAAATCATGGACCTATCAGGTCCCAGTTGGCATACAGAAATAGGTCTTTTTAACTGTGAATGTATATGAGCTATGGTCAATACTCATGGTTAATAACCATTAATAGGGGCTAGTCATCCAATGGTTCATAGGGATTTATAGTAACCATTATAAGGATCCTTATTATGGATGGGATGACCATCAACCATATAGTGAGTATTGACCATGGCTCATATAAATAAATGTGTAATTGAAGTGATGAACACATTTAAACAATGTTGGCATATATATATATATGTTATATATGTATATTATAGACATATCCACGTATATGTATGTATATAAATGTATGTATATATATACATACGTATTAGGATGCACACTAGTTGACTCTTGTGCAGAACCCATGCATCCTGCCTGGTTATATCATGCTCGTGTTGTCCCTTGCGTGATACGCCCCAGGTCCAAGAACTGCAACAGATGGCTTTGGAAGACGAACGGTCGCGACTGCTTGGGGCCTTGGTGTTTGCTTGATGCGTCCATCTGATCTGCCACAATTTTGGCCAAAAACTCAGCATGTTTGGCCATTTTCACAAAAGCTAGCTTCTACTAGCTGAAGTCCCTTTTGCTTTATCAAGGTATTGGGGGGCTGGAATCTCCAATCGCATGAAACTTCATAGTTAACTACCCCTCCCCGGCTGGCTGGTTCACAAGCAGTTTGGCCGTGGCTCAATCCCCCCGGGGACACCGTCGGCATGTTGCCCCTGGCAGCAAATTCGGCAGCATCCGCATCCTCAGCATCATTGTGTTTTAATGCAAAGCTCCCTGCCAAGCTCGCTTTCGTCCCTTACCCCTGGGCCTCAAGTTCATGGAGAAAATGATGATTCAGCAGCCAAAAGATTGGGGAGGGCCATTTATTTAGGGATTTTTTTTTTTTTAGTTTAGGGATTTTTTTTTGGATTTCTTCCTGCTTACTCTATTGCCTCCTGCAGTGCTTCTCTGCTTCTTTGCTTCTATTCCTTTTTTTGCTTTTCTTGCTTTTCTTTGCTTTTTTGCTTTTTTGCTTCCCTTGCTTTTCTTTGCTTTTCTTTGCTTTTTTGCTTTTTTGCTTTTCTCGCTTTTCTGCTTTTCTTTGCTTTTTTGCTTTTCTTGCTTTTCTTTGCTTTTTTGCTTTTTTGCTTTCCTTGCTTTTCTTTGCTTTTTTGCTTTTCTCGCTTTTCTGCTTTTCTTTGCTTTTTTGCTTTTCTTGCTTTTCTTTGCTTTTTTGTTTTTTTGCTTTTCTTTGCTTTTTTGCTTTTCCATGAGGTGTGGAGCAACATCAACAACAACAACACCAACACCAACACCAACAACAACAACAACAACAACAACAACAACAACACCAACAACACCAACAACACCAACAACACCAACAACACCAACAACACCAACAACACCAACAACACCACCACCAACAACAACAACGACAACGACAACGACAACGACAACAACAACAACAATAACAACACTATCAACACAAACACAACCGCCAGCAACAACACCACCACCACCACCACCACCACCAACAACAACAACAGCAACAACAACAACACCACCACCACCAACAACAACAACAGCAACAACAACAACAACACTAACACAACACTAACAACACTAACAACACTAACAACACTAACAACACTAGCAACACTAACAACACTAACGGTAACAACAACAACACTAACAACAGCAACAACAACAACACCACTAAACAACAACACTAACAACAGCAACAACAACAACACCACTAAACAACAACAACAACAACAACAACAACAACAACACAACACCAACAAACAACACCACAACAACAACAACAACAACAACACCAACAACAACAACGACGACAACAACAACAACAACACCACCACCACCACCACCAACAACAACAACAACACCACCACCAACAACAACAACAACACTAACACAACACTAACACAACACTAACACAACACTAACACAACACTAACACAACACTAACACAACACTAACACAACACTAACAACACTAACATAACAACACTAACAACACTAACATTAACACTAACAACAGCAACAACACGACCACCACCACCACCAACAACAACAACACCACCAACAACAACAACACCAACACCAACACCAACAACAGTAACAGTAACAACAAACAACTGTTGGAATGTCAGCCTTCAGCTCCAAAATCCTGCAAGTACTGTGAGGAATGTAGCTGTAAAATGTTGCACATACGGTGGAAATGCAGATTCCAGCTCAAAAATGCTGCAAAGAGCATGGAAAATGGACAGAACATGCTGCAAACTGTTGCAAATACCGTGGAAAATACAATGGAAAATGAGAGGTTCGAACTCAAAACCGTTGCACATACCGTGGAAATGGCAGTTTCCAGCTCCAAAATGCTGCAAATAGCATGGAAAATGGTGAACCGGAAATCCAAAAAAAATTCCCCAAACTAAAAAAAAAAAATCCCCAAACAATTTCCTACCCAAAGATTGGGGTTGCACACCTCATTTCTGCCTGAACATTTGACCTTTTCTTTTCTGCTGACCAACAGACTGGTGGAGCTGCACCTTTTCGTCTTGTTTAGGGTCACATTACAACAACTTTGCGGCTGACAAATGGCCGTTTGCAGGGGAAATCACTATCGTTTTTCCAGCCTTGGGATCACAAATGCAAAGCATTGGGTCATGTTTTGGATGTTTCAAGCAACCCATCTCCACCTTAGGCAGCAACTCTGCAGCCCTGTGGAGTTCAGTGAGGCAGTGCAGGTCACGGAGCCCAATGACTTCTCAAAATACATTGAAGTAGTTTAAAATACTAAAGTGTGCAGAGATCCAGTACTAAACGAGAGCGGGTATTTTTATACAAGTGAAAAAGGGGGTATCATGAAGCCATCAAAATTTATTGAATGACTTGACCCTTGTCCACAAGCATGACTCCGCAGGGCCAGAGGAACGCTGAGACTGTTCCTGTCGACATTTCGGTCACTTAGACGGAGAATGGGATGAAGGGAACATTTTTGGGTAAACCCCGTACATACTACATACTGGTAAAGATCATGGTTTTCTATACAATTTCCGACCCACCTAACCTAATGAATCCTAATGTCCTAATGAGACAAGCAGCTTGTGGAAAGACAGTGAAAATAGGAAGAGGACTACTGAAAAGGGGTTGCCTTGCCTTCGTGGGCTTTGGCTTGGTTGGTTTGGGTCTTTGCCCCCTTGGTTTCTTTTTGCGGTCGCTGGCTGTTTGCACCTTTGGTGTGGTCTGGGCGCCTTGGCCTCCCGACGCCATGGAGTCGTTTGTTCCCGTTGGGCCTTTGCTCTCGGTGTTCATGGCGTGCTTTCGTTGTGGGCTGCTGCTGCTGCTGCTGCTGCTGTTGTGGCTACCCCCTCGCTCTGCGCTGTCTATTTGGGGGCAGTTCAGATCAAAGTTCAACAATTGCTGGACAACACATGGATGTTTTCTGTCATACGGCTTTGGTTTTGATTCTTCATGATCTCAAAGCATCTCAATTTGTGAAGCTACATCTATGTCCCGCCACCTTGATCTTTCATCGGGGACTTTGACTTTCAGCGAACAAGGGACACACTCCTAGCACAGTGGAAGCTATTTACGTTGGAGCCATCCGGATACCCTCTGGTAAACTAACATAGCTATGGAGAATCACCATTTTTAATGGGTAAATCCACTATTAATGGTCATTTTCAATAGCTACGTTAAATTACCAGAGGGTATAGGGTTCAGGCCGCTTCGCCAAAGAACCGGCGAAGTTTTGAGTCGAGATAGTCAAGTCTTCGGCTGCACGAGTGCGCCTTGGATCTGTGCCCAGGTTCTTTCGAGGATGGTCATCCCTATTTCTTCAGGTCCAGGGGGACTGCGAATTGATGAATTGGTTTTGCGCTCCAATTGATGATGATTGATGATTGATGATTGATGATTGATGATTGATGATATTGGATGATGATGATGATGATGATGATTGATGATTGATGATTGATGATTGATGATTGATGATTGATGATTGATGATTGATGATTGATGATTGATGATTGATGATTGATGATTGATGATGATGATGATGATGATGATTGATGATTGATGATTGATGATTGATGATTGATGATTGATGATGATGATGATGATGATAACGATTATTATTATTGTTGTTGTCATCAACCTGGGTCTTTAAGATCAAATCAGCGATGCAAACAGCTCGCAACAACATCCTCCCATTTTTGACAGGCAGGATTGCGACGTCTCCTGGAAACAGTTTCCAAAATCTACCGAGATGTTGAGCACCCAAAAGTCGGAAACAGATTTTCCACCTCAAAAAGTTTTTTTTTTTGTGTAGAGCCTATTTCTGGTGATACTGTGATACTCCTTTTTTTGTTCGATTTTCCGGTCTGCATCAATTCTTTCCACCAGGTGAAGTGAAGAGCTCGTCCACGGTTAGAGAAGGCAATCCGATGGTGGGGAGCAGATGGAGGATTTGACCCTTTGGTAATCAAAGGTGGCAATTGAAAATCCTCCATCAATGGTGTTTTAATATGTTTTAATGGGAAAATGAATGAACATGATCTACTGTATAAATAGGCCATTTTCCATTCCCATGTTTTTTTTTTACCAGAGGGCAAACCAAATTTGACAAAACATCGACTGATCTCTCGCCGCTTTTTTGGGCTGATAAGCAAGCACTAGTAGGGATTTGAAGCAACAAAAACGGTTGGATATGATTAGATAAGTCTAAACATGGACGGTCTGATATTATTTTGAGTCATACAGATCATGCATACATTGCGATTTGTACGTTTTCCTGAGACACGGAAGGAGTGTTGCTGAACTTCCCCAGAAGCGAGCCACAGTATGATGAAGGTTTGTGTAAAGGTTGCAATGGAAGCAAACCACAGACCATTTGGAGGGTTCCACAGCTCGTGATCTAACCGCTGTGTCCTGAAGTCTGCTGCGCTTGTTTGCAGACCGTGCAGCCCAGCTTTCTGCCTCATTTGGAAGCGTTTTATGTGTGTGTATATGTATGTATATATATATATATGTCAAGAACTCACACGTTTAAGGTCGAATAACAGTGTGAGATATATTCGTTACACATTACAACCAAAGCTTCGAAGGAGAGCTTGACTGCTGGGCTCGAGCCCCTCGCAGCACCCGGCGTGCCAGCAAAGCTCCTGAGGTGCTTCCGATGCGGGGTCTCAAAATTCAGAGTCGAATGCGGAAGACACACACACAAAGCGATATTCATGGGATAGATCTGTATATATATATGTAACGCACGAATATAAATAAATAAATAAATAAAGAAAGAAAGAAAGAAATAAACAAAATAACATTTTTAAAAAACATGTATATATATTATATAATGTGTGTATAGATGTATAGGATATTCATAAGTATATTAGTGGGATATCAACCAACCACAACTAAAAAATGGTTGGTTTCTGATTGAAAGACCTTTGGATGTCGCTAGTGAAGGTGCACACCTGCGGAAATGCGATCTGTGTGAAACTCTGCGAGGCCGCCGGCTAAAACGTGCAGAAGATAAGGTCATATGGCTATGGATCAAGATTTGAGAGCAAACAACCCATGAATTCTGGCTGATCTTTACTGCAAACCCATTTGTTTTGGGGTATGTTTTGGACACCCTGCCCATATTTTGTTTGTTTGCAAGCTAGCATATGTCCCCACAAAAGAGCGCGCACAAAGATGGCACATGCTCACAACCACATTGCCATAACAGGGAACACATTGATGGCACACTCAGCAAAATCCTTGACGATTTTACAAGTCCATGTGCCATTTGTTCGGGCTGAATTCTATGTGCCATCCATGTGTACCTCCCTATACCATAATTTTGACCCAAACCCATATTGAAAGGTCTTGCATAAAGGATGGTATTGAAACATGCACAAACATAATCGTAAAACTGCAGAGCTAGGTATGGATTCGAGTGGACATGCAGATTCGCTCTTGATGGAGTGAACAAGCAGCAGAGCAGGTGTTTTGCCTAGCCACGAATCGATTGATCAAAGGCATCAGGATGATTCGTGTTGTGCAGATGCTATACTCCATTATGGCCATGGCTTTGAACAACCGTTTTCCAAGAATTGGACGAAGGAAACATCCACTGGAACCCCAAACAATTTGTTTGGTATGTTTGCTCTAAAAAAACCATGGGTTTCTTGCAGATTTCCCCTCAAATCCATTGAAATTCACGCGTCTTTCGCAGGGTGCGAGACGGAAGCGAGGCACAGCTGTGACTGTGTTTGGTCATGACCTGCCGGGATGGTGAGAAACATATAGGAACCGGCTGTTCATGGCCTACTATAGGGTTGTTTAATGTGATTTACAAGATTTTACAAGTACACTAATTAGAGCTGCTATAATTAGCAAATCTAGCAGAATCTAGCAGTTAAATGAGGGTCAAATAACACAGCCGAAAGTCGCAAGGAATCGGGCGCCATATTCCGCGCGACCGCACAGCTTCTTGCATTTTTGGCTTCGAGCCCACGCAGGTTTGGAGCCAATGCCATACACTGCTTACACTTGAAATCAAACATGCCGGAAAAGTTGAAGCACAAACTTGGTTGATTACATCTGATCAGCTTGTATCAAAACTGACCACAGCATAACAATCATAACATGTCAAGCTGTTCAGCTTGCTGAGACTGTGAAGTTTCATCCCATGTGAAGTGTTTTTTTTGTTGCAGGAAGATACAGCCTTGTTTGGAACAGTGCATCAAACATCATCAAACCTCATCAAACCTCATCAAGCATTAGTCACATTAGTCACATTAGTCACATGCCATGACGAATTGCGGTCGTTTCAGACGTAGCTGAAACAAGACCGTGGCTTGAGAGGTTGATCCCAGGGCCATGCCGCCATGACCAGCTGAATGGTCCTCAGCAGCTTGGCTCGTGTTCCCTTCATGGACGTGGCAATTCCGTTGCAACGGCCCTGTGAGCTGCAGGTTTTTTGCCGCGAAGACTCTTGCTGATTTTCCTGGTGATTTGGGTGCCTCAGCTTGCAGATTTCGCCACACTGCAGTCCATCAGTGCGAGTTTCATCGTGATTTATGATCCGACCCCTTCACTCCAGAAAGCCATTTTGAGGAGAGAAACTGAATCAACATTTTGTGCAGCAAAGGCAGCACTGGTCATCTACTTGTTTGTCGTCCACCAGGAGCGGTTGCGGCCTGGAATTGACGTATTCCCCAAATCGGTTTGGCATCTTTTCTGATTCTGCTGCAATGTGAGTGGAGGTGTTTTTTTTCTGAGACGTACCAACGTTTCCGCCGACGTCAGAATCAGAGTTTGTCTGACAATGTCGTGTAGCAACAGCTTCATAACGGTTGATCATGATCCCCAATCATCCCCAAGTGAACTGGCCATTTGGGGGTCACTTCCCCCATTTTCACACACATGTCATCCACATTTTCAGCTGGCGTATCCACCATTCAGCCAGGAACAGGTGAGCAAAGAGGCGTCCAAACATGGCCGCGTCGAGGAACGCTCGGGTGATCCAGTGGACCTGGAGGATTTTTTGGGATCTGGGATGCTGAAAACTGACTTCTTTGGCATTTCTGTGGCATTTCTTTCTTGAAGAATGGTGGAATATCATGAATTTCCAGTGCCAGGCTCATCTGGAAAGACTGCCGCACAGCCAGAGGTTGGGTGATCAGCCGCAGATCAAGAGGTTTCATGAGATGGGGATGGATTCAAGTTGTTAAGCCCCAAAATTGGTGGATATTTTTTTTCCACAATCTCTGATGCCTGCAATCAACAATTTTGATACATTACCATTATTGTCACTATTATTGAGATCAACAATATTTATCCTCTGGCAATTTAACAGTTCGCCATGGAAGCCATGGCCCTAATCGAAATAGATGCTTTACCTAGCTATAAAATGGTGATTTTGATTTTCCATGGTGAACTGTGAATGTCATAACCAGATGGTAACCCCCCAAATAACCAGAGGTTCATACTGAAATGGACCACCTTGATCCGATCAGGAAGCACTGGACGGGGAGCTGCAGCCGATGCGCAAACGTTACGGGTTGCTGCTGGGAGCTTCGAAACAAGTGGCTCCATGCACAGTTCACCGACAGGTGGAGTTCTCACCGACAGGATGGATCAGCTGGGTGAAGATCAAACATCCATAAACCTATAGCTACCCAAAAAAAAAGATAGAAAAAGTCGAATCCCACTACCCTCTGGTTATGTCAAAATAGCTATTGAAAATGGCCATTTATAGTGGATTTACCCATTGATAGCATGGTGATTTTCTATAGCTATGTTAGTTTACCAGAGGGTAATTCGTGGATTCTACAAATCTGAAAAACCGCGAATTTCTAAGGGGTCCATTGATACCCAAATAAAACTTGACCCGTACCCAGTTTCTGCTGAATATCGCAAGATTTGAAGCCAGGTGCTTGGGTAAAGCAACTGGTGAATGGTGGGTTCAATAGCTTCATTTTCAGACACTTTGATGGAGGACCCATGCATCTTCCCACCAAGAGAGACCTTTACAATCCCTTTCCTTGTTTGTCTCACTTCTACACATTTTTTTTTGGCTCAAAAGCTACGCCACGCCATAAATATGTGTGTACAGTATTAGAAAGTACATGTAAGTACACAATAAGTATGTACATAGTATTATATATACATATGCAATACATATACAGTATACAGTATACATACATATATAATACACATACTATATATATATATGTTCCATACGTATATATATATATCATATGTTTGCATCTATCTCTATATCATTATGTCTATATCGATATTGCTAAGAGTACCCCCGCATCTCCGTAGGCCTTCTCCCCAATGGCTGGCCTTCAGCGCGAGCCCAGAGATAGCGTTGCCGGTGCCCCTTGGGGTAAACCACTTGACCAAGTCTGGTTTTTTCCTGGGGGATTTGTTGGCAGAACTGTTTTTTTCTTTGGGGGGAACGTGTTTTATGGAGGATTTCTCGGGGTTTCATGGTTTTTTTGTTCGAATCTCTTGGGGTTTTGGGGGTTTTTGGGATGAAAGATTGGGCGGCTTTGTGGGCTAATGGATCGGCACATGGCATAGATGTTGTGAAGAAAATCGCAACATCCAACAACCTGGGATTATCCTTGCTTTTGGGCCTGCAAATTGATTGCCAGAGCTCTACCTCCATCTTTTCTTCGACTTGGTGCGAGCCCTCTAAAAGGCCAGCGTTTCAGCTGGGGAACCGCCGCTTTCCGAAGCGGCGGGTCCCGGGTCAGGTGAAATCCTTCCCGCTTTTCCAGCTTCTGCCATCAATGCAGGATGCAGGGGCAGGCTGCAATGTGGAGCTGACAGCCTCAGGAAACTAAAAGGTTGGTAGCCAAGTTCACTGAACTCTGATGGTTGCACCCAACTCTGTTCGTCTGGAAAGTTACCATAAGTTACCCGTGAGAGTTCCAATTCGAAGCCAGCGGAAGCCAGATCTTCATGATCTTCAGGGTCCATGAAATAATTCACTGGATTGGTCCCTCTTGATGAACTCCTTAAGCATCCAACCAGACCACATGATTCCATGTTGCCCAAGCTGGATTGCTCCAGAACCGCCAGGAGATGAATTGCACCTTGGAGGACAATGATATCAATGATCCCGCCACAGACGCTCCCAGACGCTATGGCAGATTTACAACAGAAAGTGTAGACATCGGACCCACTAGATGATTTTTCCAATAAAACGTGGACGTTTCAGAATTGTATGCGTCTCTGTTGTGTCTCTGTCTGATCTCAGACCTGTTGTTTGAGCTTCCGGGTTTCAGGGCCCACTTGAACAAGTTTCGTGTGGGCAGGATGTCAGACAAGACGGGCCACTGTCCCTGGACTTGGATCTGAGACGCTTGGACCTGGTTCAGGTTGCTATAGATTCTATAGATCCTTGGTATGTCATTTATGTTGATTGTGAATGGGGCGGATCATCAGACAGGCAGGCGGAGGCGTGATTTTCTTCACGGTTCACTTCAAAACACCGAGGTTGCGGAAACATCCGTGCGTCTTTTTCGGCGAGATTGAACGATGAGGAGCAGTTTGTTTGGCCGGTTCCAAGTCGGATTTTGGTCAAGGGGGGACATCAAACGCATCAAACGCAACCAGCTTGACTGGGGATTTCGTCAAAAATCATTTGGATGTGGGTCAAAATGGAAGACCTAGGGGACCACAGATGTTAGTCTAGTTTAGTATTAACCATCCATAATTTTGGGGTACCTAATTTTGACCCATACCCATTTGGGGTACAATCAATTCACAATGAGTGGGGTGTCAGTCGTAATTGAGGATCCTCAAATCTCCTACGGTCCAAGTTGTTGGGGAAAGCTGTGCCAGGATTCCCACTACATGCGTTTCAAGGTGCTCCTGTCCGGGTGGGCTGCAACCCTGAAAAGGGAAGTCACCTGCTGTCAATCCATGACTGATTCTGGTTTATGTGTGATTTCAAAAAGTGTTGTGGAAATCTAGAGGGCAGCAACCACCTGAGAACCTGCGATATTGGACATTTTCCCATCTAAATTTGTGAGGTGTCCTCAATTTGGGACATGTAAAACCTCGCTAAAAATGTATCGGTGCTACAGTGCTACAGGTTCGCTTGGCGTCGGCTTCGGACCAGTGGCCTGGTGGTTATGGGGAGCTGGGATCCCCAGGGGGGCAGGACGGGAAGAAAAATCCGCAGCAGTTGCCATGTTGGGAGCATCTGTGCATTTTTTCTGTAGCCCTAAAGTGTTACAACGACATGTGATCTCCAACATCATTCATGTGGGTAAAACAATGCCATTTTTACCCATTTTCCTGGGAATGGTTTACACACCAGCAACAAAAACATGGTGATGACTGGGGGATGGTTTATGTTTGTTTTACCCACATTAATCACTATTATATCAACCATCATCAACCATCATCGATCATCATCAACCATCATCAACACCATAATTAACCATTATTAGCCATCATCAACCATCATTAACCATTATTAACAATTATTAACCATTATTCACCATTATTCACCATTATTCACCATTATTCACCATTATTCACCATTATTAACCATTATTAACCATTATTAACCATTATTAACCATTATTAACCATTATTAACCATTATTAACCATTATTAACCAATGGAGATTTCCCATTCGGCCTAAAAGCGAAACATCTGAGCCCATCATCATCCCATCGTCGCAGGCTGCGTCTGTGGAAGCTTTCGGGTTCCAGTCACCTGGAGGAAACCAAACTTCCTCGAAGAGATGAGGACGGCCGGACATGAGAAGATTTGAAGTGAGCATCAACTTACAAAACCTACATCGTTTTTTTTTTTTTTAAATCTACTGGATGAAGGTATATAGTATATAGTTATATATATAAGTATATCTATCATTCATCATCATCTTATATAATTTTACATTGATGTGACCAAATACTATTCCGATGATCATCTTATATCATTTTACATTGACCTGACCAGAGACGATTCCGATGATGATGCTGATGATGCTGATGATGATGACGACGACGACAGCGGCGACGATGATATAACTATTTCAAATGCATTCAATTTGATTGTCCCTTTCGCGGCCACATTGTGAGGATTGTTTGCTGAGAGCATTTGTTATTGCCATGCGGCTCCAACCATCATATGGCTCCCTCAAGAGCCCCCGAAGCAAAACGAGATGATTATCAAGATGAATTCAACATCACTATGTCATGTCACATTTCAGGAAACATGATCTATTTCTTATGAACTATATCACTTATATCACCAGATCAAAGACGCGCAGCAACTTCTGCAAACATTTGGCGAGATCTGACCGCCATGGGTGCCTGTGAATGTGTGGAAGTGAAGCATTCTGGCGAGGCGCTTGGGGGTGAGAGACGGGGCTGGTTGAGTGAAAGTCTTGGATCTCCCAACAGACTCTTGATACTTTAAAACTTAAAACCTTTAGGATACTGTTGGAAGATTGGGATTCAGACTCTTGGAAGAACATGAAGACTGAAACCTCGAAAGCATGCGTCAGCTCGAAACTTGGGTCCCAGCAGGCTCAAGACTCAAAGATTGAGTCAGGCTTGTGGCAGTACTTGACCCATGGGTCTGTGTTCCTCCAAAAAGTCCTTGAAGGTGGTGCATCCCCTGGATGTGGTCCCCGATGGACCCACGGCACCAGCACCTGCCGCCGGCGTGGCCGCTGTGGAGCCGGTCGCAGCGCCAGCGCCGGCGGCACCGGCAGCGGTCGCAACGCCAGCACCGGCGGTGCCAAAGGCCGTGGCCAAGGCGAAAGCCAAGGCGAAGGCCAAACCAACGTCTTTGATCAAGGCAATTAAGGTGAATGATGTGACCGTGGTTGAGGAGTTTTTACAAGCTCCAGACTGCAACTTGGAGGTGCTGGGAATGTGGGATAATACTCCGCTGCTGGCAGCCTGCATGTATGGACATTCTGAGGTGGGCGCGAATGAAATTGGGTACACCAAAAATTGGATCAACATGGATGATTCACCAAAATGATAGATCGATTTCTAAGTTGCGAAGGGTTTCATCCACAATCATGACCCACATTTGCGTTGTTTTTTTTCTTCGATCCTTTAGCATCCAGGTGGCTCTGAAACTCCTTGCCCGCGGGGCGAATGTTTTTGCTCAGAACGAGCATGGTGCCACGGCCTTGCACTACAGCTCCGTGGAGGGCTCCCGAGAGGTGACGAAGGCCATTCTGGATTCGGCCTCCTCTGAGGTGGAGAAACTGGTGACACTTCTCACGTGCTCAGTGCTTTGGGGATGTTGCGACCAAAAATCGGGGGTTTAACTGTGTAATAATCAACAAAAGGGGATTCAAAATAGAATAAATTGAAACAATGGGCTGGGGATCTTGGGATTGGTTCAAGCCTGTGGTTTTCGGAGAATAGGAGGGGACTCCGGGAAGGCACACAACTACCACCTCTTTGCATGAACCAGCCGGAACCAGCCGGAACCAGCACCAGGAACATCAGCAGGAAACCTCCCCTTTTAAAAAGTTTGGTTAAAATCGGTGAAGACTTTCCTGCTCCATGTCCTTCACTCCCAGGGGTCCCAGGGGTCCCCGGGGTCCCAGGAACCGTGGTGCGGCCAAAGTCTACAATCGTCACCTTGATTGCTATGGAGAACGAACACCTCTAGCAGCTGCTGCTGAAAGCGGATTTGAGGATTCAGTCGCTCTGCTGTTCCTTGGCAGCTGTCCCAAGGTTTGCGGGGCGATGAGTTATGCAGCCAGATATAAATAGGCTGATAAATGTTTTTTTTTGCGCCCAGTTCTGAGTTTCTCTGTGCCATATAAAGGTTTTAGTTATTTGTGTTGGTTCATTAATCGAGATCTTTTTGAAACGAATCATGTAGTGGTTGGTAAGCAGGATCCCATCACGGCGCAGTCCTCAACACCATTCATCTGGCCAGATTGTAACGAGGGTCACTGCGACGTCACTGAAAAGGATGGTTAGTGAAGGCAATTATACCCATATTATGCCTAAATGACTCAAATGACCATTAGAATTTATCCCAGTTAAGTATACTCCCAGTTAACACTCCTGAATCAGAATTCAGCCAGATGAATCTGAGGCTGGCGGCAGGTGCGAGGCTTGACGAGGCTGATGGGGATGGAAGAACAGCCCTGTGGTTGGCGGCTCGACACAGCAGACTGGGAGTTCCTTGGAAGACCTTCTTCTGGGCGCATTGGATTACCCTCTGGTGAACTAACATAGCAATGGAAAATCACCATTTTTAATGGGAAAATCCACTATTTCAATGGCCATTTTCAATAGCTTTTTGTATGTTTACCAGAGGGTACTTGGAATGTTGGTGAAATATGGTGAATGTGAGGGGAAATCATCCCCCAAATGGCCCAACATCTCAGCTATCAGCTTCGTGAATTGCTATATATAATTCAGCTAGATTAGATGGTGAAACTCGTGAAACCCTGAACTGAAACAGGTCCGAACCAAAAGATGAGCCATTGATCTCCAGGCACTACTCCTCCACAACTTGAAGGATTTGGATTCGTGGTAGGGATGTATCCTGGTCTCTGCCTACATATCAAATATCAATCATAATATGTAACTATATAATTACATCTATAATCATATTATATATAGTTATGTGTATATATATATATACATAATATATATATATATACACATAACTATATATATATACACATAACATATATATATATATACACACATAATATATATATACACATAATATATATATATACATAATATATATATATATACATAATATATATATGCACATAATATATATATATACATAATATATATATATACATAATATATATATACATATATACATAATATATATATACATAATATATATATACATAATATATATATATATATATACATAATATATATATATACATAATATTTATATATACACATAATATATATATATAATGTATATATGTATTATATATATACACATTATATATATATATACATAATATATTTATATACAATATATATATATACATAATATATATATAATACATAGTATATATGTATACAATTGTATACACATAATATGTATATATATATATATGTATAGATACCTAATCACATATCTACTCCATCTACCTATATGCACCTTTATGTATCTAGATTATATATATATATATCAATATCTACACCATAACATTTTCTTTATGTAACAATATCTGTGTCTCCATTAGCATTTCCCATCCTACCTCCCAGCCGACTCTCAGGTTGCTCAAGTCTTGCTGAAGCACGGTGCGGACGCCACACACTGCGACAAGGAGGGCAGCTCCGTCCTTGGCGCCGCCACGGCGGGGCGTTGCAACGATGACTTGGTCTTGGCCTTGCTGGCGGTGAATGGGTCCCCTGGCTTGGTCATGGGACATCCACTGGGGAAATCTATAGGGACATCTGTAGGTTATATATATATATGATTATATATGTACATATATATCTATAGATTTATACAGTATTATATAGATCTATGATCTATGCTGTAAGATCTTTTGGTTTGGAGAAGTGGGGAATCTATAGATTCTATAGATGCTGAAATATTCTGAATATGGTTGTTTTTTTTTGGGGTTGATAGGCATTGCTAATCAGAATTGAGTACCCGTTGGCGACTGAAATTTGGAGTATACACCCAATGTCTTGAGGTGATGAGACAAGGGTTTTGCAGTTGTTGAAGGGCATTTTTTTTATGGGCCTGACTGCCTGACTTGAGGATGGCCTGCTAGAGGTAGCACTGTGTAGTTATATGGCACAGCCTCCTATTGGAGTAGAAGAGATGCAAAGAGCAATGAGTTACAGAAAATCATGGGAGATGGGAACTATCATAATTAGAGCTATATTACTATTGTAGCTATATATAATATGCATATATATATTATACACAAATATATATATAATACACATTTATACGGATGAATAGTACATGCATTTTCCTGTAGCCTTTCCCTCCCCCCGGGGCCCCGGATCCCCCGTTTCGCCGAGGCTGGATGTCAACAAGACGTCCGGCTCGCCGCTCTTCGATGTGGTCAAGGCCAACAAGAAATCGCTGGCCGAGACCTTGCTGACGCACGGCGCGGCCGTGAACACGCCAGGCTGGGGAAGTTGACTCTGGAGTTTGGAGGTTGGGTTTCCAGGGGAAGGATTCTGGAGATCTGGACATGATTTTGCCAGTGATGGACTCTGACAGACTTTGTTGTACATTTCCATATACTCTATATATATATATATATTTAGTTATATGATTTATATGGACGTTTTGAAGACCTCAAGAGTCCAGGTATCAAAAACCACTGCCAGGACCCGGTGGACGCACTGCGCTGCATGCTGCATGTGAGCGAGGCGATGAATACTTGGTGCAATTGTTAGTTCGATCTCGCGCTGATACGTCCATCGCTGATGCGCAGGGATTCACTGCTTTCGACTTATTGCGAAGACGGGGCCTCCCTGATGGGAAGATCCTTGCCATGTTCAACTTGCCGGCACAAAGTGAAAGTGACGGAGGGACCGGCAGTGCCGCTGATGGTTGAGCTCTGAACGGTGACAAAAAGGTGAGATGGTGCGTGACCAGTTGTTGATTTTAAGCATAAGGCACTTCCTAGCCAGCGGAAAGTGCGACAGGATTTGCTGATTTCTCAAATTGTTGGCTACATGCAATGACATGGTCAAGATTGGTCAAGTGTTGTAAATACATGAAACACACCACTGTGGTGTTGCTCAACAATCCAAGGAGGGCTTGTTTGAAGTGGAATCCTCAAGTTTTCCGCCAACATCCGTAGCCATTCTGATGCTCAAGGCGCAACGCCATTGAAAGTTACCATCCTGCCTTGTCCGTTGGGGATGTGCGACATTGTGCAACCAGGACATCAAGCCCTCGAGGTTGCGAAGTCAGTTCCCCAGGTCCAGGACTCGCCTGCTATCTGACACTATGGATGATTGGGTGGCAGGAAGCTGCGACTCTTGCCGTCCTTTCTGGCTGAGCTTCAGAATACCAAGCTGCTGTACTTTTTGGCAGAACGCATCCCTTGATCCCAAAGATCTTTGGACCACAGAAGTATGGCAAGCCCTTTGAGATAAGAAATTTTGAGGCCGTTGAAGAGATAAAGGAGGTAGCACTATGCGGCTATGCGTCGAGAGCGCGGCAAAAGTGGCTGAGGAACTGAACATTTTCCAGTCGCAAGAGCGCTTGGAATCCGAGTCCGATTTGCTTCAGCGCCTGGGTCCCCCCTTCGCCAAAGCCTGGATGGGCAAAGAGATACAACACAAACGGTTGTGAATACACAACTTGCCGACTTACTTAGTTACTTCCTGGAGAATGCTTTCAAAGTTTATGGACCTGAAAAAGTTGCGAGACTTTCACGTGCCAAACTTGGGTCCAAACCCTTGGAATCCATGGCCCGAAAACATTTTTTGTGACAGTGATCCCGCCCCTCATTTTTTTTATGTTGCTGAGTCCCAGCATTTGCGATAGGCTGTGAGAATTTTGAGCGTCTTCCCCAGTGCGGGTGCGATACCCCAAGTGTATTGCTGGCAGCTCCCCATGTTGAATGGCATCGCCCAAAGCACCGCTTTGTGTTGAATTGAACGCAACGAACAATATGATTTTGGGGGAATCTTACCCATCGTATGTATTTTTTGTTGGTTTTCCCATGTGAGTAATCCCATCTCAAAGTTCAACGCTCCCCATATGACATATGACCCCCCAAAATGCATGGATCCCATACTCAAATAGGTATTGGTTTGGGGGATATGAAAAGAATTAGAGGGAAGGGAGTACTATAGTTGATTCATTATTGTTAGTTGGTGATATTCCCATTTCCCATTTCGGGATGATTTAATCCATTACTATGAAAATTACATTCCATGACTGCTAGTTGGTTATATATGTTATATTTATTCCCATGATGTCCCCATTCTATCCCCCTTCTACCCCCGCATTTGCGCCAGGGCCCTCTGCCGGGCCCCTTCCCTGCTAGCCGGGCGCTGACGATGTCGATGACCGCGACCCTGCTGCCGAATGGAGGCGGATCATGTCGAAACCCCCAAGAAAGCATGGGTTTACTATGGGATTTTAGTGGATTTTACATATCTTTGGGACGGGGTGTTGAATATTGGGGGGATAGGATTAGCATGAATTAGATGATGATCGGCCCTGAAAATGACAAGCCTCATCATTTGGGAAGGTGGACTCAAGGATTTGCCAGGTTTCGCTGACCGACCTGGCAAGCAGAGCCTGGTGCTACCTATCGCGAAGCTTGCCGTAATGACTGGAAGTTTGGAAAGTCTCCAAATTTGCTGTCTTCCCACCCTCAAAAAGATTGGTTAGGCGGGTTAGGAACCACCAACACTTGAGTTGATGATCAACAGTTGAGTTTTCTGATCTCTGCATAGCGTTTAACAAACTAGAACAATGGTGGCAACGCCATTGAGAAGAGCACCCCCTAGTCAGCCTTCCAGTTCTGAGGAAAAGAGTTGTTCCAGTGATCGAAGAAACAGAGGATGTCCCACAAGCAGAATCTTGAGCTGCAAGGTTTTCTTGGTTTTCTCCCCTCAGCCACTGCCAGCAGACTTTGGTATTTTTTCCAGCATGTGAGTGTGTCCCAAGATTTTGAGATTGGCCTTCGGAAAAAAACGGTTCAGGATTTGGAGCCACCAGCGAAAGCGGAAACGGGTTCCCTCCACTCTAGGTGGGTTCAAGCGGATGTGATTTGTTGTTTGAAACATATATTTCTTGGATTTTCTTGGATGATATACGTAATTATGTATATACATATATATATATAACCATATATATATAAAACTACATATATATATATAACTACATATATATATATATATAACTACATATATATATATAACTACATATATATATAACTACATATATATATAACTACATATATATATATATATAACTACATATATATATATACACACTACATATATATATATAAAACATATATATATAATTAATACTAATAATAATAATATTAGTAATAATAATAATAAAAAAAATAAAGATAATAATAATAATAAATAATGATATATAATAGCAGTATATATGATGTATATAGATGGGACTCGAGATTTTAGATCAAGAATCCATTGTTTCCAGGGCACCCTGACCATCTCCGGCAGCAGGACACTCTTCTCAGAAGCTCAGGATGAGGCGGGGAAACCGGCAGGTGGATGTTCCCAAAACCGTAGGGCTTTCTTAAAATCGGGGGATCCCCAAGTCACCATGGGTTGAACAAATCTAAAAAGGTCCAATGGTCCAAATGACTTGGATGATTTCGGGGTCGAAGTTTAGGATCCATTAAAGAACCCCCAGGATCCAGGGCATCAGCGGCTTCAGGTGTATGTCCACAATGACTGGGACGAGTTCAGATTCAAAGCTCTCCAGGTGCCGGTGCTTCTCAACTTGACCCTCCAACGACTAGAAGAAACTGGCACCGATTCACGGCTCGATTTTTCCCAGACTCGTACACAATTGGTGTAATGTTTAGGAGTCTTATCCTATGCAGTCATTGCATTTGACATCAAGTGGTGATCGCTCCACGGATGACGCTGATGAACATATCAGCGGTGATCACATCCCACCAAGCTTCAGTTGGGATTCATTACTTATAAAATCGGGTCCGATAATGTATACAGACTGGATATAAGGCCATATTTTGGAGGGATATCCCCTTACATAGCCCTTTTTTCTAGGCCTTATATATGGTAGGTACCTCCAATTTTTATCGGTTCCTGAAATTCCCATTGAAAGATTGGCGAAAAAATCCTGATCTCCTTGAGGAGCTCAACAATAGACGTCGCCGGAGATCTGGAGGCAAGGAGGAGGTGTCCATTCCAGTTGAAATTGTGAGATTTTGAATGCCTGGTGGAACTTTTTTGTGGGCAGGATGCTGAAATCTTCTATGAATTGATAAGCTACAAATATGACTTGAATGCTTTCCATATCTTGAATGTTTTGGATTGAACGTTAAAAAGCGCTTGTGCTGCAGCCTGAATCACCTGACTGCAGGAATTTAGGTCCATTGAGTCGATGATTGCTCGGAGGCATTTGGGTAAACCGACTGGAGAACCCCAACAGTGGTGAAAGAGGAAGCTTATTTACTTAAACTTTGACGGGTGGATGTGTGCTTGAAACTCGTGGGGGGCCGAAGGTTTACTTGCTGGGCAAGAATCTTTGGCAGCTGTCTTTTCCACTAGCTCGCCAAGGCCTTCTATTGTCCAGAATATAGGGGCCAATCAGGCCACATTTCTGTTGGATCTAGATCCATCTAGATCCGACAGGTCAATGTCTTGCACGCAATTTTAAGTTGGGTTTGTCTGAAAATAGGGTATACCCAAAGATTTAGTGGTTTACTATCATTTTCTGTATTAAATGTGCAATCAATTGTCAATTGGGGCACGCTGTCCTTTGAGACAAATCAATTTGGATTTGAATTTTGCCAAGCCTTTTCAAGTGTTTTGGCTTGGTATAACAGAATATAGGGGCCAATCAGGCCGCGTTTCTGTTGGATCTAGATTCATTTAGATCCGACATGTCAATATTCTGCATGCAATTTTAAGTTGGGTTTGTCTGAGAAATAGGGTATACCCAAAACGATCCAGTGGTTTATCATCAATCATTTTCTGTATTAAATGGCAATCAATTGTCAATTGGGGCACACTGTCCTTTGAGACAAGTCAATTTGGATTTTGAAATTTGCCAAGCTTTTTCAAGTGTTTTGGCTTGGTAAATGGCCGCGCCAGTGGCGACCGTACGAAGCCAGAAAGTTTGCTGCTGAAGTAGGCTTCTGATTCGTTCATTTCAATTCGGCTCGTCATTTTCGCTGGCAGTATCTGGCAGGAAAATCAGGGTTCATGGTCCATGGTACTTGAAGTAGTACAGTTACGGGTTGTTTCTCATCGCCCACTGCCCACTGCTCTGGCGCATGCCCAACCAACGAAATTTTCGGTTTGAAGGTGACCATTTAGTCGCCGCCTAGTCCTCGAGGACGACGTTGATCATGTCAATAGCTACAGGGTATTTGTATCATCCAGAACTGTCGCTCTTGAGCAGGGGTTGGTAACTGTCCCATTTTGGGAATATTGGACATCACCTTATAGTAGCCATTATAGATTATATACCGATTTTGGTTGGGTGATGTTCAATGGGGACATCAGTCATGACCCATGTTGAGTTGGGTAGATTGGGTAGACTGATCAACGTGGGCGATTGGTTGGCAAGCTGTGGTCCAATGGATCTGGGGACTTTGACCACGAATCTGTTGGAGAACGCTGCCAACTTGAGCCGTGGCCACCCTGCACGGGGACACATCATAGCATGTGGTGCTCGTTGCGGGTGGGGAAGCGAAACAACATTGAGGTGTCTCGAAGAACAGTACCAACCGCAACCAACCGAACCGAGGATTCGAGGATCCATATCCAGACTGCAGAGGGGATGGGAACCGAAGATCATGTTGAGGATTACAAGCCCCTTTAGCAAGAGGTAAATGGCCAAGGTAAAGCGTAGCAGGGACAGGCCTAGATGGGGGACTTGCGAATAGTGTGACCAAGTGGTGACAGCCTCAAGTCTGAGTTGCTTCTCTCGGCGACACATCGATGTTTTGTGGAAAAAGGGCTTGAAGTGCGCAGTTGCCAAGTGGCAGCGGTTATCTACACACCTGGGTTTGATGATCTAGGTCAATAGGCACAAAGATAAATCAATACAAGGAATCGCTATAAACCAACCAGCAGGACTTCTAATTACAAAAAAGGGTTTTGGAAACTGCTCAAGTGTTCTTTGGACTCCAATGCTCAAGTCGAGCCGGTGTCTCGAGGTTTTGATTCCTGCGATTCAATTTCACGGGTATTGAGCGATATAACTCGCTTCTGACCATGGCGGGTAACCAGCTGCATTACCCGTGGATCCCAGGAGACTATGTTTCAATGGATCAACCATCTTTCCTGGCTCTAAGTGTACTAATTCCTCTTGCAGAATTCCCGGTATAACAGTGGTCTCCCAGAATTACCCTCTGGTAAACATACAAATAGCTATTGAAAATGGCCATTTATAGTTGATTTATCCATTAAAAATGGTGATGTTCCATAGTTATGGGACAGTTTACCAGAGGGTAAAAAAAACACATCACAGTTGGATGGGGCAAGAGGTGTCATCCCCCCTGACTCATGCTGGGATGACTATGCCGTCCTTGAAGCGTCAGAGGACATTGAAGATGTGGCTGGACTTCCTGTGGTGGTGAACAAACGTCGCTCGATGTTTCGGTGTTTCGTATTTCGTGCCTCAAAAGACGAGATTTCGCTGGGTTTTTTACCGTTTTTACATGAAAAATAGCTGGTTCCGAAGGTGTAAAATACACAGTTTGTCGAATCAATGGATGTTCAAGCCCCAGATGGACCAGATGGACAATTTGAACTAGTTCTCCAGGCCGATTTGGTATGGGTTAAATCAGTTACCCTCCGGTAATCTAACGTAGCTATGCTGCTATGTGAAATAACATGAAATAACCAGACGGTAAATCTCCATTAATCACCATTAATCAGCATTATTGACAATTCTTAAACACATTATAAACAATTATCAACCATTATTGACCATTATTAGCCATCAATCACAATTATTGACCGTTATTAACCATCAATCACTACTGTTATCCATGAGTATCTAGAAATGTCTATAAATAATCTATAATTCCTCCATTAACCACCACAATTTCTCATTATTAACCATCATTAACCATTTAGATAACCATCATGCATCATCAATAACCAGCTATAAATCTACACGTCATCACGTCATCTATATATAGTAATCATCATGAATAATCCTCATAAAGCATCAAACTAAATCTCCATGGTTGATCAATAGAGGGTCTTTTTTACATTTCAGAAATAGGTGATACCTTGGCTTTTTTTTCCAAACCGAGCCATCTATTTTCCCAAGGACTTTTTTTTTTGGGTCAAAACCTATCAGATCCTATCAGTTTTAGGATGAAAGATTGATCTACCAGCGATTTTGAGGTTCACCAGGGGTACTATGCCATGGCCGGGCCGGTGAGGCTTCTTCCTGGCCGTCGAGCATCCCATGGCAGTGACCAAGGCTGTGAAGATCAGTGGACCGCAGCGACTTGGCGAAAAACCACGCACCAACAAAGCCACGAATTCATGAGGTCAGAAAGTGGTGGAATTTGTGGTTAAAAAAACATGGTGATTTATGCATATTTATGCATGATTTATAGATTTATAGATGATTATGTGTGGTTCAGACTGGTTAATAGTGGTCTCTATAATGGTTCACAGTGGTCAATAGTGGTTAATCGTGGTTAATAATGGATTCTAATGGATAGTAATGGTTAACAATGGTGATTAATGGTGATGAATGGATTTGCCATTCGATAATCAATCAAGGCTTGATCCCCCCATGCAGTTCGATTATTTTCCCAGATATAACTATAAGCCTCTATTTAGTGTGGGCATTTTCCAGCTAGCCATGGTTGATTACCGAAGGGCACGCCAAGAATAAAACATGTCCACGGGTCCATGAGCCTTTGCCGTGTGAATCTTAGATGGCTACTTTTAGTACTTCAACTTTTTGCTCATGCGGATAGAACATTATACTTCAATGAACACCAGCTCAACACAAAGCAAAAACTTTTCGGCAGGGCATCCAGCCAGCTCTTTTTTTTTTGGGCTGCGTAACTAATGAACGAAACCGGGTTTTTTTGGGCCCTGGAGTCCCAGGTGGTTAGATGCCTGGGGTGGTATCCAACATCTCAAGACTTTGGCGAAACCCACAGAGGAGGCCCGTGGCCAGACTTAGTGGGATGTCAATGACATACGAGCTATGGTCAATACTCATGGTTAATAACCAGTATTAGGGGCTAGTCATCCAGTGGCTTATAGGGATTTATAATAACCATTATAAGGATCCTTATTATGGATGGGATGACCATCAACCATATAGTGAGTATTGACCATTGCTCATATCAATGGGGATAAATTGGGTTTGAAATTAATCATGGAAAATTAATGATGGAATAGATCTGAGGATTGATTTCCTTCAATCCTAATGAATCAGGGTTTAACTTTACCAGGGAATGGGCATTCAACGGAATATGAACGGATTAATGCAATCTGATATTTTCAGTCAAACCCAAATGAGTACAGATACCCTTGTCCAAATCTACAACGGTATATCCATATCTATACTATTCTATACATATATATATATATATATGAAATTGGATCTTTGTATTCAGGTATTCTTTGGATTCAGATATATACATATATCCGCAGCTATACTTATATTCATAAATATCAAGGTATTTTTGAATCACAAATATGCCATCTCCATCACCCTCTCCCACCAGGTGCCTTGGGAGTATGGCTTCGTGATGGGCACCTTTCAGGAAGTCTCTCAGGCGCTGACCGGTGAAGGATGGTGGATGACCTGGATGACCATATGGAAGTTCTCGCGGAACTTCATCTTTAAGTAGGTTATTGAAATCTTGAGGTGAGATGTGGTAGTATATTGTGAGGTGGTGAGGTGATGATGCCTCTTTTCATTTCACTGTGAAGCAGGAAGAAGGGCATGGATCTACCCGAACCTGTGGCTGTAACAGAGTTGGACGGTCGCATCTATCCATCTCGAGCCAAACTGGTTATTTTCTCCAGCTGGGTATACAGGGCCCCAAGAAAGCTGATGCTTATAGCATTTAGACAAAATTCTGAAAGTGATACATCACAACTATCACAACAATGATGATGAGAATGATACAAACAATCATGATGATATTTATATCAGCAGCGACAATAATTTCGCTGGAACAAACAACAACAGTAGCACAAGACCATAAACCATCAATCGCACAGACATAAATAAATAGATAAATAGATAAAATAGATACACAACTAGATTGATAGATATGTAAATAAACATACGCATATTACATATATATATGTACGCATATGATATACAAACACCAGCCTTTCTTGGGGCTTCCGGATTAGGCGCGAAGAGCCTTTCTGGCCTACCTCCATGCTGAACGTCCGGGTCGTCGCAGTCCCATGGTGCCCCAATAATTGGATGGTTAATACTAAACTAGACATTCACATCTGTGGTCCCATTTTCATGGTCTTCCATTTTGACCCACATCCATGTTTTTTTTTTTTAAATGGGATTTTGATGGAATATTTATGGAGTATTGATAGGATTTTTAATGTGGGTTACGAATGGAATATCAATGGACTGAGAAGATTCATGGGATATGAATCTCCTGCAGTGAAGCATCGACGAATTTGTGTATGACTTTCGGAGTCCTGCAACTTTTTTTGGACAGACCCAAGACAGTGTGACACAGAGATGGGCTTGGAAGGTACACTACAACAGCTGGTACGACTTCTACAGCTACCAGGACCGCCAAGAGCTGCCTTAATTAGTGTGGATTTGTCGCAATCCCAACCGCCAGGACGAAGGTTTCAACGGTGGCTTCAAGGAGGGGAGGATTTTTTTGCATTGTCTTTTCGATTGAAGTCAGGGGTCAAAAGAGAACCTAATTTTTTGTTGATTGTTTTTGATAGATATCTATTTTGTACCTTTTTCGAACGAAAAAGACCTTCAGACTTTAGAGCGCTCAAAGGGGTGACCTATCAAACCTGGAAAGATCTGTCCGGTGGATGAAAGCTGCCTATCCCAATCTCTTCCCAAGACATGGGCATGGGCCGCATGGGTGGATGTCTCTGTTTTTTACGTTCGCATTTAGATGGTCCCATAGGTATTGACCCATCCCAAGAAATGAAGAAGAACACAGTTTTTGCAGGACCCCAGACCAAATGAGACACTGATTTCCAGCCTGCGCCCGGACAAGATGAGTGAAGGCAGCTGTGTTTTGCTGCTGCAGGAATTTGGCGCAAAGAAATTAGAGAGCATTTGTTGGCACTGTGCAAAAGATGGGTTTTGTTTTGGTTGTAATCTTCATCCTGGTGATTGAGAGGCTAATAATGCTAATAACTGTTGATGTAAGAGGAGAAAGCGGAGAAAGCGTACACAACCGGCACCGAAAGTCAACATTGCTCGTTGGTGGTGCAAGCTTCATATTTTTTCCGCATTATTACACTCCCAACTGATGAATAAATTTGGAGATGAGTTGAACTTTTTCGTTGCCCGTTTTGCAGAAGAGTGATCCCACTAGACTATATCCCACTTGGGTTTCCCAAAAACTTGGGGACGGCCAGAAAAACTCGTTAGACCGTGGCTAAGTAACTTGGCGTCGCCAGGCCGATGTATTGAGAGGATTCAGGCATTTGGCGAAGAGATGGTGAAGAAACGTGACACCAAGCTGGACCAAATTCTGCACTTGGGATGGGGTCACTTTTCTTCAATTTCCTGGGGAATTTTGCAAAATGGTCATCTTTTTTATTTGGGATATTTGGGATCATAGAGCCCAAAGTGATGTTGGAATATGGTAGAAGATCACAAGATCACAATCACACAGACCTGCAGGACTCCTTTCTGTGGGATGATGGTTGGGATGATCCGCACAGCTTGTGGGAGTTCGACCATGAACGATTTCCAGCCAGATTTGATGAGGCCCGGGGCGCCCCGCAGAGTTACTTAGCATGTGAAACTCCCCCAAGTTCCAGAAGGTGTGACATGAAACTGGGGAACATTTCAATGGGACACATGGTAACAATCCAATTTTATCCATTGGATTTGGGGTATTTACACAATTCTTGGACACACCTATTTAATTTGTAGCCGCAGAGCGGTGCCAGGTGTCCAAGAAGGCTAAAGACTACGGCGCAGGCACTGGAGTTTGGTTGTCTCCTTGGGGTGGCTATGGCTTCACACAGGAGGCACGGGTGAAATTCGGGAAGAAGAAGGGTTGCTTGGCTCATAGCACACCTTGGTCCTAAAGTTCCCCCAAGTGTTTCGGGAGTGGACCCAATGGATAGGTTTAACAAGTTTAACGCATGGGCCTTGGGGGAAAAACCTTCCATCCATAACCTGCGCTGCAGGTTACGAGACCAACTACAACCGAAATATCCAGTCCGAAGGTTTCAGCCTTGCTGGGAAGAAGTACCAGAAAGCCTTCCATGACACCGCCATGCGCTTTCGCCGTGAGCAAGGCCTTTTGGGACCGAAGGAGTAGCATTTCAAGTTGATCATCGTTACCTCACCTTGGGACTAAGCAATATGATGAACATGGACTAATGTGGTAAGAAAAAATAATACGGGCTAGTCGGGATGTGGTTTATGATTAGTATGCTTGTGGGTTTACCACACTTTCACCATAAACCATACCCATCTATAGCAAGCCCCAAAAGATAGGACCAAAATCAGACCACAATCATGGCGAGTTTAACCCTTTCTATCTTTTTTTGGGTTTCTATATTCATATGAATTCTAGCTCCACCAGGCGTGAACATGTTCAAGTTCGACGGGGTGGCTGGAAACCCCACAGAATTGGCCATGGAGATGGAGGCAATGCTGAGAACCATTGCAGCTTTGCGCAACCCCAAGGGTTCCAGGTCTCAAGGATCCACGGAATCCACGGGATCCATAGGATCCACAGGATCCAAAGAACCTGGTGAGGAGGAGGATGTTTGGAGTCTCAGATGCAGTTTATAATGTTTATAGCGTTGCGCGTTGCGCGTTGCTTAAACCAGCACTTCTGGGACAATTGTGACAAAGGGATATGGCTGGGATGGATGTAAATATAAAGACCAGCGATTTCTGGGCCACTGGGGGACATGGCCAGATTCATCCAATGTTCAGGATCAATCTGACCACTGGGACCTGGCCCTCACCATTCTTCCTGCTGCTCGGCTGGCCACCAATGACCTGGATGATAATTATGGGTCCCACATGTTGGTTGGACCCCCCAGATGTTCCTTATCTTCCCGAAGATCACTTTGGGAGATCAAATTGAGCCAAGTAAATTATAGAAATGACATGAAATTATAGCCAAGTAATTATCAGATATGATCAGTACATAGCAGGATTCAATTTCTCCATCCATTTCTGGGCAGAAACCGAGGTTGTGGGCGGATTCCATCTGGCGCGGGGGACCCGACATCGCCACCAGACCCAGGGATTGGTTTGGACCGCTGAGGGTGGCGGACAGACTGGTTCCTTGGCTCCAGGTGCTGCGAATTTTTGGCGGAATTTGGAGGGGGAACAAAAACCACAAAAAACCGAGGGCTTGGTGGGATGCTTGGCCCAAACTCCAGGTTGCCAGATTTTGGGTCGAACGTTTTTTTTTTGCAAAGAGACAAGTGCTACGTTTGTTCCTAGAGGCAAGATGACGCAGATGATCACCAGGGGTTGCTGTGAGTTGTTCCGTTGGAAGCAATCCAATGACAGGTAATTCACAGTGGGTGCAACGGGATCATCTGATTTATTCCCTTCCCACAATCACCTTAAATACCACCCAAACAGAGCCTGGTGTAGCATTAGACCTCTTCATGCTCGGCCCCAAAAGCAACCCTAATTGAGATAGAACAGTAATTCCTATGAAAATAGTGGTAAATAACTTTTGGTTTTGGGGTTGTTATGCCTGCATATCTGGACGCTTAAACCATGCATCAACCCAATTTTGGATGCTGAACCCCCCTATTTTCATGTTAGGGCGATGGGATTTCAATGATTTTCGATGGATCTCTGAGCTTTTTCTCCACATTTCAATGGTATACCCACTCTCCCCGGGTCCCCCGGGTCTCTCACTATCTCAGCAGCAGCGTCCTTTGAGGCCATTGTGGAAGGTCGCTTCAAGACTCCCCCGCTGGATCAAATCGGCCTGGACGGACTCACTGGGCGGCAACGGTGGATTCGCTGGCGCAGACGCTGGGATGAGCGTTCCCGTGGGATGTTGGGAAAATCCAGGAGGATCATTGGTGAAGTAAGATGATTTGTTGGGCTTATGATTTGTTGGGAAAATCCATGGGAAAATCATTGGATTGAATGGGATTTATGGGCATTTTTTTCTGGGATATAACCAGCAATTTGATATTTGAATGTGTCTGAAAATGGGAGATGGACCCTGGAACTGGCAATTTCAATGGGGATAATCGGGATAATTAATGATATTGATTCATTGGACTTGGGGGTACCCTATTTTCAGACAAACCCATATGGTTTGGGTCAGTTTTTCCGATCAGTACCCTTCTGTTCACACCAAATTAGCTGCTGGGATTTGTGGATGTTCATGCCCTCCAAGTGTGGTAACAGTAGATTTTGACCCATAGCCATATGGGGATGCGTCAAAATTGAAGCCCCAGAAGGGACCAGAGATTTTAGTATACGTACGTTTAGTATCAACCATCTCATTATTGAGGTACCCAATCTTCAAAATTGACCATGCCTATATGATTTTGGGACCTTGAATTTAGAGTACCAGTAGTACCGCACAAGGTGATGGCGGAAGTTTCAAGGATAGGACACTATAGGAGAGGTGAGTTGTTGTGATGCATGGATGGCAGAGCTGATGGACCGACAGGTGGTTGGAGTTGTGTTTTCTGGAGTGGTTGCAATGGTTGCAGAAAAGTCGTGGCAGTGACAAAGCCGGGCGATCATTTCGATCCTGGTTTCCCGCGTCCAGTTCCGTTGTCAGTAAGGCAGAGGCCCGCATGGTGCTTTCCTACGCCACTGGGTGCTCGATCCAAGAGGTGCCTGCAGTTGAAAATGAAACATGCCAGGAACACGGCGGTGCCAAATCCGCTAAGCGTACCCAAAGCGACAAGTTGGTCATGCCCTCTGTGTGACTACTCTACAGGGAATTCCGAATATTGGAGGCAAAGAAAATCAAGTCACATCAAGGCGTGGCATCCTGATCAGAGGACTGCTCTCGCAAAAAACACCAGTGCTGTTTTATTGGAATGGACACCTGACTGCGTTTGGAAGTGTCCACATTGCAACTTGGGCATTCCTGCCCACTTTTCCAGCCAAGTCAGAAGAGAAGCTCGCATTAGACATGGCAAAAGCAAGCACCCAGAGGTCGATCAAAAGGTTTTTCATGCAGCAGCTGACCCTGAAATGCTTCGGCAAAATTGCAAGAAGGCCTCTTTGGCAAAGATTGCTGCCGGCGTGGCCAGGCGTTTGCTCGATGTCAAAAGCCAAAAGCATGGGGACCACAATCCTACCATCCTTGAGTTGCCTGTGACTGGCAATACTACCAAAAAGCGTAACACTTATAGGCATGTTTTCTGCAAAAAATGGACTGCTATGGCCGTTTCCATTCCCGCCATTGCCAAAGTCAAATGCGACGTCAGCCTCTGGGGTGGCTCGCCCAGGGCCAGATTAGTCGCTAGGCTTCAGGAACTTTGCCAGAATCCGGCAGCTCAGCCGAAAGACGTTGAGCTGGCCAGGAAAGCTTTGCCACTTTTGGAAGCCAAAAAGACACAGAACCGCAAGCACATTGTCCAACGGGCCGACTGGCCTTTGCCTGGTCATACGTATGTTTATTTCTGTAAACTGTGCCGTGAAGCTGCTTTTGGTTTAACGGGTTGTGCACTAAGATTGTTTGTGAAAAGGGATCCCGGTCCGCTTTACCTAGAAGATTGTTAAACAATGCCATTTCCAAAGCACGTGGGGCTGCCAAAGACAAATTGCTGGCTACACAGAAATTGCTGATTGGAGATGCCGAGCCACTTCCCGCAAACAATGACTGAACCAAATCCAATGTCGACGATTGGCGTCGGCACGCTCAATGTTTGCTCGTTGAGAGGAAAGCTCGATTCTGTTTTGAGCCTTGCCACGCAAAATAGCCTTGACATTCTTTGTCTCCAAGAAGCCCGGATCTGTAAAGATGATTGCCAAACTGTGCGTAAGCTCGCCTCCGACAGGCTGGAGTGCGCATATAGGTACCCAAAATGTCGATGCGGCTTCTTACCCCTACGCCGGCACTATCATCTTAAGTAGTTGGCCCACTGAAACCGTTGATTTGCCCCAGGATCCTTTGTTTATCGGAAGAGCTGTGGCGGTCAAAGTCTACAGGCCAAACCTTCGACCGTGCATTTTGATTAATTCCTACTTGCATGCTAGTGACAGTGAGCTGGCTTCCCACACGGCTGAAGCCCTTTTTGAATGGGCTTCTAGCACTGGGGAACAATGGATGATTGCTGGTGACTTTAACCTTTCTAAAGCTCACTGGCCAATGTCCTTGGCCATTGCCGCAGGCCGTTTGTGCGACGTTGACAGTTTGGTATGTGAACCTTCTGCCGTTGTTGGTACCACTCGTCGTCCCAATGGCAGTTTGACCAGAAACGTCATTGACTACATGCTTACAACCAAGGACCTTGTTGTCGCAACCAGATCGCAACTTAGGGGTGTTGCTGACCACGATTTGATTGCCTATAGAGTTGTTTTAAATAACCCTGTTGACTGTTATAAGTGGCCTCCCCTTCTCCGCCTAAAAGTTTCCTCTATTGCCTAAGATGGCTGGGATTTTTGGGGGAGCAGTCAAAAGATTGTTTTGACACATGCATTCAACGCAAAGACGCCCATGGGGCATGGACTGTTTTGAGCTTCACCGCGGAACAGTGCTTGGGCGCTAAAGAAAATGCGGATAGCCGCAGACATTTGCTTACCGAACCACAAAAGGTGCCTCAGCCTGCTGGGCTGAAACATCAACCAAACTGTGCTTGAAAGGCGTCTCCGAAGACTTGCGAGGCGCGCCGAACAGTTCTGCATTCAACCTGACAACAAACCGCTCCACGCCAATTTGAAGCGAAATGCTCTCCTGAGATTGATTGGTCCGCTCCCGGCTCGGCCGGTTTTGTTTTGCAACTCGCAACCCAAATTGCCGAACGCAGCGAGAGAAACGTATTGACCAATGGAAGCGAGATATTGAATTTGATTTCCACCGCCTTGCAGAGTGGATCAAGCTTGATTGCGGTGAAGACCGCTCCTCCCCTTTTAATGCCAGCTCCCCTCATCCGCAGCTCTAAGCGCAAGAAGCAGCAGAAAAATGGGCAGCGTTGTGGAATCTACCTGTCCTTCCACAAGTTAACGCGTTTGACGACTTGTGTGGCTCTTTACCTGATTTGCACTTTCCATGTGAAGTTCCTTACATTCAAGGTTACATGCTGCAGAAATTTGCCACAAAGCAGTGAAAAAATCAGCTGGCTTAGATGGCTGGTCGGGGAAGCTGTGGAAGCCCCTCCCTCTTCATTTCTTTGATGCTCTGGCTGAGGTGTGGAACGCTTGCTTAGATGGGGCGGCCTTGCCAGCACCTTGGAAAGCAGTTCGTATTTCGCTCATCAACAAAGACGATGGAGGTAAACGCCCTCTGGCCATTGCAGCTTTAGCTTGGAGAATTTGCATGGCTGCTACAATGAAAGCTTTCACCCCATGGATCCGTCAATGGCCTCTCCCTCACCTCTGTGGGGGCACACCAGACAAGGACATCCACAATGTTCATGCCGCTTTGTTTCATGATTTGGACATTTCTCAAGATGGTGGCCCCACTGTTGCGGGAGTAAAGGCTGACATCAGAAAGTGTTTTGACTCTGTCAGGCCTGCGCTGGCCATGGCTTGTTTGAGAAAATTTGGAGCTCCGGAGGGCTTACTCCGAGTTGTGGAGCAGTTTTACTCTTCACAGCAACGTTGGTTTTCTGTAAGAGGCCATTTTGCCCCCCAACCTGTTAGTTGCTCCATGTCTTTGCTTCAGGGATGCCCTGCCAGCCCTGCTTTTCTAAATGCCTTAATGGTTGTTTGGACTAAGTTTGTAAAAATTCAATGTCCCGCCATTCAACTTGCCCTTTTCCTCGATGACAGAACTTTGTGGTCCATGGGGCCAGGAGGTTGTACGAGCCATGGAGACTGCTACTTCAGTTGACTCCATTTTGGGGTTTCAGCACTACCCTGACAAATTGGAGTGTTTTGCTTCCAGTCAATCCGCCCGAGATCAGATGGCTCAATTTCACGTTGTCTTAGGACCTGTTAAGACTGAGTTTAAATTGCTCGGAATACAGTATCTTTTTGGGTCGCTGTCCACTTGCGTTAATGCAGACTCGCTTCACAAGAAGATTGTTGAAAGATGCCGCAAAATCCGTATCGCTGCAAAGACCATGCGTATGCGTAAGTTGCTTGTTGACATGGTAGTCCTGTCCTCGATTAAGTGGACAGGCCCTTGGCAAAGCTATAACAAGTGCATGCTGAATGATTGGTGTATAGCCATCGAAACTGCCATTTGGGATTCACCTCCTTGTCCTGGCAGGTCGCCTTATTTGTTCTGGTCTGTTGCGGCTCGGCTGTCGTGCAACCCTATTGCTGCTCTGGATGTGGAAACTTTGCAGCAGGAGTGGCGGCGCCAGTGCTCCAGAAATGCTGGTTTGCCGGTTCCTGACGGACCGAGCAGACATGCTGATGCAATCTTGAAGCAACTGGATTGGCAAATCAGCGAAAGTGGGGTGTGGGTCACGCCTTGCGGCCAACTGCGCGCTGGCTGGGTTTCTGATTCTACTTTTAGAAAATTTGCCCGCTTGTCCTGGGCGAGAGTCTGTTATAACCAAGACAGGAAATTTAGCACCCTGTTGCAAAAAGATCATGAACCTTATTTAGGTTTCCTTTACAACGTAGTCCTTGAAGGGGGTCCTGCGTACAAAACCCGCAATGCCATGGCTGCTGCCACGGATGCCCGGGTCTTGGCTCGAAAGCAAGTTGAGGAAACATGTGATTGTGGGGAGCCTTGCCCTGATCGCACCCATTTGACATGTTCCTGCCAAGCCTGCGTTCAGCCGCCGCCTTCCCGATCGGTGGATGAAAACAGAATGCTCGTGCCCTTAGTTGTCTTTCCAGCGCATCCTCCATGCACGGAATTGACGCCTAACCCCAAGCTTGTTGAATTTTTAAAACTTTCTTTTGAAAAGAGTGGACAGCCCCCCATCCTTGGTGTGGATGGAAGTTGTTTGGTTTCTCCCAAAAATATACTTTAGCAATTTGCTTCCTGGGCGGTTGTTGGTTTCAATCAATCAATCAATCAATCAATCAATCTATCTATCTATCTATCTATTTTGAAAACGAAGCTATCCCGCGAGACTTCCTCAATTTGTGAACTTGACAACATCAAAAACGCAGCAATTCTGCGAGACTTCCTCAACTTGCGAACTTGACAACTTCAAAAACGAAGCTATTCTGCGAGACTTCCTCAATTTTCGAAGTTGACAACATCAGAAACGAAGCAATTCTGTGAGCCTTCCTTCAAAAATGGAAAGTTGAGTGCAGAGCTGACGGCCTCGTACCAATGCGTTTTGATATTTTTGTCCCACCCCATTTGTCTAAAGTGCTGCGCCTGCCACGAAAAAGTGATGCCAAGTCATACGAAGTGCTGCACCTGTCACGCAAAGGTTTGATGCTCCAAAATGCACCCCCTGTCAAGAAATCAGCGCCCTGACCTCCTAACATCTCTGATGAACATATCTCTTGTATTGCGCCTGCCACGCGACATGCATCTGTGCAGATCCTCTGCAAATGTCCCACGCCTGCCATCGTTTTTGGAAATGCTACAAAACCCTTGCAAAACCACATCTGAACTTTCAAAAGTGGTCCGAACCCCTCAGTTTTTGGCACTTTTGACTTGGAAATGTGCTTCGCGCCACAACTGCGTGCACTTTTTCGACATCTCAACTTCCAAAAGTGGTCGGAGAATGGCGTGTTTTGTACATTTTGACTTGGAAATGTGCTTCGCGCCACAACTGCGTGCACTTTTTCGACATCTCAACCTGCAAAAGTGGTCCGACGTTGGTGCGTTTTGTACGCTTTGACTTCGAAATATGCTTCGCGCCACAATTGCGTTCACTTTTTCGACATCTCAACTTCCAAAAGTGGCCTGAACATGAGGCGCTTTCTACATTTTGATTTCCAAATGTGCTGCGCGTCACAACGGCGTGCAACTTTTCATCTCTCATCTGGCCAGATGGCTCCGCAGCCGCCGCTTTAGCGAGCCTACCTTTTCGACCCTCCAGAGCCACAAACCATTTGAAAAACACAGTGTTTCGCGACTTTCCTACCCTTTCACGCACCTGCATCTTCTTTCTTCTGACTCTTTCTCTTCTCTGATCTTCTCTCTTCTGCTCTTCCCTTCTCTGGCTCTTCCCACCTCTGCTTTTCCATCTGTCCATATTGTCGGAAGTTTGACTTCTAAACTTCCTTTGATTAAGCGCTGATCATCATTATTTCGCTTGAACTTCTGAATCGATGATCAGTTTCCTTGATACGTCTTGATCATTAGTTGCTGTGGAGAGGCTGGTGTTGTTTACCTTTTTGTTTGGGTACAGGGGCCGCGCCAGTCTCGGGGATGCGGGGTTCGTGCCAAACAATTCCTTTTGGGTACTGGGGTTGTCATTTTCATTAAGTCCTGATTCGGATTGGGAATGTGGGTGTCCCAGTCGCCATAACCCGGCCAGAAGGTATGGTGGTCTACATCTTGGTGGTCCAAAGATCAACCTTCTTCCCGCTGTCGCAGCTGATGATTCATGGTGTCATCGTGGCATCCCATGGGGACGCACTCCATTGGGGCCTGAATAGGTTCGATGCGGTGGATTTCACACAGGAAGTGTGGTCATTCGTGGTCTCTTGGCCGGAAATGATGGCTCTCTTATGCCAAAACAAACTAGCATTCTTAAAGGGAGACCCAAACAATCCTAGATACAGCGTTGATGTGTCTTTTTGCGGTCTATGAAAACGCACCCGTTTTTCGGCATTTGCTCAGGTCAGATCCACCATTTCTCTTCGCTTCACTATCTAGATTCCCCCGAACTTTTGTTTCACGTTTTCTGAAATTGGCAAACAATGCTAGATCATCTACAACTCCCCCCCAGTACCATTCAGATCCGCCCTTCAAAACCCAATTCTTGACAGTTAAATCAGTTAAATGCAAAGTCTTGATGGTAAACCATCACAATTCTTGATGGTGGATTCCTAATCCATCATCAATGGGCACCGCATAAGCCATCTAGTGCTTGATCATCATTTTCCACCTCAAATTTGTACCATTTTCAGACAGACCCCTCATATTCTGAGTTGTATATCCCATGAACTCTCCAAGTTACATAGTTAAACTATGTTAAACTATATTAAACTCACCATTCTTCATGGTCCACAATCACTTCATCCCCCCTTGTGATCCTCCACTTGGAGGGTCATCTCAGAAATCGTCACTAGTTCACCCTGCAATTTCTGTGAGTCCCTGAGTCCCATTGACCGGGTTTCCGGGTTGACCCCGGGGACCCCGGGGTCCCCGGAGCCTTCCGAGGCCATGGGGCTCCAGTTGCAGGAACTCTATGTGGCGCCACGGCACATGACCTCGAAAGCCTGGGACATCCTGGCGGAGGGGCTCAAGTGGTCCCGGCGCAACGCAGAGGTGCTGCGGGATAGCCATTGGGCCTTTGGGGATGTCAGCAACCAGGAGGTCTACTGTGACTTGGCTGGATGGGAAAAAAATGGTAAAACAGGGGAACTAGGACACTTTATAATATTAGATTTTTAAAATAATCAGCAATAAAAAATATACTTAAAGAAAAAATACCTATATATAGTAAGAGTAAATAAGATGACTAAATTTGACTGTGGATGTCGTATTATGTCAGAAGTTATAGCCCTGAACGGTAGAAACCAACCTTTTTGGAACTACTTGCTCAAAACCTTCGTGAATGTGTGTGGCAAGTGTGGCAAGAAACAAATGAAATTCCAACAAATGGAAAACAAACTTCTGGAAATGGAAAAGCAACGCATGGACATGTTTATGAACTATGAGGATGAGGAGGAAGAAGAGTATGATGAAGATTATAAAGAACAATTCCGACAAATGACAGACGAAGAAATTGAACGACACATCGGTTTGGAAAAAGTGAGAAATGTAATGGAAGGGTTTGACAGAGAACACGGTATAGACAAAATAAGACGGATGATACAAGAAGTGAGAAATGAAGACAAGAAAGAAGAACCTGAAGATGAAGAATATGAACGTGATAGTAGTGAAACACAACGAATGAAACGATTACAGTGGATACAGGAAAACAGAAAACCCAAAAACTGAAAGAAACCCCAAAATTATTTAAAGACAAAATGACTATATATAATAAGAGAAAAATGAGTAAAGTATTTAGAGCAAAAAACATTCAGGAATTAGAAGGGGAAAATATGGGTCTTTATGTGGACTTTGGTAGTGAAAGTGAAGATGAAGAACAATTTTATAAACAAGCGATGGAAAAAGAAGATGAAGAGGTTAGAGACGATGTAAGATGTCATCCTATGCCTTCACTAGACGACAAGGAAGGAGAACAATTTTGGAAGAAAGTAATTGACAGGATGAAATCAGGGGAAGGAGTAAAGGATATGACGATATATATGTTTGTAAATTTTGCCATTATAAAAAAGATGTATGAAAACCTCACTGATAAACAAGTTATCATTGACTGTGGTAAAGAACTTAACCGTGATGGTAAATTCAATGCAATGATTATCAATATAACTCTTTTATCAATAGCGACGGATGAACTAAACGATACAAACAAACCGTGCTTAACACAAATGAGAGTAATTGAACACTGGTGGGATGGAATAGGAAAGTGGAAAGCATAAATGATTAATTCATAATATCTTAACATATATTATGAAGTAATCACCCACCCAAACACACACACACATAAAACCCCAACAACCTAAACAAATCCTACCCCCATTCAATCCAAGCATCAACAGTGAAAGTTAGGGGCAAAATAGTCCCAAAACCCCTATCACATAAAACATCAAAGGTAGGGAAGAAACATTGAACAATAACATAAAAACCATAACAACCAACAATGAACACTGGGATGTCCCAGCATCCCTGTTTTACCATTTTTTTTATGGGATTCATCAAGTTGCTGTATACACTATGAAATAATATGAACTACCTTGAATGACTGGGGAATGAACATCCGGAACTGTGATTTTGCTGTGAACTAGAGGGGACCAGAGGGGTTTGACCCATACCCATATTACTGGAATCGATTTTTCTTTTCTGGGTAAGAGATTTTGTGGACAAGTTTTTCTCTCGCAACCAAGGCATTGCATCTTGGGATGTTCAGACCTCCCAGGGCTTCCTGTTCTTTCACAACCCACAAGGCTTGCTGCTTTCCCGCTGCGGGTGGGCACCTGGATGTAGTTCTGCAAACATGGCCATGATCAGGATGTACAGTACCACATGCCAAGAGGGGTGACCAATACCATCCATTTTTTCCAGGAATGCAGATTCATTGCTCCTGATTCGGAAGATTCTCAGTTGCCATCAAGATCCATCAAGATCTTCTCAGTACTGCCACCGAAAGGATTTTTTCCGTGATGCACCAGTCATGCACTGGTGCTTGTGGGGTCAGGTGTTGCTAGCCGCAGCCTTGACCTTGGAGAATAGGTGGTGATGTGATGGTGATCTCACATGTTCATTGACTTTCCTGACATGGGAGTCTACAAGATTGGGGATTGCAGGATATCCCAACCAGTGTCAGCCCTAAAATGGTAGATTTAGGAATCCCGAACTTTGGAACATTCCCATATTTGAAGAGCGTGACCGTGGCTGGAAGAGTCTTAGGCATGCCCTTCAACTTGCAAGAGGCCCACTGGCGACAGTTTAGCATCGGGCCGGGTAGCGCAATATCTACATGATCTATATTGATAGAGTATCTCAAGTGAGGGAATACTCCAGGCTGCAGGAATGCATTTTCCTGGAACCCCAGACAAACCCCTCACCAGCTGGGCATGCAGAGATTCTGATGGTATCTGGTGCTAGTTTGGCGTCGATGATATGATCATATTCGGTGGCCAGTCATATCCCGATTCGCCAGGTCGATATCCAAACAAAGGGGACGCATGGCCGACGCCACAACCATGGGGGGATCGGGGGATGAACAGAGGTGCTTGAACTTCCAGAAGCTCAGAGGCAGCTCTCCTTCGAGGCACCGCTAGCGGGTGCGTCTATTGGAGTATCTTAGCAAAAACGTGTGTTTTTCGTGATATAACAAGAAATTAATTGCTTGCCCATGTATATTCAATACACCCGTTATGTAACATCCCATTTACACCTTTTATACCCCGTCAAATAGTAGATTCATTATTATACCCATACATACGTGTATCTGGGAGATTATAACGACCTCACTGCGACCTCGCTGGGAATAATGGTTAGTAAGGGAAATCATCCCCAAATGGCCTTAATTCAGGTTAGTGAAATATTATAATTTACCCAGATGTGTATGTATATATATATATCTATATATATACATATATATATATATATACATAGAGAGAGAAACATGTGTGGATACATACATAGAGAAATATGTGTATATATATATAATATAGATATCTCATATCCCGTGGATATCCCATGATCTTCAATCGACCTTCGTTTCGTTCACATCACCAGGTCCGATTGGTGAAGAGCGCATATCGCCCTGCTGAGAGCGGACCAGTCCATCCTCGGCTGGTCAGCTGGAATTGCACGGCGTTGGAAGCTGAGTCTGCTAGACACTTCAGTCATCAAACAGGGCAAGAAATGGACGTTTTCATCCAAAAGCACTGGGAAAACATGGGAAGGTTGCGTATAAATGGAAGTTTTGATGATAAAACCAGTTTTGATTACCAGAGGGTACCACTATCTAGGTCACATGATGAAACGACTTACGACTCAAGGATCGTTTGATTTCAACCTGTCTCAAAGTCTCAAAGTCAAGTAGTTATGAAAAATGCGGTGTGGACATGGTTTGTTTTCCGTCATCCGACAGAACCACTCGTGAGATCCACCATGCCGAGGAACTTTGTTGGAGATGATTCTGCGAGCTGCAGGTGGGATTCGCAGCAACTGTCACGGCCCTGCGCCGGCCCTGGACTCGTGACCGTTGCAACTGTAATGAGCCCCACAATCACGACGGTATAACAGGGTGGGGTTGTAACCATTCGCAACTGCAACTTTCAGTCTAATGAGTGGCCATTGATGGAAACTTGCCAATTGACGTTGCCAAATGATCGGCCATTGCCAATTCTTTGGCAGCCGAGGTTGTCCAATTTACATTGCCAGATCATTGGTGATGCTGAAAAAAAATTGGCATCATCGATAAGCCAATTGATGATCAATGCCATACCCAAATGCTGTTATCACATGCATCCGATACTATTACATACTATCTGGGTAAATTATAACGACCTCACTGCGACCTCACTGGAATCATGGTTTATAAGAGGAATCATCACCAAATGGCCTTAATTCAGGTTAGTGAATGATTATAATTTACCCAGATACTATTACTGCGATCATCTGGTGTTCCCATTTTGCATGATGATAATCATGATCATCGGCATTGTACAAAAAATCATTGGGTCTCCTCCTCATCACATTCATCACCACCATCAATAATCATCAAAGATCATCAATAATAATCATCAGCACTCATCAACAGCAATCAGTACCCTTTGGTAAACTAACAATGGAAAATCACCATCTTTAAGTTCGGTAAATCAACTATAACTGGGCCATTTTCAATAGCAAAGTGTAACAGTCATTACCAGAGGGTAAATCTCCATTAATCTCCATTATACAATCACCATTTATTATCATTTTTGAACACTAAAATAGGCAAGCTGATATTAATATTCATCAGTAATCATCAAGAATCATCAAACATCATCAGTAATCATCAACAATCATCAAACATCATCAATATTAATCAGTGACTATATTATCATCCTTATTTGGTATCAGTAGTTTTTCATCGGATAAGGCCCTAGCCATCAGATTCGGAGGCTTCCGTCCTCCAGTGCGGTGGCCATCACCATGGAAGCCACCGAGGCTCGGCATGGGCGATTGGAACCCTGGCTTTTTTCTGAGGTGATGGTAATGTCTACCTCAGAACTTTAGGTTTTGAGATGTTTGAGATGTTTGAGATGTTTGAGATGTTTGAGATGTTTGAGATGTTTCAAGTGTTTGAGATGTTTCAAGTTTTTTTTGGTTTTTTTTGAATCCCCTATTTTCAAGAAGTAGCTTGGCGGGTCCTGGCGGGTCCAATGGGGATGATCATACAATGGGAGTGCCAAGCTGAAGCAGCCAATCCATGAAAGGTCTAGGAAAAAAAGCAAGAAATACAAATGATCAACCTGCAGTGCTTTTCATGGTCTTTTCAAGAAATTCCATTCCAAATCAGCAGCGCATTGGCAGCGCATTGACCCAGGTTTTGGTCCTTTCAGTCACCGGATCCTTGGGACAAAGTGCCCCCCAAAATGCGTGAGCCGGCTGGTGAGTGTAGCTTCAATCATTCGACTGAACGCAACTGAATGATCTCTTTGGACATTGACTTGGAGATTTTGTGGCGTCAGCTTGGTTGAGGGTTTTGGATGGTGCCGAAGACTGTACAGCGGCGCAGCATGCGGTTAGAAATTGTCGTGCAGTCGTTGAGTCCAGGATCACCAATCGTAGCCAATGACATCCCTCAAAATGGAGACTTCATCCGGGATTTGAGCCAATCAAAACCGAGAAGATTTGGAAGTAAGAAAGAACCATTTTTTTTTCCTTTCAGAAGTCCATTGTAAAACCCCCCAAAAAGATGCCAACTATGGTATTTCCAGGATGGTCGCGGGAGACTTTTTTTTCCGCATAGTCTCCAGGTCTCCAACGGTTTTTTTTCCTTTGGAGGTCGACGGCGGTCCATCACCACCAGCTTGGCGTGTGCGGCTTCCCAATGATGTGGTGGCTGTGGGGTGCTTGATAGGTCTTGATAGGTTGCGCCCCATTTTTCTTGACTTCTACCCTCTGGTTAACTAACATAGCAATGGAAAATCACTATTTTTAATGGGAAAATCCACTATAAATGGCCATTTTCAATTGCTATGTTAGTTTACCAGAGGGTATCTCATAGGTTTTAAGGGACTAGGATCGGTCACCATCCCCATCCTCAAATGTTGCCAAATCTGGGGACCATTTTAGCTATGACTTTCTCATCTTTTTATGGTGAGATGAATCTCCGTAGAAACCAGCTGTTTTGGTGTGTAGCGTGTGAGGGTGGGCAGAGCCATACCGGTTTTTCCGGGAAAATCGACCGGAACTTCCACGGCTTCCTGATTTTGAAACCAACCCATTGAATCTCCAAGGTCGCCCTCCACCCCATGAAGCGACCTCCAGTGGGATCAGCGCAGCAGACCTGGGGCTTGAGCTGGCGGGAGGCGCTGGGTCAAAGGAAGGGGGGAAGTTGCCATGGAAGTTGCCATGAAACGAGTGTGGGAGATTTGGTTGTGAGAAAACATCACATTGTTGTGGGCCTTATCTTCAGACCCATATTAATTGGGTTGGATTGAGGCAAAAATCATGCAATCCCACAATATTGGGTTGGTTTCAGCCAAAATTGCAGGTCATGAACTCCTGGAGGTTGCAGTAGTTGCTTTTTTCTGGATCCAATTCTGTGAAGTATCTGTTCATGTGATGGACCCAGGAGTTCACATCAAAAGTTTTCGCCGCTAGTTAGATGTAGTTAGTGGATGTGCATCCCCCGGTCACACGGTTACGGATGTTGCGGTATAGTAGATGCATCCCCATGTTGTTGGTGGACTAGCATGGGGAGATGATGGGTTTTTGACCCATGAAAAAAGGGCGACTTGAGGCTTGGATGACTTGCTTGGCCCTGCCATGCACTTAGCACAGCAGTGTGATGGGGTCGTGAAGCGTTGGTGAATCCAGATCTCATTCTTGGCGATTTCAACATGTTTCAACTCTTTTTTGATTCCCAAGCCCTATATATCCTATATGTAGGACAATGATAAGCAATGACTTTATTCAAAAAAAAGGGGTTGGCAAGAATCCACCAGCCACTTTGGGTTTCTGACTTCGAAAAAATTGCAAGTTTGTCAAGGCCACAGGGCCACTGGTCCGCTTGGAAGTGCGAATGGAAGGCGCGGCGGCTGACTTTTCCGAAGCTTTTTCTTCAGCTTTGTCAGCTTCGTCAGCTTTCCAGATCTAGGTCAAAATTTCAGGCTCTTGGATGACTGACTGGTTGTTAGTGATGTTAGTGGTACGTGGTAAAACATGCCATTTTGGGACTTGATGGCAACCTTTGGGCGGACGGCAGGTTTGGAGTCTCTGCCCATCTTGTCGCGCCTACCACAGCTCCGGGTCGGGCAGCAGAGCGGCTGTCAAGTCGTCCTCCAAATTCTGGTTTTGACAGTTAGGGGACCACCGATTTTAGTATTTTTTTTGTATTAAGAGATCCATTTTTTTTGGGTGTTAGTACCCAATTTCGACCCATACCCATTTGTTATGGGATCCAACTCCAGTTGATTCAAACTTTGGCCAAAGAAAAGAACTGACGTTTTGGCAAGCATGGCCTTGCCCTTTGAAGGATTTTCCGTCACCCTGGCAGATTCTGCGAATGGAGTCTGAGATTCTAAGGCCTTGATCTTGAGTGGAAACAAGATCAATGGCAGTTTGGTCGCAGCCTTGGGTTGGAACCATTGAGGTCTGAGAAAATGTGGAGATTGTCATAAGATGATTATTTGTTGATGGTTTCAAAAACACGTTCCATCCCTGGAAATGGCTGAGCGCAATGGACTGGTCGCGTTGGGATGAGCAGCTTATGGATTGTGCAACTTCCCGTCGTGACTCAGGAAGCTTTAAGGCATTGCCCGCACCTGGAGGACAGGATCGGGGTCTAGTAATCTCAACATGATCAGAGCTGTGTGCTGTCTCTCCTGTTCTTTTGCAATTTGCTTTGGCAGCGTATTTGGGCCCCGTAAGCATGGAAATGGCAGTTTTTGGGTTGTTTGTGGGCTTTGGGGGGGTGCATTTTGCGAGCTCCGATGGTTTTCCGGAGCCTACGAGATGCCTGTCTATTGGTTTGCTGATCCTTGAAAACTAGCCCCATTAACATGATTTGGGAATCACATTTGGTTGATTCGAGCCAGCTGACCACAACGGCTCACAGAGTTTTTTCCAGCTGCAGCTGGGGGCCTCGTACCTTGTCCAGAAACAATTTTTGTTCAGGGGAAACAGTTCTGTGTTTGGGCACGCAAACCATTTGGGATTTGCCCGAAAAATCCATGGATGGATCTGGATCAATATATATATAGTTCAACAAAGATATTTGTGGAGATGTGCAGCGACTGCCTGCGCAAAAACTCACCATAGTGCCACAGTGGAAATTCGTCACAGACGTCATTTGACAAAGCAGCAACTTGTCCTTCATATACGGAATTTTCAGCCATGTTTTGTCCTTTAGCTTGCGTTGCGCATGATAGTCTTGTGTGCACATTGAAGGAGTTGGACCTTTGCCAGAACAGTCTGACATCTTTGGATGGGTTGCTGAACTCAGGAATGGATGAGTCAGTGACAAAGGCATTGTTTGATAAAACGACGAAGGGAAACACTTGACAAAAGAAAATGGGAATTGAAGTCCAACGTTCTCTTGGGTGGTCTCACTGAGTTTCAATCACTTTATCTCAGTCATCCATCAACCAGCTGAATGCCAAGGCTGCGGCACTTGAAGTACTTGTCTGCAAGGGACCTGGGTTTGTTTGCGCTGCTTGAGACATTTTTATTGTAGAACTGGTCATGATGATGATGATGATGATGATGATGATGATTGATGATTGATGATGATGATGATGATGATGATGATGATGATGATGATGATGATGATGATGATGATGATGATGATGATGATGATGATATCGAAGAACATGCAGCGATGCTGGTGATGCTGGAGATGCTGGTGATGCTGATGCTGGTGATGCTGGTGATGCTGGTGATGGTGATGATGATGATGGTGATGGTGGTGATGGTGATGGTGGTGATGGTGATGGTGATGGCCGTCATGGTGATGATGGTGATGGTGATGGTGATGGTGGTGATGGTGATGGTGATGATGGTGATGATGATGGTGATGGTGGTGATGGCGGTGATGGTGATGGTGACGATGATGATGGTGGTGATGGTGATGATGGTTGTGATGGTTGTGAATGGTGATGATGGTGATGATGGTGATGATGGTGATGATGGTGATGATGATGATGATGATGATGGTGATGGTGATCGTGATGGTGATGGTGATGGTGGTGATGATGGTGATGGTGGTGATGGTGATGATGGTGATGGTGATGGTGATGATGGTGATGATGATGGCAACGATGGTGATGATGATTATGTTGATGAGTTGATGATGTTGATGATGATGATGATGATGGTGACGGTGATAGTGATGAGTAATGATGCTATGTTTTGAGCATGTGATTTCCTCACCGCAGGAAGTGGGCCCAAACGCATGGCATGAGCCATCACTGCAAGGTGTTGAAGGCAACTATGAATGAGATCTCCGATGCGGAAGCCCATGGGTTTGCAGGGAGTGAGCGGGGCAGCACTGTTTGATTTCTTGTCGACCAAAACAATGCATGAGGTCAGGTTATGAGGGACTGACATATGCGCTGCACTATAAGTGAGTTATATATACGTGTATTATAATGTATACAGATATACATATATTTAATATATATATATATACATACATTAATATATACATATATACATATATACAGATATACAGATATACATATATACAGATATACATATATATATACATATATACATATTTACATATATACATATATAGACATATAGACATATAGACATATAGACATATATACATATATACATATATACATATATACATACATACATATATACATATATACATATATACATATATACATATATATATATACACACGTAGTTCTCTACAGGGACAAAAGCATGGATACGTCTATGTTACAGCACATCTTCACATACAATTTCATGTATGTATACATATGTATATATATATACATACATATGGATATATTATGCATACACATTTGCAAAATTGTTTTTAAAGTTCCAGTAGTACACAAACACATAGACACACAATTGCGCACACACACACACACACCTGGGCTGCATTTGAACCAAGGATTTGGCCCACTTGTCGATGCTTCGGGTTGCGGACACCCGGTGTGGTTTGCTCCAAGTCATTCCGGTTCCACCGGTCCAGGTGATCTTGGGTGATCCAATGTTTTTTTCGTCTGAACGTACTGTTGATCAGTTGTACATGGAGGTTTCCTAAAATAAGGCTACCAGGCTACCACCAAATCATCCAAGTCATTACAAATTTAGATCATTTATTGAAACCTCTGGTTTTGGAGATCCCCAAAATATGTTTCAGAAACCCCAATTTTTCTGGGTGTCCCTCCACCGTTTTGATCCTGAGGTGCTGGACCTGAGCAAGAATTGCCTCACTTCTGCAGCTCGGCGTGGGCGATGACGTGCTTTTTTGACGACGAGGACGAGGACGAGGATGATGTGATTAGTATGGCTAGTACTGGTTATTATTAATGGTTGATGATGACTATTGATTATATTTAATGGCTGATGATGATGATGATGATGATGATGATGGTGATGGAAATGGGGGACGTTGGGAGGTTTTCTTTTGATCACTATCACTATCAGCAAATTTTCCAATTTTTCTCCCCAGGTTTTTACACTGACCATGATTGCTCCAATCCATTGTACATAGATTATAGCCACAAGAGAGGGAAATATGTTATTTAACCACTTTATCAACCAAGTTCCCCCCCTTGTATTTGGGGTGTTGGAGCAACCTTGCTGACCCCTAAGCCTTGTTGAGGTGCAGTTGAGCGCACCGGTCTTGGCCAAGCTGGTGTTGTACCGCAATGCGATCGATTCAACCAGCTGCTTGCGTCAGCTGCCAGGGACTTAAAATTGGGCTGGATGTTTGGGGAATTCAGTGGATAGTTATATATGTATATATATAATATACATATAAAATAATATATATATATAATAATATATAATATACATATATATATATAATAATATAATATATATATAATAATATAATATAATATATATATATATATATAAGGTTTCGGGTCAAGCAAGCCCCTCGTGCGGTCACTGACCTTTGAAAGCCTTAGCGGGCCACGCCCGCGGGTACGCCATTGCTGCTGCGTTTTGGAACTGGTTCGCCCTCCTTTCGCTTGCAGCTCTTGATCTGGGGTCCCGGCCTCGTTAACAATCCCGGGTGCGTACCTTCTGAATCTACGTCATCGAGCTCGGGCTTAGCATTGGTGGTTGACTACATCCTGCCTTTTTGCTTCCCTGGGGCCTTTGACCTATTATTTTTGGAATCGACCCTTAGCGATTGATCCTTCCGAAGAGCTGGACTATCCTTTGTGGTCTTGCACTATATGATACAGTTGCTCTACCTGCTGATTCTTTTTTGGGGACAAGTTCATCACCACGACCTTGGCAACGCAGAGAAGGCGACAACGCCGACAGCGTGCTATTGTGCGGCGCCAGCTTTGGTTGCATCGCACGGGTTACATCTCTTTGAACAGCAAGCGTATCGAGCACTACATTCAGGTTCTTTCATCACATCATTCAGCAGATTTCCATCACCTTGCGCGGCTCAGAACTACCCTTCGAGGCAAAGTCAGAGCAATGGCGGAGTCATGGAGATGCCGAAGGTGCTGGAAGATTTTGAGTGGCAAACATGCACATTGCCCTCATTGCGGCGGCCGCTGGGACCGTTATCAGGATACCAGCTTCATCCCACCGGAAAGACATACCGATGCACAATGGACTCCAAGCCGAGACGATGCGCAATGGAGCCAAAGCAGGCGGAAGTCACCGCATGGGAGAAATGTGCAATGGCAAGGCAATGCAGCCTCCCAACAAAGGGCTGGCACACCCAGAGCCAGAAGTGGCTCAGAACAACAGAGGAGACGCAGGCCACGTGGCAAGAAGAAGCAGGAAAGCAGTTTACCGCAATATGCTGCGCCATCCCTGCCACCTCCGTGGAGTGCATCCTCCGACCTCACAAAGAATGTGCCGGCGGACAACGATGGGGTAGTGATGACGGTCGAAGAGCGTGCAGAGATGATGCAGGCCCTCAAAACCGCCTACAACGACCCGACAGGGATGCCGGACAATGTCAAGAAAATGGTGAAGAAGTACGACATCAAGACAACGGAGCAGCTGACCAAAGAGATGCATCGAACAAGTGCATCAATTGGACATGCCCGGAAGCTCCTTCACCAGCTCCAAGATGCCAAAACCAAACACAGGAAGTCATGGCTCAAACATCTGGAGACTTTGATGTCCACCCTGGAGAAACAGTTCGAAGCGTTCGAGGTCCAGCAGAAAGACTACCAGGAGCGCATTCAAACATCCAGGAAAGAGATTCAAACATCCAGAAGGACAATGCAGAGACTGAATGCTCAAGCTGCGGAAGCAGCTATTCCAGAGCAAGTCATCGAAGAAGACGATCAGACAGAACCTCCTCTACAAGACTCCGAAGAGGCCGAACTTCGTTGTCAAGTGAACAAGATGCTGAAGAAATGTCTCAAGTCCTCAGCGGCCAAGGACATGATCGAGCTTCAGTCCGACGACGAAGAAGATTCAGTGATGGCAGTGCCTGCGTCCAAGCGGCAAAGGTCCTGCGAACCTGGGTCTGGAGGTGGTTCGTCCTGAGCCTTGGCAGTGGCGGCTCGAGTCTCTTCGAGATTGTGCACCACGTGCCAGACGTCAACAGCGGGCCTTCTGTCGACAGCCTTGCTGATGCCTATAGGCGACCATTGGAAACCTATGCAGCATGCCAGGCTGGAACAGATACTTTGTCCTGCACAACAGCAACAGATGTCCATGCACTTCCTCTACATTCTGTACTATTTGAACAAAAGTGTGTTCACCCTTTTTTGGCACTACACCATGCGTATGAACTTCACGCTCAATGTCAAGATGAATCGGTTGTTCCTTTGATCTCCCGCTCTTGTGGACTGTGCTCAAGCCTGCGTAAGCCAGGACCCAAGCTGCCCAAGAAGGTGACGTTCTCTTCGTTTGCGACCTTGTGGATAGCTAATGAAGATGAGATTGGGAACTCTGCTACCACTCCAAGGACTATGCTTGAGCATACCTTACACGTGTGGAGGAACAAACCTTGGCAACTTCGTCCCCTCGTACCACAGGCGTGCCATTTCACTGATCAGCACACCCAAGGTGCGTATGAAGCATATCAAATGGAATTTGGTGCGGGAGAGCGTCAACATGAGCCCAACCCTCATGACATTCGGCTTCAACCCACCTACATACAAGATCTGGAAGTGGCTTTGCAACAGTTTGGAGACTTGAACACCAATACCCAAACCAGAAGTATGGACGTGCTCACATGGTATCTTCATGGACAGCGTCTCAGGGAGTGTAGAGGTTCTCGTACAGTACATCTTGGTGATGATTTCCTGCAATGGCCTCGTCTCTTGAAACGTGCTTGGGCAGATGAAATCAATCAGAGGATGGCGGTGCACTTTTATGTGATCTTGCCAGACCCACCCATTGCATATGAGAATGAGGACCATGCAGCCCAGATCGTATTGGTTCAACAATCACGTCCCTATGAAAGTGCTGTCATGTTCACCAATGTCTACCACTCTGTTGAGCGCATTGCAATCCAGCGTTTGGTACGGTTCTCTCCAACACCATTGCACCGTGCTGAAGCCATTGCACTTGCAGAAATTCCGCCCCAAGTTCAACACAGGCCAATTCAGGCGTACTATGGCTGGCGACCAATTTTGGATGCCCCTGAGGACCCACTTCCGATTCCAGATGGAGCTTCTATTGTGATTCACATTCGAGCTCACCAAGAACTACACCAACCTGCTACCTCAACTGAAGATGACGCTATTCTTTGGGAGGAGGATGATGCTTTCAATGATGTACAAGATGGCCCCTCACGACCTCGTAGCAGATCTCCACGTCGGCAACCTGATGAGCCACCAGATGACGCCACATCCTTCATGGCACACCAATGGGCCACACATGAACCATCTGATGCTGTATTTGATAATCCGGCGGCAGCAGCACAAGATGATGAAATGGACTTTGACTCACCAGAAAGTTCATCAGGATCAACATATGCCAGTGATGTCCAATCTCACTTTTTCCATGTGTTTGGCCTGAACAGACCGCTCACGGCTGCCCGCATCCGCACTGACACATGGGCTACCATGCACAGCAATATCCGGTATGTGCTCCAGTTGCACCGGCATGAAGTTCAAGCAATTCATATGGTGAATTATCGGCCTCAAGACCTTTTTGCTGCTGGCACCTTGGTTGCTATCGTCCAACGTGCTGGAGATCTTGCTCCTGGAGACCAGCGACAATTGGTGCTGATTGACGTCCTCTTCCATGGGCATGTTGCCGCAGATTTCAATGTCCGCAGGTATGTGCTCCCACTGAGGAAGGATACAACGCGCCGGATCCTACTGGAAGAGCTGCACCTACAACCGTATTGTGCCAGCGTTCGTCAGCGATGTCTGATCAAGCTCAACAATTGGCTCATTCCACTTTCCAACCATGCATTGTTTGAGCTACACCATGGTGACTACATTCGAGTGGACCTACCGCCACACCCACAGAGTGAAGTACCAACTCAGGCAATTGCATGTTGTCTCCGACAGGGTCAATCCCTTCGTGAGATCCCACGCATCTATGCACAAGCTGTGAATCCATTTGAATGGGAGCCTCTTCCAAATGCAGAAGAAGGAAATGATGCCCAGTCTTTCCTGCAAACCCACGCTAGGTGCCTAACAGCTGAGACGGTGGCTCACGCTCAGCGACCTAGTAGTGAGGTGAAACACCTTTCTCTCGCAGATCTTCTTCCTCATCCACGCACGACACAGATTGACTTTTCTGCTGTACAGTGGTTTTGGCAAGAAGTTCAGAATCTGCCGCTGGAATATTGGACTTCCTGGCCTGATGATTTCAATATTCCTGAAGTCACTATGACTGAATTTCAGAGGCTGGCGTCACCATCCTCACGCACACCACGCATGGTTCACTTCTATGTTGATGGATCCCAACTTCAAAATCAGGTTGGAGCAGGCATTGCATGCCTGGTGGAGCACGATGAGGGTACTTTCTTGGCTGGTTGCATGGCCAAGGCTGTTGAGGAAGCACAATTTGCGTTTCAAGGTGAACACGCTGCAATGGTCTGGGCTCTCCTGTGGGCCATTCGCATCAGTGATTGGTGCCTTATGGCGTTTGGAACCAGAGATCTCCACTTTGCCTTCAATTTTGATGCAATGAACACAGGTTACCAGACAGCCGGCTACTGGAGAACGAAAGAACATAGTCAGTGGAGGACAATGCTGCGATCTCTAGCCCAAATTCTACAACAGCGCCACCGACATTCCCATTTGCACTGGAATCATGTCAAGGCTCACAGTCAACATCCGTTCAATGAACTAGTTGATGCTCTAGCCAAGTTTGCGGCCACCCATCCTGAGCGTGTTGATGGATCTCTTTCATGGTTGCGTTGGTTCCATGAGCCCTCTGCCATGACCAATCTGCAATGGCTTTGGTATTTGGAGTACGTGATAGATTCTCCTGAAAATGCACCCGCTCTACAGGGCACCACTATGATTCATGCCAACAATCAGGTGCCCGATGTGCTGATTCAAGAGACAAGTGATGACCAGAAACAATCTGTATCACTCACATGGGCGAGCGTTCAATTTTCACTGAAACTTGCCACAGCCAATGTCCTTACGCTTGCCATCGGCTCCACAGGGCACGGCTCCAGCTATACGAAACAGCAGCTACTTCAGAAGCAATTTCATGATGAAGGTTGCGTTGTTGTGGGTCTACAAGAGACGAGACACCGACGTATCGTCGACTCCAACAATGAGTACTACCACATGGTTGGGCATGCCGCGTCCTCGGAGGGCCATGATGGCGTGCAGATGTGGTTTTCCAAAGTATGGCCATTGCATGACTCTGGACCCTTGATTCAGCGGCAGCACATCACCATTGTGAGCTCTGCGCCTGCATTTCTGATTGTGCGCCTTTGTATGCCGCATTTCCGTGCCATTTTTGTGACAGGAAGGGCGCCACACAGTGGCCTTGCGCATGAGCTGTCAGAAGGTTTTTGGCGAACAATATCCCAGGATGTGCGTCCCTATGAACGTGATCATCTCCTGTTCTTCATGGGCGACACGAATGGCCACCTTGGTGAGCATGTCACAGATGCGGTTGGCTTTCATGATGGTTCACAGGAAAATGGCCCGGGCCGTGAATTTCACAACTGGATGCTGACTCATCATCTTTGTGCTCCTGGCACGATGATTGACTACCATGTTGGCACTCGAAGTTCTACCTTTTCTTCGCCTGATGGAGTCCACAAGACTCGGATCGACTACATTGCAGTCCCTACGCTTCTTCAGTATGACCACCTCTCCACTTGGGTCGACGAGAACATTGACCTTTGCGGAGTGCGAGAAGACCATGCTGCAGTTGTTGGGAGGATTCAATTCACAAAGGAGATTTCATCTCAACGTGAGCGGTCATATCCTCCCCCACGACTTGATCGTCAACAACTTTCTCAGCGTCTTGGCCAACCTCAGACACTACATCACCTGGCTGATGCTTTGGTAGATGCGCCATGGTCACTTGACCCACATCGCTCTGCCGACTGGCTAGCTGCACAGACGAGCCAAGCTCTCTTCAAGCTCATCCCGAGAGCTATGAGATGGCGGCGCAAACGCCATATTCCTGATGAGATTTGGACTCAGGTCGAGAACAAGAAAGCAGCCTTTCGCCAGCTACGTTGCATGAAGCAGACCTGGCGCAGAACAATGATGCAAACCATCTTCCAAGCCTGGAGGAAGCGACAACCTTTGCCTGACCCTCAACAACATCAGTTGAGAAGTTGGTTTGCTCTTTTTGACAAAGCCCTCGCCCAAACCTTGTTCAACTACCAGCAGTTGGCCCGACAAGTCACCACCTTGATCAAGAAGGCTGATGTTCAATTCTATCAAGCCATGGCTCATGAATCAGGTCAGGCCTACACTCATGAAGGGCTAACAGCTTTGTGGAAGCGAATTAAAGCAGTTCTGCCTAAGAACCGAAACAAGCAGTTCCAAGCCCGCTATGACATTGGTGATGAGCTGCAACGCCATTTTGCTGACCTTGAAGCTGGTCAGTCATTGGATGATCAAGTAGCTCAACAACAGTGTGTGGCTCGCAACAACCGAGATTGCAACGCTCACCTGATGCCTCACCACATTGCACTTCAGGAGTTGCCCACGCTGGCAGAAATTGAAGAACTGTGCCTCAAGCAACGACCACATCGAGCGGCCGGTCTTGATGGACTACCGCCAGAAGTATGTCGTCAGGCAGCAGTTGTGATGGCTCCCTTCATCCACAATGTCCTGCTGAAAGCGTTTGTGAGTGGAGTTGAACCCTTCCGATATAAGGGCGGGTTGCTTGTCCCTATATGGAAGCACAAGCAATCCAGGCAGCTGGCTTCTGCTTACAGGGGCATTCTCCTCGCCGACGTGTTTGGGAAGGTCCTACACGCATGGACGCGCAAGCGTCTTCTTTCAACGCTTCTTCAGAGGAAAGCGCCTGGCCAAATCGGTGGGCTCCCGTCTCAGCAGACGACCACAGCGGTGCAGCTTTTGCGCCTTCATGGCAAAATTGGCCGCAGCCGACGCTTGTCAACAGCTGCCATTTTCGTGGACCTCAAAGCGGCGTTTCACCACATGCTGCGGGAGTTCATCTTTTCTGTGCGAGAGCCCACTACAAGGGAGATGCTGGATCGAATCTTCGACCCGAACGAGTTTGATGTGCAGCAACTGGCACGTGATTTGCATGAGGCTTGCAACCAGCAGCCCCAAGACATTCCTGCGGCTTTGCGTGGCTTCTTGCACGACATCCACAAAGATACATGGTTCAAACTTGATGCTGCTGATTCAATGACCACGGTGACGCAGAGAGGTACACGACCTGGCTCCCCATTGGCAGATATTGGCTTCAACCTCCTTATGTCCAAGATGATGTGGCAAATTGGGGACAAGCTGCATACAATGCCAGCGTATATACAAGGCTGCCAGGCCATGGGAGTCACTATTCCTCCTCTCTCGTGGGTGGATGATTTGGCAGTGCCCATTGCAGTGGCTGAACCTTCCCAATTACTTCCACTGATGCGTGAAGTTGTGGCCATGCTGCATGAGACCTTTCAAGCCCACGGCATGACGATGAACTTCGAGAGCGGGAAATCCGAAGCTGTCGTGATGTACAGAGGCTCTGGTGCTGCTCCACTGCGCACTGCCCTCTTTGACACTGAGGCCCAGCCGAAGCTTGTGGTGAGCACTCCGACGCATATCCTTTCCTTGTGTATCGTTGCAACATATCGACATTTGGGTGCAAGGTTTACTATGGATACAGATATTGCGTATGAGACCAAGCTCCGTGCTGCGATGGCTCGACAGGCTTTTGAGGAACTGAAGCGACCACTCTTCTTGAACAAGGCCATTCCCTTGCAAGGACGCCTTCAGTTATACAACAGTCTTGTCATTGCCAGACTCATGTACGGCTGTGCTGCTTGGGATGATGTGCCCCGCACAGCCATGGAACAGATGGACAGCCTAGTCACCAATCACCAGCGACGAATGGCTGGCATTGGCTTCTGGTCTGACAAGAATATGACCGATGCAGAACTTCGGCACCACCTTGAAGTGGCTCCCTTTCGGGTTACGTGGGCATGTCACCGCCTTAAGTACCTTCAGCACGTGGCACAACATGGCGCCCCTTATCACAAAGAAATTCTTCTCCTTGAATTTGCCCTGGGCAAAGGTTGGTTGTGGGAAGTATCTTCGGATTTGATTTGGATGAGCAAACTGGTGGACCTCCCCTTTGCTTTTGATGCTTCTGCACCTCATTGGATACAGATTTGGGAGGAACTTCCGTCATGCCGACGATGGAAAGCCATGGTCAGTCGAGCTGAGCGGAAGCACATCCTGCAGGAAAGGATTGCACGCGATGTGACTCACTATCACCAGCTGATTGTGCAGGAGCTCACTCACAGTGGACTTGAGGTATGGCAAGGTACCACCAATGAGCATACCGCTGCGCCGACATTTGCTTGCTTGCAATGTGACCGCAGCTTCCCTTCACAGCAGGCCCTTGCAGCCCATCTTTATCGCAAACATGACATCATGTCGGCGGAAAGGCCTTACATCCAATCCACAAACTGCCCTGGCTGTCTCAAAGATTTCCACACCACTTGGCGAGTGCAACAACATCTCAAGTACCGACCGAATGGATGTTGGGATCGCATTTTTGAGGCACGCCTTCCTGATGAACCCATTACAATCAGCATGCCGAACCATTTGCGGCATATCAAGCGGTTGCCAGCAGTGCGGCGACTACATGGCCCTCTACGTCCTACCAGCAGTCAGCGCCAGCGCACCTCCCTGAGGCACCGCATTGCTGAGCTGCGTATTGCTGGGGCCCCCGATTATGCATGGTGGCATCCTGAAAGTGATCCAGCATTGGTACAGACAGCATGTCAAGCCTTTACCACTGGCTTTCACCGGTGGTGTGCACAGGAAAGTCCTGATGAGATTTCCTTTCACAACATGCTCTTTGATGCGATTTTTGCCCTTCCTGTGCCTGAGCTTCTGGGGGGGCGTCTATTCGTGCACTGGATTGAGACAGGGTTTTACGATGTCTTCCCGGATGACCTTGATCCCGACATCATTCAGGTTGCGGAGACGGCCCACATGAGCATGCTGGACGACATCCCAGCTTGGACGCACCGTTTGGCTATGAAGCGGCTGGTTCAACTTTGGACGAATTTGCCACCAGATGACCCGGACCTTTCTGCTCCGCTACCACCTCAGTCATCACGGCCGTATTCGCGTATCCATGCCATTCACTCACTCAAATTTTGACGAGATGGCAGCAGAGGAACAACAGCGCAACACCTGGCGTATTTGGCGTGCACCTTCGATTGCCCGACTGGCTCCCAAAGGTCCCTTTTACGTGCTGCACCTGTATTCTGGAAGGAGACGAGCATTGGATTTCCATGAGCAGGTCGAAAAGGTGATTGCCGAGTTCCCGTCCTTGTATATTCGAGTCATTTCCATCGACACTGCTGTGGATGCGAAGCTCGATATCCATGACACGAAACTATGGCATTTCTTGACTGAGATAGCCCAAGCTGGGAGAGTGCTGGGCCTCCTCCAAGGGCCACCATGTGAGACATGGACCTCAGCAAGACACCACCAGCAGGTCGATGAGCATGGAGCTCCACTCCGAGGACCGCGACCCTTGAGGCACGCTGACTCCTTGTGGGGACTGGATCATCTCACCATGCCGGAGTTGGCGCAGGTCTTCACGGGCAACATCCTTCTTCTCAAGGGAATGTTCTTGGCTTGCTTGGTCGCACTGCGTGGTGGTGCAACCTTCCTGGAGCATCCGGCGGTCCCTTTCGCTGAGGAGATGGCCAGTATTTGGCGACTTGCCCTGATGAAGCTGCTACTTCGTCGCCCAGGAGCTCTTTTCCGCAAAACGACGATTGAACAATGGCGCTATGGTGCCCCTGGCATTAAGCCCACTACATTGCTCTTCTCGAATTGCGATCTCCCGGCGGCGCTGGCGGCTGGCACCATTCCCGGCTTGAGCAGACCTGAGACCTTGCTAATTGGCAAGGACAGCGAGGGCCGTTTTAGAACGGCAGCAGCGAAGGAATACCCTGCTGCCCTCAACAGCAGTTTTGCTTGTGCCCTTCGTCCGCTGCTCGCTACCCGGGTTGCGACGGATTGTGGCACCCCCCATGATGAACCGTGGGGACATGAATTAGCTGTGACGACTTCTTGTACGGAGTACGGAAGTATCATGCCAGACTACCAGCCACGCCTACCATAGGCATTGGTGGTCACTATGCATGGCGGCACGAGAGACATCTCATATGCCAGAGGAAAAAAATATATATATGATATATAGATATGGATTCTATATCTTATATTATTCTATTTTGTAATGATTGTAATGTCTTATGCTTATACTTACATATGATGGATACATACTTTTCAGTATGGGCAATTTTTCGTGCCCTACATCGGCATCCCAGGCCCAGCCTGACACAGCTGGATCTGGGGCGCAACAAACTCACAGAGTTGGACGACATCTCTGAGTTCCCTGGTGAAAAAACAAACATGGGCAGCTGGGAAATCCACGAAGTACCTAAGTACCCTCTGGTTATGTCAACAGTTTGCTATTGAAAATGGCCATTTATAGTGAGTTTTCCCATTAAACATGGTGATTTTCCATAGTTATGTAAACGTTTACCAGAGGGTAACTTCAATGGGTTTCCATCATCGCATTATTGAACTGATGAACTGGGCTGGGGGATGAAATTCTACAGGAATGTGGTAGACCCAATTTAATAAGCCCCTCAGTTGGGGATGGTTTCTACATGTTTTCAACACCTATTTCTGGTGAATCTGGGGATGGTGTATGATTGGGTTTACCACACTAGTACAATTGTGGTAGACATGATAAACATGGATAAAAAAGATGATGAATTGAGAGGAATCCTGGAATTGATGGTAAACATCATGGCTTCCAAAAACACACCCCTTAAATTGCGGACCGAAACGGAGCAGCTCGTGGCTAGGAGACACCTTTCAAGGAGATGCCAATTTGGACTAAATGCACAGTGCCAAAGTCACAGAGCCCACTAAACATATTAAACTCACCTGGCTGTCTATATTACCAAGGTAATTTTTCCCTAAATCCACTACTCGTATTAAAATCCTCATGTTCCCTCTTGAAACGGCCATATTGTTCAGTCAGAGATCCCATCTTTCCCCAGCTGAGGTGGACTCCACTGTTGCAAAAGGCATTCCTCTACGAAAATCGCCTGGTGCGGCTCCAAGCCGGGTGATGATACCCAGCTCGATGAGCCTAGGGCCTAGAAGAGTATCCTTGGTTGACCTACAGATCTCCAAGTTCAGATGACCCCAGCATATATATATATAAATATTATAGTATATTATATTATATATATATCATGTATATCATGTATATCCTATATAATTACATACTATGATCCAATGATTGATCAAAGAGCTAGAGATATGGCGCCACCCGACCGCGGCCGGGCAGAGGTCTCCTTACCGGAACTTCACCTTCCGCTACTGACAGATCTCTGGGTCCGGATGGGTGGAACTGTGGGGACTTCAGATTGGACGTGTTACTGTGGTGAATCCTTGAAGAATGTGCCAAAGCCACTAAATCACTATGCCAAAGAAACATGAAGATGTCAAAACAGTTTGTTTCCCCGTTTCTTCCTTAGGATTTTTGGTTGATGGTTCAGTTCATATTCCAACATGAGAGGATGATTCAATTCATCCGCCGCATAATCTGCCTCTCAGACAGTGTAGAGCTGCGAATGCAGAACATGATGTCCACAGATTCATCCATCAAGATGGACATGCTTTCGCATTGAGCACTCAAGAGGACGGCCCAACACTGCACATATGAATCGCCAACTACAGCGGTACTACAGCATCTTCAACCAAGAGCATCAACAGCCACATTTAAGACTGCCAAGTCCCAGACAGCTCAACTGCAGGATCCACTTGAAGACAGACCATGATGGGTTTCCCCCCATAGCCTGCCGCGGTGACATCGGCAACGGCACTGTTCACGTTCACGTTCAAGCACCAAAACGCGACACGGGTCATCGGCGGTCAGGGATCCTCAGAAGCAAGAAGAAGCACGGGATTTCACCCACAAAAATGAGGAGTTTACAAAGACAACTGAGGATTTAACCAACCAAAAAACACCGAGGATTTCATTTGGGATCGAAAAACATGTGGGTGGTTTGTACTACGAACAGCTATACTGGCTATACTGACTTGGACAGCTTGAAGATGCCCAGCCACGACATCATGGGCGAGGTCTCCGGATGTCACAGCGAAATCTCATGGGTGACGAGGCCCTGCTGACCTCATCACAGCAATGAGTTCAATCTCCAACTTTGTGAGTTAAAACCCCCGTTTTGTTGCTTGAATCTCCGGTTTTTTTTGGTTCAATCTGCAAGTTTTTGTGTGTTTTGGGAAGGGAACACCTTGGTGCAGGTTAGATGATTATCAACGATGAAGACCATGAGTTACACCGCAGCTACACGCCCGTGGCAGACTTAGATGTTCTGAGACAGTCGAGAATGAATGGCAACCCTGAGTGCTCAACCCTGGTTGAATGAGCAGCGACCAGTGGATCGCTGGGGTGTTCTACGTCCTGCTTTGGGGGATGACCAGAATGGGAAGGAATACTGGAAAGACAGAGGGGTTCAACTCCTCCGACCTCATTTCCTAAGGCGGTCTTGGAGGTTACTACAGAGGCGGGAAATGACCCCTGGAGGATTCTCTCACTGGGGGACTTCATTTTCTTTGGCTGTTTTTCCAACATATTTTACATATATCACCCCAGCTTCGATTTAAACTGATCATCCAACTGTCACACTTTTCAGCAGCGCCAAAACGCTGCTTCCAGTCAGAGTAGGATCATTTTGAGCCCGACAAAGGCCGAACATCTAGGGAGCAACAGTGGAAGATGGGGTTAGGTCAAAATCGGCTTTGACCTGCAAAAAATGTATGACTATTTTTTTCATATCGATGGTTAGTAGATGTTAGTATATAGTGGTTTTTCCCTGAAGAATAAGTGGATGGTTTACCCTCTGGTAATTTAACATAGCTATTGAAAATGGCCGTTTGTAGTGAGTTTTCCCAATAAAAATGGTGATTTTCCATAGTTATGTTAGTTTACCAGAGGGTATCTAAAACGACTAAGACAAAAATGTGGGTCCCGCTTTCTTCGACTATCCTCCCTTTGCCAGGCCAAGAAGGACTGCCACGTGTCGTGTTTTTTGGGTACCCCAAGTTGTCATGGGTTCAACATGGTTCACCGAAGTTAAGGTCTGAGTTGGATTTGGGGGACCCCTATGACTTAGGATCCCCAAAAAAGAATCTTGGACTTTGGATTTTTTTTTCCAGTTCTTCAGTTCTTCTCTATTCTTTCATTTTTTCTGTCTGGAACCCCTGCTGCAGGACTTCCGGAATCCCAAGTTCCGGTCGTTGGCAGAGGCGAGATTCATGACACCAGGGTGGGCATTTCTTGTGCGATTCAACTTCCTTAATTTGATCGGTCGGGAAAATTCCGAGAAACTTCCTTGCGCAACATTTTTTTCAATCTCAGTTGCCCTCCAGCAAACTAACATAGCTATCGAAAAACGCACCATTTATAGATAATTTATCTACTAAAGATGGTGATTTCGATAGCTATGTTGGTTTACCAGCAAGACAGAAGAAATGCATCTTTTTCCAAACTCCTTGCTCCAGACTTTCACATCTGGTTTGCAGGTTCTGATTCTGTGGCCAGGTTTGCCAGTTAGACCACTAAACTTCAAGGGCACCTATCCGAAAGCCGGTGTCGCTTGCTCTTGGGTATATGTTTCAGCATGTTTCAGCAACACTATAATACAATGGACATGAAGAAACAAGAAACTTCAAAGTCGTTGCACGATTCATGAGTCACTTTGGTAGTTTCAGCCATTATCCATTCGAGAAGATCTCAAATTGATGAATATCTTGGGGATGGACAAACAACTATCAACCCATGCCCGTTGCTGATGAGTCTACTACTCACTTTTTGTTGGCTTACTGCATGCAGGTACTCGTATCTTGTTGCCTTCACATTTCTTGGTTGAAACCTCTGAAACCAGACTGTGTCCGAATCACTACTTGAATATACAGCCCGCTCAGTGGTTTCTCACCCTGGCTCATCTGATGAGTGTAGGAGGTAAATGAAGTCGGTCTAAGTGAGGTCAATCTGCATGACCATGGCTGTGAATGTTCCAAGCGGGGAATTTCTCTGATAAATCAGGGACCCATGGCTACCTTCCAATGGTAGAACGAGTTTCGAGTAGACATAGGCGGATTTTCCAGCAAGCCATATTACATGATTTACACGTTTGATTACCAGAGGGTACCCCAAAAACTCATGGTTTGTGAAAGCAAAACTCCGCCTCCTGTGGCAGGTGTACAGGGAGAGTCTCTCGGCTTTGGCCCGGTATCCCCAGCTCGGGAGATGGGAGAATCAGCTGGCAGTTGGTGGGGGCGCCGTGGTAAATTGATGCATATAGATTATACGTATGATATAGATTGATATAGCCAATATAGATCAATATAGCTTGTTTTTCCGTGGTTAGAAGGGCTGCTACCCACTGACCATTTTCGAGCTTTCTGGCCTTTCGTAAAGCAAAGTTTTAGAACCACCCAAAAACTATTTTGATGACCTGGCCAAGCTTAATGGAGTTTCTCGCAGAACTGCCTAGAATTGGCTCAGGGGAAATTCTGGAAACCGAAATATTTCTCAATCTCTTTTTGGTCATCTCCATAGTTCCCTGTCGATGTTTCTCTAAGATATCTAACTCATCCTAACTCAATCCACAGTTTTACATGTCCCTTCGTTTTTGCTCACATGATCCCCAGCCCAGCCCTTCGTTGTGCCTGAAAAATGGTCCAGGCCCAAGACAATTTGCGGCTTCGGGAAGAATTGGGCCTCGACATGGCGCCACGGCATAAATCTGGGTGGGACAAAAAAAACGGGTGGCAAAAGCTGTGGCTATCTGCTGGTGAACCATCATTTCGCCAGCCCAAAATAGGGATGTCAATGCATTTACCCATCATTTATCCATCATTTATCCATCATTTATCCATCATTTATCCATCATTTATCCATCATTTATCCATCATTTGTCCATCATTTATCCATCATTTATCCATCATTTATCCATCATTTGTCCATCATTTATCCATCATTTATCCATCATTCACCATCACATGGGCTGATCATAGGCACGTCAGTGGTGTCTTCTTTGGCCACAGGAAACCCCCTTGGACTGGGACTCTGAATCCTCCGAAGAGGAGGCGCAGTCATCCTGGATGTCTTCGCAAAGCATTCAGCTCACTTAGCTGGTTGATGATTCTAGGGGGCTATGATATCTATAATAGAATCCATATGAATATATATATATATATATAATATTTATACATATTATATATATATATATTAATTATACACAATATATATATACACATATATATATAGGTTTTGAACAATGCTCAGATGCATCCAGAAGCAGCTGGTTGATTCTATATTGTTTTTTGAATTCCTGGAATCATGACCCAATTGACTATAGAATACTTTTGAACATTGACGCCACAAAGACTTGGAAAACCATTGGAGAGTAAATGGCTTTGTCTTAAACTTGGGGAATGTGAACAAGTTCATTCCCCATAAAATATGATTTTTCCCCATAAATTACTCTCCTAATATTTTCCCCCATAAATTGTTCCATGAAACATGCCAAAAAATATCCCAAAAATGGCCAGAACATGCCAGAACCAAACCCACCATGTGACCGCTGCCAGGTCGCTGGTTCATTGCCTGGTCCACAAAATGCAACAGCCCCAGACATGGCTGGACAGGAGATATATCACCTGTCCGCTGTCAATTGGTTATCATAGAGGATTTTATTAATCAATATACTATATATGATCATCATCATATATATATATAATTAGGTTATCATTTATCACATTATATTATTAATCACTATATTATATATATAATTATAAGGGATTTAACTATCGGTTATATAGGGGTCTTGCAGGGCTCTAACGGCCCTAACCACTGTTGGCATGGAAAGTGGCCCATTTAGTTCGATGATTTCGCGGTCACAAATGGTGATTACCATAGCCACGTTAGTTTACCAGAGTGTTCCCCCTACAAGCACTACTTGCGAGTGTCCACCATCTTGCCTTTCTGGCCGTGGGGAATCCCCGATGAAACGAGCTGAGCTGACTTTCCTTAGAAAAAACATGAAGAAACCATCGATTTTGGAAAACTCATCGACATCCCATCTAGATATCCAGATTAAAAGATGACCCTATTTAGCATTATAATCCCATCAAGTCCGTTGCTGAATTTTTCAGATTTGCCAGCAAGTGGCCTTGATGCTCCTTTCTCAGCTTCGAAAGGTTCATGATTTCATGATATATCCGTGAGACCTTCTCCCATCCGGTTGATGATTTTATAACCATCCCATAAATTGGGGGGGGTACCCCTTAAAGTTTTCTTTTATCCATGGAATTTTCCTTTTTACAATTTATAAGCCATCCATAAATTGGGTGTTGTCCCCCCATTGATGACAACCCAAACCCTATCAACGTTGGCTGGGCCCCCGGTTTTTCAAGGCCTCCTTTCTCCGTAGCACCTCTGTCCCTAACCTCGGATCCAAGGCAGGGTGGGCAAGAACAACATCGAACTGTTAGTCTAGGGGAGGGTACAAGTGGCTTCAAAGTTTGTACAAATTATATAATGTATTAATTATATATATAGAGAGAGAGTATCTTATTTTTTTTAGAAATCAATGTAGTATGACCAGTAATTTTCTGATGTTTGGGCTTGTCGAACACGACATTTGCTGGGGAATAATGGAATATTATAATTTACCATAGTCATCAGTCATGGGGATATATGTATATATATATGTATATATATATGTATATATATGTATATATATATGTATATATATATATGTATATATATGTATACAAAGAATACATGTACGTACGTTCGTACCTACATACAAACATACATACATGCATGCATGCATACATTCATGCATACATACATACATACATACATTCATGCATGCATACATACATACATACATGCATGCATACATTCATGCATACATACACACACACATACATACATACATACATACATACAGTTACATACATACAGTTACATACATACAGTTACATACATACAGTTACATACATACAGTGACATACATACAGTTACATACATACAGTTACATACATACAGTTACATACATACAGTTACATACATACAGTTACATACATACAGTTACATACATACAGTTACATACATACAGTTACATACATACAGTTACATACATACAGTTACATACAGTTACATACATACATACATACATACATACATACATACATACATACATACATACATACATACATACATACATACATACATACATACATACATACATACATACATACATACATACATACCTAAGTACGTACGTACGTACGTATATGTGTACGTGTACGTGTATGTGTACGTGTACGTGTACGTGTACGTGTATGTGTATGTGTATGTATACATGTACCATATATATATATATATATATATATACATACATATGATGTGCATGTCATGGGATTTGTTTCAAACTCATGGATACCCCACATCCCTACGAGTTTATGGGCTATAAATTGGGATATTCTCGAGACAAACCCAGATGCGGATGGATTCCCTCCACGCCTTTGGAGTTCACCACGGCGAATCTGTAAATCATCGCGACCGAAATCGGCAAAATTCTCTGTATGTTGAATTACCGGAGGGTATATCGTAGCAGTAGGGATGGATATACCGTGTATACACATATAATATATGTATGTATATATATATATACACATATGTATATAGATATGTACGAAATTGAGCCGAATGGCTGAGCGAAGTTCCTTTCTCGTGACATTGCTAGAAAGCCTTGGATGCTAAGCACCGTTTCCAAGCAGAACCAAGCAGCGGGCCCGAAAAAGGAACTTTCCATGGCGGATATCACCCCACTGCCCCATTGATATGGGTATGGATCAATACCTATTAATACCATTTTTAGTGGGATGAACATCCATTTACCAGCTATTTTCATGTGAACTACAGGGGTACAAGGTTTTGACACACTGCCATATTTTGAGAGTTTGCTCCCGGGCTTCCCGGGGAGGTGAGTTTAGATGCAGAATTGCGAAAGTCGTCCGACACCTGGGGGTGTGGCCACCGGACGGGACCAGAGATTGACGTGGCCAGTTATGGCCAATTTCGCCCGCAAACTTCGGACTAAACCACTGGGGCCAGTTTTGGCATATAGCCATGTTTCTACGGATCTTGTAAGATGACGTTTTTTTTTTTTGGAAACTTAGAGTCATGAGTTTTGAAGCCAGCTGCACATGAATTTCCCGCATCAAAAAATAGAACTATTTGTTGCGACAATTTCAAACATTCGCTGCTTTTCCCGTGCTTAAGACGATCAAACTGCGCGAACCTTGTTATCGTTGTTATCACCCTCATCTTTGTCATTAGCATTGTTATTTTCTTGATGATCATTTTTATGATTATGGCTATGACCATGATTGCTATAGCAGGTGCTAGCATTTTTTTTAATATGAACTTGGCAGATGTCCCTTCAACATGGTCCAAGCCACTCAAAATGAAGCGCCCCCCTCCAGCTGCTTTGGAGTGTTAATGAGTTGTTAATGCTTGAAACTTCCTAAGGAATTGACAAAGTGCACTTAAGCTATGTGTTAAATTCATGAGTTGCCTTCTTTGGTGCAACGCGAATCTGTACAATCCATCAACCCCCTTATTTCAGCAGGACCGAAGCGGTCTCAGAGGTCTCAATCCCTTGGATTCCAAGGACGTCTTATGTTTCACGTCGACATGTGCTTCCCATGCTTGGGCCCAAGCGTTCCGAACCACCAGGATGTCCGCTTGATGGAATGATGAATGGGATGTTACTGGTTGGTTTTCCATGATAGGCAGTCTTATCCACCATGGATAGGCAAAAGGATATGAAGTAAACATGTCAATTTTTACCAAATACCAGCTTGAGCGGAAAAAATGTTACGACAAACAGTGGGTCACCTTTGCTCAGTGTCTGTGAATGGTTCAGGTATCTTCATTCTCCACTTGACAAGGCAACATCATCACAGTTCCAGGTGCGCAGTGTCTCCACATTTTCAGGGGTTTTCAACAAGACATTTCGATGCTTTTCCTGGGTATGGGTCAAAATGAATGGCCCCCAAGAATGGCTAGTTGAATGCTGAAAATTGCTAATTCTCTGGGTCGGAGTTCGCTGGAACCCGATTTTTGGCAGGCAACCTTGGTGCAAGACCTACGGCGCTTCTCAGAGTTTCATGAAATGGGAGGCGCCAATATGGGAGAATCCAGAGGGAGTGAGGATCCATGTTCAGCAATTGCATTTACAACATTTTACAACAACATGTGACGACCTATAATGTATCCAATTGTTTGAGGAGCATGAAATGGGACCCAGAAAGCCCAGAATGTGAAAGGATGGTGAGAGTCAGAAGATGCGAGTGAAGCAGTTGCTTTGGCGACGAAAATGTGGTTCTCCCAAGTGTCCGGTTGATGAGATGGGCATGGGTCAGAATATGGTTTCTCAAAATGTGTCGACTTTTTTTGGTATTTTAAATCTTCAACCGTATTTGAAACGATGATCCCCAATGACGCCGATGACTGATGTTTGTCAGTGGGTTTGAAACCACCAAGGGTCCCACTGAACCGAATGACTGCAATCTGTTCCCCTCTTTTCGTCGAAAGATTTTCTTGCCAATCTGGGAACAAACAATTCTGATACGCACCCACACACAGCCTGAAGTCGCGCAGATCTTCAAAGCGACGAGGGGGCGATGAGTTGCTATGATATGATCGTCAACCTGCTGGTTCAGTTCAGGTGGGGTGGACAACTCCAGAGAAATTGGGGCTTGAGGATCGTGTCCCACCTTGGCTTTTTTGGATGACATCAGAATCACAGAGGGGGATGGAAGTGGACACAGCCTTGGAATGTCTTGAAGCCAAGAGAAGCTGAGCCTTTCAACATGTGGACTGCAGGCAAGTGCCTGGTGCAATGCAATCCATCACCCCACCCAGACCCAGCACCACAGATTTTGGTCTATGATTTTTAGCACACAATTTCAATGTTGGCAACGAATTTACCAAGATGAATCTCTGATCTTTGTTGCGAAATCAGTTCCGCAAGAGTTCACGCTGCTGGGTTTCGCAGGCTGCCGCTCAGTTGGGGAATCCCAGCTCCACGGGACGTCTGCATTGACGCCTTTCTAGCTGTTGGGAAACCCCTTCGAACAGTTACCCTCTGGTGAACTAACATAGCAATGGAAAATCACCATTTTTCATGGGAAAATCCACTATAAATGGCCATTTTCAATTGCTATGTTAGTTCACCAGAGGGTATTTCCTGAAATCGTGGAGGCAGCAATCTGCAAAGGCAAGGGTGTTTCTTGGTACGCCATGATGATCACCGGTGAGCCCCATTTTCTCGATGCCGTAGCAGTCGAGGTCCTAATTCGGAGATCCCCTTGGTGTGGGATATGATGGGTCTGACGCTCAGGGGATTCGGAATCGGGCAGCCACAAATCCGAAAAAGGGTTGTTAAATTGAGACGTGAGACAAGTCACTGTGGATGGCGGAAGATGCTGTCAACCAGGCACGAAAATCAACCCACAAAAAGTGTTTAAAACCGATGAGGTTGTGATGTTTTCATCAACTATGGAATTGGTTTGACTGAAAGCAGGGTGAACCGAATCCCCATGGTACCCAACATTTTCCCCGTTATATAAAGCAGTCAGAAGTGGGTTATCCAAATTTTCCTGGACCAAATAAACCAAGCCAAGCTCTTCCCTGTTGATGGTAGATGGGTAGAGCTCCGAGGATTGTGCTTCATTGCATACGATGTTTTCGCCATCCCGTTGCAAGCTTTTCCACTGGAGGAGGACCAAACTGATCACGCTTCACCATGATCTATGTTTTTGGGCAATTTCTGAAAATAGGGCACTGGTAAATTCAGTTGTTTATCATTGTGAATTGTTATCTGCATTGTTTGATGGCCATTTTCCCCAGCATTTCAAGACACACCCAATATTGAGGCAAGCTGATGCATACGGATGCATACGGTGCATCTGCATGAAGAGACACCGAGGGTGTATGATGCTTCCTGGTTGATAGTTGCTGGATGTCATGTAGTTTTCTCATGTGGAAACCATTCCCAATGACTCTGGATCCTGTCCAGATCATGTTCGCAATACCTTTTTCGCACGAAAAAAAATGCTGGAGACCTGGAGACGCCGGAGGAGGACGTTCCGTTTTTATTGACCATGGGTTGGATCACCTTGTGCTTTTGGACCTGCGATATTGTGCCCTGGCTCGCTCCAGTCGTGCCGTTTTTTGGGGCCACCTCAAAAAGGCCACTGAACATTTTGGGCCATCCATTTTTTAGACGCACATATATATATATATAAACGTATATATATATATATATCTATAGATATAGATAGTATGTATAGATACATAGCTATACATCGATGTACAATGATGTTCATAATAAATAGATAAATAGATAGATAGATAGATAGATAGATATAGATCGATAGATAGAAAGAAAGAAAGAAAGATAGATAGATAGATACATAGATATATATATATAGATATAGATAGATATAGATAGATATAGATAGATATAGATAGATATAGATAGATATAGATAGATATAGATAGATACAGATAGATACAGATAGATACAGATAGATACAGATAGATACAGATAGATACAGATAGATACAGATAGATACAGATAGATACAGATAGATACAGATAGATACAGATAGATACAGATAGATACAGATAGATACAGATAGATACAGATAGATACAGATAGATACAGATAGATACAGATACAGATAGATACAGATACAGATAGATACAGATAGATACAGATAGATACAGATAGATACAGATAGATACAGATAGATACAGATAGATACAGATAGATACAGATAGATACAGATAGATACAGATAGATACAGATAGATACAGATAGATAGATAGATAGATAGAGAAATAACCAACTAAATAGATAGATAAATAGAAACAATAAGTAGATATATAAATAGATTAATTAATTGAATAAATAAATACATACATAAATACATCAAATAAATGAATACATAAATAAATTAGTACATAAATCAATGAATGAATAAATACATATTATATATGTATATTATATATAGATAAATGACTATATACATACATAAATATATACATATAGTAATATAAATATCTAAATATATGAATAAATAAATAGATAAATAAATAAATAACTAAATACATACATAAATAAATGAATAGATAAACAAATAGATAAATACATATAGATATTATGTATATATATATATATGTATAATATACACATCAACTCTTTACCATTGTGGCCCCATTTCTGAGCCATCACTGCACTCATCACTCATCATTACTTGTCAGGGTGAACTAGCCCAGCTGTGACTGGTAGATACTGGTAGATACTGGTAGTTCGTAATCCCTGACTCTACCAGTTTCGAAGTTGCAAGAGAGATTCTTGATACATCTTGAATCATCTTGATCAGCTTAGTCAGATGGGACACGACACGTTTGAAACTTGGGGTGAAGAACTTCATTTTATCAGGTGATGAGCAATCTGGTGGGATATTTCAATGGTCCGGAGCTGGTGATGCAGCAATTCCGCATCACGAAGCGTGGCTGGGCGCCGATGCCCGCCGGGCAAAAGGGGGAGATTTTTGGAGGTCAGGCAAAGGTAGGCTTTTAACATCTTTAACCAGCATTTGAATGAGAATGTTAGAATCTAGAATCGAGATTTGACAAGCATGAAATGCTTTTTAACATGATTTTCACCAGGATTGAATGCGGATGATGATCCCCACTGGCAAGAGGGCCATGAGCAAAAGTTTGAGCCGTTCTCCATCCATAGCTGAGCCAGAGAAACACCTGAGAGGCAAATAGCATCAAATAACGTCTTGCACATTCCAGCTAAGCTGCTAGTCTGGATGAGGTTTTGAAAACAGCATCATATATATCAAAAATCAGTGTTGTGAGAGGGGTTTCGATCACACTGCATCTTCCGTTGTAAATCCCCCAAAGCCTGCAGTGCCACCGCTTCGGTCCCCAAGGCTACTTGAAGACCTGGTTTCTCCTGGATGCCATTGTGGTGATACCAGACTGGTTCACCCGTCTAGCACAGGTGCTTTTTTGTTGCTGGGGGTTGACACAAGTCATCATTGTTCCTAGCTTTGGCATGTTTCTGCCAGCCTGAGTAACTTCCTGAGTGAAAGCTGTCATCGGATTTCGCTGGACAGGATGGGGGTTCTGCACCTTGGCAAGAGATGGGGCATGGTTTTTTGGGCGTGCTCCGTGGTTGACCAGTTGATTGTGATCCAGGAAAACATGGGACATCTTTATCTTCGGAGCCGGGAAACCAACAGTATTTCCCATTTTTTGATATCTTTTGATACATTCTAGAAGCTCTCATCATTAGAAGTCTCCCTCGTAAAGTAAAAACAGAAAGAACACCATCTACTGGACAATGGAATAGGTTTGGTTTCATGGAAAGCTACCTGAAAGGTATTTTCAACCATGTTTGGGATGATGATCCCCAATTACAAGTACTTTCGAAATTTTCAGAGGGGGGTGAAACTGCAACCAGCAACCATAGAGCACCCAGGAACAGCTGGCCAATGTGGGACGCATCATTCGCTCCGCGCGTGCGGTGCGAGTCATACGCCTGTGTCCCGGCCTCTTTCAATGGGGACAGGTGCTGACCGAAATACTGGAGAAATACCTGGGGAGACAAGAGATAAGGACCCGAAAGCCCAAAAGTTGATCCTTCAGAATCATTTTCACTCTGCTTTTTCTTTGTCCTTGAATTGCTGACGATGGCTTTTTTTTCCCCCCCAGTGGTCAACCCACCAGAAATGCGGAGTCAACTGAGAATTTTTTTTTTAATGAAAAAAGGCACCTTGAACAGATCCAAGTATTGGGAAAATTGCTGGATAAGTTATGGGAAATTATGTGACAACACGGAATATAACCAACGATATGGGGTTCATGGATGATCAATGGGATTATCAATGGGATGTTAATGATATTATTCATTCTAACGGGATAGCAGGGGGATACAATGGCTGAATTTCACATCACCTTTGTTTTTTGTTCCCCCGACAAGAATGGGATAGTTGAGTCATAGCTGTTATACCTCAGGAATTTCAGTTTTTACGAGCAATCACAAGAGGTTAAGCACTAAAAGGTTTCCCAAAGGGGCTAGGCATCACGGCATAGACCTGTTGATTTCTGGGTTGGGCGCAGGGTGACCAGGGTTTTGACCCGGCATTCCCATGGCTGCTGTGATGAAAAAATGCTGTGCTCAAGTGCTCAAGGCTTCGTCTGCTGAAACTTCAGAAAATGCTGAACAAGATCTATGTCTAGCACTCAGCCTGTTGGTCTCACGACTTCTCCAGGCCACAAGAAATGGCCATCCCCCAAAAAGGATTCTGATCAAAGGTAGAACGATCAGCCCGAAAAGGTCAAACAGATGGCAGAACGATGGCACACCTTGTTTCACGCCGTACCTTTGGCGGAGCCTGGCGTGCTGAGGATTTTATCGATTCTGAATATCTCTTCATCGTAATGGACATCCTACGACTGTTGCTCTTCATCATTGCGCCTGAACCCAGGGCAGTGGTGACTGGTAGGATGCCAACTGGAGAGAACCCTTTCTTTGGGTGGAGAATATCACAGTGTGGCCATGTAATGTCGCCGATCCTAAACCTAAACTTCAGAGTGAATGATGATCCATTGATCGCAAGGTGCTGAACCATGTGATCGCTTGCCTTTGGTACCTGGTGGGCTACATAGGCCTGATCTCAGTGATGTACTCAAGATAAGGTGTGTCATGTGTGTCTGAAAATGGGCTATAGCCATAAATGGTTGGTGGTTTCGAACATTTTTTATTTTCCATAATATATGGGATAATCCTTCCCATTGACTAATATTTTTCAAGATGGTTAAAACCACCAACCAGATAACCATTCTGATGATTCACCATGGAATTTGAGAGAGGCAGCAGCAACCAGGCATTTTTCCCTACCAGGACATGATCCCTGCTCCATGTACGCTGCATACGTAACAGTGAAACTACACATCTTTTCTCTCAATGGCAGGTCGATATTTATTGTTTATCCATTACTCAGATCTTGACCAGGGACAGCATCTATTTTTACCATTTTTTACCCATTTGATAAGTTTAGTTGTGTCATGTGAAACCAGGATCAATAAACAGTTTATCAATGGTGGATTACCATTCAGAATTGGACCAGATTGGCATCGTCATTATTTTGGGGAGCCCTCTGATTAATCAACAATCTGAGGGTAATTAACAACGTGAGGGTTTATGAATCCCGGGCTTACATTATGAACACTCCAATTACAATGGTTTTAAGAAACTACGTATCCCTACTACAGTGGTTTGGAGGGTCACGGCTTGGGAGGGTTGAAACTTAAGACACAACGGAACACGCATGCCGCCACCCAGTGGTTCAAGAAGAAAAAGCAGTTCCAGATAGGTCGATTTTTCCCAAGTTTCAGCTAGGAAAAGATGCGCATTGTGCTCAGTTGCTGTGCTTCAAGTTTCTAGTATATATATATATTATATGGTTTAACAATGTTTAACACACTTCTGCAATATTGACGCGTCAATGAATATTCAAACTATTTACATAAACACTCTTAACGTAGTCTAATTCAATTAATTTTTGGGCACTATTAAGACTATTTACGGTTCTTCCACTATCTTCCACTATCAGCACGATAGATACCCTCTGGGAATTTAACGTAGCTATGGAAAATCACCATTTTTCATGGGAAGATCCACTATAAACTGCCATTTTCAATAGCTATGTTAAATTACCAGAGGGTATATCACTCCTGGGTCATCAAAATACCCCAGTGACCTGACCCATGACGCACCGGAGGCTACGACGAAGGTCAGCTGAACTGGTTGCAGCATACCGGCTATCGCACCAATGACAGCGTGGATGGCTACGAGCAGGATGGGAAGCTTCTGGGTGAATCATATGGAATTATGATGAATTATGAACTTATGAACTAGAAGAAACACACATTTCTATACTGGATGGGGTTTCAACTACTTTGAAAATTGAAAAAAACATCTAATTACTCTTGGGATGATTGGTTGGCAGATCAGTATGACATAGATCGTGAATATTGTATCTGAATTAGTAAGTGGTTGGTACCGGAAAGGGAACTTTTTTTCATACCCGCTATTTGATTTGAACATCAGGGTAGCAGGGTCATGATCCCGTAGCCAGGGTACCGACATGGGCTGGGAAATCCCTGAACTAAATGGAGGCTTCCAGCTGAAACAATCATCGAACTAAATGTTTGTGTTTTTTTTTTCCAGCAAGGCACGTCTGATCACCGGAGGGTAAATCCATTAATCACCATTAATCACCATTGATCACCATTAATCGCCATTATATAATCACCATCAGTATCCATTCGTAATTGCATTCAACAATCCATTTTTGGAGTCCAGTCATTTCGACCCATACCAAGGTATCGACAATAGCGCCTAAGATATCCAAGATTTCGGGTTGGTCAATCTAGGATCACCATTTTATGACAATCAAACAACATCAATGTATAAAGGGCGGAAAAAATCCAAAGACCGAGGCCAAAAAAACCTTAAAAACCAGTTCTTTGTTGGTAGACCCATCCTCACATTATGGTCAAACGTTAAACGTGGGTTGGCTGGTGATCCGGCCGCCCATTTTCACACCGCAGGTCATCAAGGGCGAAGTGCCCTGGCAATACTTGACGGCGCTGCATTGGAGCCTCACTCAATTCACTCCAGCAGGCCGCCTGGTACAGTGGTCGGACGATGGTCGGACTATGGTGTCATCACACGTTGGAAGATGGGTAGTTGTAACCCTTATAACTTGACGAATGGCCTACAACTGGAACTAAGCATGGTTAATATGGATTAATATGGATTAAATGCAACTTCAATGAGCTTTGAATCCAGGAGTGAGATGTAATTTCTGGAGGGGGGTCCCTTTTGTAGCTTCGCAGGTTCAACCTGGTCCTTAGTACTCTGTGACTGCATGGCATTTCTGAAGAGTTAGCACCTGCTACACTTCTACACATATCCAGTGGCTTCTCGCTGGGACTCATCAATTTATTCTCACTAATCATTGTCTGAGGAATTTCTTGGATCCAGACACTCTACAATTTCATCCATTTCCTCAAATTCATCCCTTTTCTTTGGAGGTATGGATGTCTTCGCGCGAAATGTGGGGGAGCGTATCATGTCCGTCATCGTTCTTGGCTTCGCCGTCATCATCTTTTCCTCCGTGCTGGCGAGTGTGCCGTGACGTTTAAAGGGCTGGGAGCGGGTGGGCTGATGTCGAAAATTTGCAGAAGTTGAGCATCCACTGCATGATGCTGTTTGGGGATTATACACATCTTACACGCACATATGCATGATCATATATGTATATACTCATATACTGTATATATATATATACTGTATATATATATGTATATATATATATAATTACTCATATACATATACATATATATATATATATATATGTATATATATAATTATATATATATGTATATATAATTATATATATATGATATATCATATACATCATGAAACTGACATTGGCCCCCTGCAATGCAAGTTCAATTTGTATGAATGTCAAACAACCACATTCGTTTGAAAGTATGCGAGCTACAGCTGGACATGTTTTTAATACCACATTTAATGGAGCCCTTGATCTGAGGTGAGTGCATCCATGACTGCATTGCGCAACCTTCAGGTGCCAAAGCAGGGATCAGTTGAAATCTGCTGAAAATCTCAGGGCTGCCCTGAGATGGAGGGAGCTTCAATGGCAGCACTTTTTCTACAGAATCTTTGGGAGCTATTGATTTTTTTGAAGCGCATCAACTGGTGGCTTCAAGCACACACACACAACTCACACATATTACGAGCCACATCTAGACTTTTGACACACCCATCTAGGATCCTATAGGATGCTCTAGCGTCGCCTATCTTCCAGGGTTGGCGGCCTGACTCTCCAATCCGACGCCAGGGCGATACGAAGAAGCAGTTCTGGCTGCTTCGAAGATATCTGCGAAAGAAGAAGGCTGCAGCGAAGATCACCAGTTGAGCCGGAGTGATGGGGGATATGACTATAAGATCATAAAGAACTGGGGATATATTTTATATCTATACTACAGTCATTATATATATGTGTGTATATATATATGTGTTTACATCAACCAAACAATATACGAAGTTGGCCAAGAATTGCGTGGGTGCCAGAAACAATATGCAACATGTACAGCGATGTTCGCAGAGGCTTTTTGTGGGATTCACCCTGGCTGCCTTTTTCACCATCCCCATTCCATCAGCATTTTGAGTTTATCATCCCCAAATGGGACTTGTTTCCATGGCCAAACGTTTGGCCGGCCTCTCCTTGGCCTTTCTGACTGAAAGCTCCGTGAGGTGACGGTGCCCTCACGGGTTCGCATCATCAAGTTCCTGGAACACGTCACCATGCTTCAGGTGCTCGGGTCATCTCGGGTCGATCATTTTAGCCGTTCGGAACAAGGCATGCCATCCCAGGAACCACTGCAGAAACCGGTTGATCTTGCCAGTTTCTATCTTCAACTTGGAAAGGGCACCCAATAAATTTCTATATCGATGATATCCAATGATCACAAACAACTCCAATCGTTCCATAGGAATTGGATGGAATTGGAGGATTCAACCCAGGAGGCGACCCTCAGTGACCAGGTTTGGTTGAATCCAAATCTAAGATCTCAATGCCATGAAACATAATATGTAGTTATAAGCTAACTTGAGCAATCAACTATCGTATTCAACGAAGTTTGGATAAACTATAGATATCTATAGATTAGTTATAGATTAGTTATAGTAGCTATAGATTCCCTACTATAGTGCTTCCTTAACCAACTATAGATTCTCCCGTTGTGTTTGCACCATGATTCCAGGCCAAAACGGTGAAGATTGGTGACGTGAAGTTGCTGAAGCGACTCAGTAAGCCCCTGGCAGAGTTGCTGTCCTATGAGATCCACAAGGAAACGGCCGGGGGACCGAGATCGGGGACAGTAATGATGATAGTAAGATATAGTAAGTGATGTAAAAAACATCATAGTAATAGCAACAATAACAACAAGAACAACATGAGCAACAAGAACAAGACCAATAACAAGCACAAATTTGGATGCTAAGATCTTTTAATCAAACACCAAGCGCATCATAGAAGGATGTAAATATCCAATATCATGTTCAGTTGGAAAGGCAGATGACTTCACCAAGTCTGTCACGGCTCAGTTTAGGTCTCAGCTCTTCATGGCAACTGAGGTCATGACCTATCCCTTCTTGAGATACGTTGGAGGTGTCCTGCAATCCGTATTGGCCACTCGCCGCAGTTGGACCTTGTGTGATTACTTGCCAGATGTTGAAAGTGAATAAAGAGGTGTTGTGCCTTCCAAACCAGAAGCCTTGGAAGATGTTTATTGTATATAAGGGTCCTTGTGTGGAGCCGCTCATAGCACCAGCTCAGCAATATTCAACTGTGCTAGTAGCCTGTAGCGACAACAAGGGCTGGGGCTGGTGCAGAAGATCCAACTTGCAAGAGAAAATTGCAGTCTGAACTTACCAGAATTGGCTGCAGCGTACATGTACAGGACCCTCCCTTATGTTGCTACCGGGTTAAAAATGCTAAAAGATTCACTGGAGACCCCCCCGCACTTACTTCACATCAAGGTCAAGCTGTGCTCTACTGCTGTGAAGCAGGCAGAATGGTCGGACTTGGTGCGGTGAAGTGCACCTTTTTTCTTGTAGCGATTTGTGACAGATGGAGGTGAAGCAGAAGTCTTTTTTCTTATTGTATCTTCCATCCACAGATGGAGAAGGTTGGCAGGCGTCTCAACACTTTCCGCTTTCCTGCAAACCTGTTTGTTAGCTACGGCAGAATGTTCTCAAGTCGTTGTTGGTGGTCCGAGTAAGACTTTCTGTTTCGGACCCAGTGACTGCTCTGCAACTTGTAAGAAATGCGTGGTGCTTTATGCTTCTTTCGGGAAAAGGGATAGCCAAATTTGAACTGGGTGTCCAAAATTGGTGAATGCCAAAGAGTAGCAATTCTAATATATCGGGAACATATGATGATGACCTGATTATATAGTTTGATCAATCATCGAAATTCTGAGGTAGCCATTTTTATTTTTTTCTGGCCACTGGTCGTCACTGGTTTCTGTGGCCAGGTGCAGCTTGCCCTCCAAGACTGCATCTTCCGTGCAGGTGACCTCGGAGAGTACATGCATTTTGTTTGCAGCCGGGGCACCTGGAGCCGAGGGCAGCCGGGGCGAGCCGTATCGACGGAATGGGTGGTGGCAATAGATTGATCATTGCGACTATGGCTGGGCTGGTAGTTTCAATGTTCTTCACTTTCTATAGTTTCTATTTGTTCTACGACCACTTCCTAGTGACGTATTTTTCAGGAGGTGGCTCAAAACCGAATTCCAGTTCGCTGAATTCCTGATCAATCCGCACCACCAAGTCTTGGGAATTCAAGGGCTATCAAGGGCGAGTTTTCAAAAATCTAAGAGGAAACCATAGTTCCAAGATGTTCCAAGGACTAGTTGCGAGAAATTTTCGGTGAAATCCCACGAAATC